CATTGCCTTTTGTCACTTTCCTTTGCCTATGATCTACAGCACTCTACCAATATGCCACCACCATTATGCAAGTCATGGAACCTCTCACGCCTCAATGAACCTGATGTCCATGCTCTTTATGCTCATATTTTCACTCAAAACTCAACCTCCCTCCTTTCCACCTTGCAAGACATTGTACAGAATCCACCACTCACTAGACCCAACATTGATGCTATCACTGATGAGTTCAATTTACTCATTTATGACTCATTAAATAGCTCAATTGGACATCGACCCTCTCGCCCCAACCATTGGAAATCCTTCTGGAATGTGGCATTACAAACAGCAGCAGATCATCGTAACCAATGTTACAAAAAATGGCGCCTAGCAATAGGTATTGACAAAGTTGTTTGGTGGACTAAACACAAGCATGCACAGGCCGAATTCCGATCTCAGGTTCAGCAAGCAAAACGTCAGTCTTGGCATGTCTTTTGTCAGTCTATGGAACGTGACTTCAGCAAAGCAACATCAAAGATAAAGCAGTTAAAACGCCGTAGACAGCCGCAACATACTTTCCAGCACGATGATGGACCAGCCGTAGCAGCAGCAACAATGTGTGACTATTTGGCAACAGTATATAGTGGACATATACTTCCAGCAACCCGACCACCAGCACCAATGACCACTTGTAACAGTGTGCCTTTTGCCTCTGATGACTCTCCCTTTACCTCACCAATTGTAGAGGAATTCATGCAATTTATGCCTAACTGCAAGGCACCAGGACCAGACCATATCAGAGCTGAAATGCTAAAACCTGTAAAAACACATGTCTCACCCATTCTTACTTTATTATTTACAGTTTGCTGGCAATGGTCATATGTTCCAAGTTTGTGGCGCCAAGCCCAGGTCTTCCCAATCTTCAAGAAGGGTAGTCCAACTGACCCGGCAAACTACAGACCAATCTCCTTGACCTCTGTACTGCGTAAGCTTTTTGAGATGTGTATAGCCCCCCAGTTGCACAAGTACTCTCCTCCTTTGGATGTGGCTCAAGGTGGTTTTCGTCCTCACCGTGGTGCTTTGGATCAAGCTCTCTGTCTCCATGATCTGATGAAAGCCTATTATCACCGTCATAAGCACTACCCTGTTGTTGCATTTCTGGATATCAAGGCTGCCTATGATACAGTGGATCGACGAATCATCTGGCATGCTTTACAAAAACGTTGCACTCCACCGGCACTTTTGGGTCTCTTGGTTAACTTGTTTGACAATGTCTCTATCTGTGTCCTTTTGGGTAACTTTTCTTCACACTCGTTCTCACCTGCCACTGGGGTTCTCCAAGGTTCTGTCCTCAGTCCACATCTGTATTCAATATATATCAACTCCCTGCCCCCATTGCTCCGCACAGTTGCTCACTCACAAACTACAACCCATGTTCCATCACCCTCTCCTACCTCATTGGATGCATATAATGCTCTTCTTGCTCCTTCAGGTGTAGATGGCTTTGGACATATTCATTTCTCAACACCCATCAATTCTCTGCTCTTTGCCGATGATGTAGCTATTTTTGGTTCTCTTTCAGACGTTCAGGCCATGCTAGACCTTGCTGCAGACCACTCTCTTACTCTTGGATATCGATGGAGCCCCACCAAATGTGAAGTTATATATCCCAAAACACGTGCAAGCTCGCCAGTTTCTCTTCTTTTATATGGTCAAGTTCTCCCTGCCACTGACCTGTTTATTTATCTGGGTGTTCCTTTTGCCAATAAGGGTATTTCTTCCAAGTCCATTGCCACTCATAGACGTTCTGGTACACTCGCTACAATGGCAACCCTAAACTCTGTTGGTGCTTGTCGTTCTGGTTTTTCTCTGCTGCTCAGTTCACGATTGTATAAGACCTTTGTCCGCCCAAAGTTTGAATATGGTTTGGCGATCTCCACTCTACTGAAACAAGATATCAAAGTGCTGGAGTCCATTCAAGATAAGTGTCTTCGCATGATTGTTGGGGGGCATGCCACGTCCTCTACAATTGTGTTAAAGCACATCTGCAATCTGCCAAGTATGAAGTTTCGTGCTGATGCTCTTATGGCCAAGTTCTGTATAAGATCACGCTTTTCGCCAGCCCAGTGCCTTCTGTCTCTTTTGCACCGTCATCATACCGTCTATTCTTCACTTGTCTCCTTGGGAAAAACCCATCTTCTATCCAATCTCCCTCCAACACTCAAACTTCGAAGCCCTAGTGCTGTAAAAAATCATTTTGAAAGCATTAGAGAAGCTGGATTTGCAACCTTTCTCCAGTCTAATACGCAAGTTCTCATTCAAGCATGCCGCCCAGTTCTTGGAGTTGATCCAATCTTGTTTTTGCCAGCCTCACGTGTGGAACGTAGCCGTTTGATTCGTTGGAGAATGGGGTGGTTACCAGGCAAACCAAAGGAATGTCCTTGTGGATCAGATCACACCTCACGCCGCCATTTGTTGGATTGCCCACTTGTTCCTATGGCACTATTTGAACAGTTGCCTCAACCTGACCAAGATCAGATACACAGAATTGATTTTGCCATCACATCCTTGCCTTTGTCATCTCAAGAACCGCGACCTGCTTACTGGATACCACTGCTGACTATTCTCTGGCACATAGATGTTATATGTAATCCTGATGGTGACTATTCACATGAGACTGAACATGGTGCTCTTTGGATATAATTTAGACTTTTTCTTTTCTTTCATAGCTCTTCACTTTTCATTGTTCTTTACTCCCTTTATCTCTCTTCTTTCTCTTTTGTTCTTTGCTGTCTGAAAAGTTCTTTGTTCTGCAATTCTGTCTCCTCCCTTTCACTGTTACAACTATTTTCACAGCTGCAAAGTGGAGAGCAGATTCAGCCATTGAAGCTAGTATGATTTGATCTTCTCTTTCCCCTCTCTTTTTTTTGTCTTTTGTGATCCCTTGGGACTTTTTTATATCTTCTTTTTGTACTTTGGAGGCTATATGATCTATAGATCGCCAGCAATATCTCCTTTAATAAAATATAATCTTTAACCTGAGCTACATCCCCGCACTGCTCTTTCGCTTAAGCATTTTATTTGTCTGGTTCCAAAATTTTATTTTTGACGAATCCATATATAAAGTGTATCCATCCATCAACATCTTTACGCAAAACGATCCATCCATCACGAAAAACGTACCTCCCATTGCCAAAAGTAGTGCAGTCCTTGTCCTTGGTATCCCAGCTGTCAGCAAAAAAAAATTCAGCTCAATCAGACAACATCACGCCATCTGCATTCTCAATCCCAATGGCCAATTTGCAAATCGGCAACATGCAGGGATTGCCAACCGAGCTTACCTCATTCCTGACAACATTGCAGGCACAAATCATGAATGTGCAAAACAGAACCGACCAGTTGGAGCGACTTGCAGCAGAGAATGCAAGACTAACTACTGAATTAGACCATGCTAGAACAACAATTGCTAATCTGCAGAAGCAATTAGGATCTCAGAGTGCACCTGAAAAAAACTTTTCAGAAATTTCACTTTCGAACCCAGCCGGCGCAGTAGGTGCTCCTGACAAAAACAATGAACCAGGTCTGGAAGCCTCCACTTGGGCTAGTAAAGCCAGTGTTTCTCTTCCTGTAACTGCCCCAAAAATGTCTGCTGTTCCCTCTGCTCGCCGTATTGCAGCTTCTGTTCGTATGTTTGCTCTTCCCTCTGGTCCTTCAGGTTATGAATATGTTTATATTCCAAGATCAAGACGCCTTAAGCACAAAGAAGTCCGTTCCTCTCTCCGCACTCTTGGTGTGGATTCTTCTCGACTTTTGGACATTATCTTCCCAGCCAGAGGTGTCATTGGCATCCTTGTTCATGTCCAGTATGCTGATACATTTAAGGCCAAACTGACAACTGCTTCTGTTGAGATTTTGGACGCATTTGATCCACTTGATCCTGATAATGTTGCTGATCCCAAGTATGCATCTCTGTCCACTCATGAACTTGCCAACACTGCTGCCATGCTTCACCATGATAGATGTCTCCAAGCCCTACAGTTCTTGCGCCCACATGTTGCTATCCCAGTTGGTCACTTCTTTTGTGAGGAAGGGTGGATCAGTGAAGATGAAATACCAACACGTACTACTCTTACCAATGCTACTGGCGGGTCTTTGTTCAAACGTCAGCGCAGCTCATCAGTCACTATGTCTGAATGAGTAATCTCAATATCGGATTATGGAATGCCAATGGCCTGCAACCCAGAGCCATTCAAGATACCCTTCAACACTGTCAGTCCTTACATATGCTCTTCATTACAGAAACATGGCTTCTCTCTCCCTCACATCTTCCCACATCATGGTCACAAATTCACTTGTATGGGTCTCCTGTAGCTGGCACCTATAGGGGCTCTATGGGTGTTTCTGTTCTCATATCACCTCACTGTCCTTATGCCGTCACTCAAATACCTATGCCCTCCAAATATGCTCTGGCTGTCAAAATTGGCTCACTCAGAATTGTATGCTTATATCTTCCACCAAATATGCCCACTCATGATGTCCTACATGTACTCTCTTCCATTCCTTTAACACATGATACCATTCTTTGTGGTGACTTCAATGCAAGACTTGGCTCTGTTACTGGTGACTATGCATCAAATTCTCGTGGACTGGCACTATGTTCTTGGATAGAAGAGAGATCTCTATCAGTTGTAAATGCAGATCTTGCACCTTGCATACCAACATATATTTCTTTCCGCAACAACTATGAAATCAGCAGTATTATTGACCTCTTTATAACTAATATGCCACTCATCAATCCTTCTCTTCATATTGCTACTGACTTGTCCCTTGGATCAGATCATCGCCTTTTATCACTTTCCTTTACCTATGACCTACAGCACTCTACCAATATGCCACCACCATTACGCAAGACATGGAACCTCTCACGCCTCAATGAACCTGATGTCCATGCTCTTTATGCTCATATCTTCACTCAAAACTCAACCTCCCTCCTTTCCACCTTGCAAGACATTGTACAGAATCCACCGCTCACTAGACCCAACATTGATGCTATCACTGATGAGTTCAATTTACTCATTTATGACTCATTAAATAGCTCAATTGGACATCGACCCTCTCGCCCAAATCATTGGAAATCCTTCTGGAATGTAGCTTTGCAAACAGCAGCAGATCGTCATAACCAATGTTACAAAAAATGGCGCCTAGTAATAGGTATTGACAAAGTTGTTTGGTGGACTAAACACAAGCATGCACAGGCCGAATTCCGATCTCAGGTTCAGCAAGCAAAACGTCAGTCTTGGCATGTCTTTTGTCAGTCTATGGAACGTGACTTCAGCAAAGCAACATCAAAGATAAAGCAGTTAAAACGCCGTAGACAGCCACAACATACTTTCCAGCACGATGATGGACCAGCCGTAGCAGCAGCAACAATGTGTGACTATTTGGTAACAGTATATAGTGGACATATACTTCCAGCAACCCGACCACCAGCACCAATGACCACTTGTAACAGTGTGCCTTTTGCCTCTGATGACTCTCCCTTTACCTCACCAATTGTAGAGGAATTCGTGCAATTTATGCCTAACCGCAAGGCACCAGGACCAGACCATATCAGAGCTGAAATGCTAAAACCTGTAAAAACACATGTCTCACCCATTCTTACTTTATTATTTACAGTTTGCTGGCAATGGTCATATGTTCCAAGTTTGTGGCGCCAAGCCCAGGTCTTCCCAATCTTCAAGAAGGGTAGTCCAACTGACCCGGCAAACTACCGACCAATCTCCTTGACCTCTGTACTGCGTAAGCTTTTTGAGATGTGTATAGCCCCCCAGTTGCACAAGTACTCTCCTCCTTTGGATGTAGCTCAAGGTGGTTTTCGTCCTCGCCGTGGTGCTTTGGATCAAGCTCTCTGTCTCCATGATCTGATGAAAGCCTATTATCACCGTCATAAGCACTACCCTGTTATTGCATTTCTGGATATCAAGGCTGCCTATGATACAGTGGATCGACGAATCATCTGGCATGCTTTACAAAAACGTTGCACTCCACCGGCACTTTTGGGTCTCTTGGTTAACATGTTTGACAATGTCTCTATCTGTGTCCTTTTGGGTAACTTTTCTTCACACTCGTTCTCACCTGCCACTGGGGTTCTCCAAGGTTCTGTCCTCAGTCCACATCTGTATTCAATATATATCAACTCCCTGCCCCCATTGCTCCGCACAGTTGCTCACTCATAAACTACAACCCATGTTCCATCACCCTCTCCTACCTCATTGGATGCATATAATGCTCTTCTTGCTCCTTCAGGTGTAGATGGCTTTGGACATATTCATTTCTCAACACCCATCAATTCTCTGCTCTTTGCCGACGATGTAGCTATTTTTGGTTCTCTTTCAGACGTTCAGGCCATGCTAGACCTTGCTGCAGACCACTCTCTTACTCTTGGATATCGATGGAGCCCCACCAAATGTGAAGTTATATATCCCAAAACACGTGCAAGCTCGCCAGTTCCACTTCTTTTATATGGTCAAGTTCTCCCTGCCACTGACCTGTTTATTTATCTGGGTGTTCCTTTTGCCAATAAGGGTATTTCTTCCAAGTCCATTGCCACTCATAGACGTTCTGGTACACTTGCTACAATGGCAACACTAAACTCTGTTGGAGCTTGTTGTTCTGGTTTTTCTCTGCTGCTCAGTTCACGACTGTATAAAACTTTTGTTCGCCCAAAGTTTGAATATGGTTTAGCTATTTCCACTCTGCTGAAGCAAGATATTAAAGTTCTGGAGTCCATTCAAGATAAGTGTCTTTGCATGATTGTTGGGGGGCATGCCACGTCCTCTACAATTGTGTTGAAGCACATCTGCAATCTGCCAAGTATGAAGTTTCGTGCAGATGTTCTTATAGTCAAATTTTGTATCAGATCACACTTTCTGCCTGCCCAGTGCCTTTTGTCTCTTTTACACCGTCATCATACCATCTATTCTTCACTTGTCTCCCTGGGAAAAACCAACCTTCTGTCACATCTCCCTCCAACACTCAAACTCCAAAGCCCTAGTGCAGTAAAAAACCATTTTGAAAGCATTAGAGAAGCTGGATTTACAACCTTTCTCCAGTCCAATACACAAGTTCTCATTCAAGCATGCCGCCCAGTTCTTGGAGTTGATCCAATTTTGTTTCTGCCAGCCTCACATGTGGAACGTGGCCGTTTGATTCGTTGGAGAATGGGATGGTTGCCAGGCAAACCAAAGGAATGTCCTTGTGGATCTGATCACACCTCACGCTGCCATTTGTTGGATTGCCCACTTGTTCCTGTGGCACTATTTGAACAGTTGCCTCAACCTGACCATGACCAGATACACAGAATTGATTTTGCCATCACATCCTTGCCTTTGTCATCTCAAGAACCGCGACCTGCTTACTGGATACCACTGCTGACTATTCTCTGGCACATAGATATTATATGTAATCCTGATGGTGACTATTCACATGAGACTGAACATGGTGCTCTTTGGATATAATATAGACTTTTTCTTTTCTTTCATAGCTCTTCACTTGTCATTGTTCTTTACTCCCTTTATCTCTCTTCTTTCTCTTTTGTCCTTTGCTGTCTGAAAAGTTCTTTGTTCTGCAATTCTGTCTCCTCCCTTTCACTGTTACAACTATTTTTACAGCTGCAAAGTGGAGAGCAGGTTCAGCCATTGAAGCTAGTATGATTTGATCTTCTCTTTCCCCTCTCTTTTTTTTGTCTTTTGTGATCCCTTGGGACTTTTTTATATCTTCTTTTTGTACTTTGGAGGCTATATGATCTATAGATTGCCAGCAATATCTCCTTTAATAAAATATAATCTTTAACCTGAGCTACATCCCCTTATTGTGTTATAGTGGTCACAGTAAAACATAACAATCTAACAATATAAACAAACAGCCAAAAGTCAAGTTGAGTGTAAAGATATTTTTTATTACTGTATAAATTAAGAGGTTTTATTAGTTTTTGGTGCCTGACTGTTAGATATATTAGTAATTTAAGCTCCAGCCAATAAAAATAAGAATAAAAAACTGGTGAAGCCCCTAACGTCTTTTGGTGAATATATTTTTTTATATATATCAAAATTTATATATATAATATATTTTCACTATAATTGGTGTGGACAGACTAAAAGTTCAAAAAAAGGGCAAAAAAAAGGTAAAATAAGTCTATCTTAAACTTAGCCAATCAGCTTTCTTTATGACTGGCCACATCTTTTTTTAAAAAAGTTCAAAATTAGTTCAAAATATATATTAGATAATTACTGTAGAAAAAAAAGTGCAAGTACTCACAGAAATAATTGCATATCTGCAAAATCCATGTAACTTTGTAAAAATCATATTAATCTTACTAAATTTAGAGTGTTCTAAACTCCTTTTAGAAGCTGTGGACCCGCGATTAATTTTTTTCATGTGTTAAACTCAGACGTCTATTTTAAGTGAGAAAAAAAAGACGACTGTTCTTTTTTGTTTACAATTTTGATCAAGGTTACAAATATAGCCAATCAATCAGATATACCGTTAATTTGGATTTTCTGGTGATGTGCAATTTTAAATAAAATGATAATGACAATCAACTTTGTTGAGTAATATCTAAATAAAACAAAAGGTTTATATACATTTATTAAAAAGAAAGAGGGAAAAAAAGAAGAAGAACAAACTACTGATTGTGGGTTGGCGAGGGCCAGACGATATGTCTAATGACCCTGTCCTTAGTATTGTGGACGAGGCCAGCCATCCCCTTGAAGGACTTCACATCCACTATCCTCATCTCGCCCTGCGAGTGGTTGCTCAACACAGAGAAGAGCATGACTGGCAAGGGCCTGATGTTGGAAAGACTCTCGGTGGCTGCAAAGAGCCTGGTCACTGCTTTAACAGTGTGGGAAAAGAGTTTGCGGACAAATCCATAACTTTCAAAAAACATAATTAAATTATGATTAATATCAACTTTTAATAATATAGAATATAACTAACAACACTTACTCTCACATATGTTTGAGCACAACAAGATTGTTAGCTCGAACATGTCTACTGTCAAAGGAGAACCGGACTCTGTAAACCACCGAGTCTTTCCACATCTTCATGGTTCAAACCACTGAGTCTTGTTCCTCGAAGGAAGAAACTCCTTCTTCTGCCCAGAAAGGCAACAACTGTTGGACGAGGTCCTCCCATTCCATGCCAATGGTGTTGACCAACTTGGCCATGCTATACCTGGTCGGACTGGACCACAGCTGAGGACCAGCAACATCATCACTTGCAACCTCGAAGTTGCTGGTCGTTCTGTCAGCTGGTCCAGTCCTGGCTGGATGGTTGCTGCAGCAGTGGCTGATGGCTGCCATCTGGAAAAGAACATTTTCCATGTTTTTTCCGGGCTCCTTCCTGGACTTGATTGCAGAGGTATAGGCACCAATCGTGCGTTCTATTGGACAGCAGCTGTAAGCCCGCAAAGGGCCCATTTCCCACAACATGAAACCAAGATGAACCAGCATGTGCTGGTTCATCACGAATATGTTGGATTTCAGCTTACTGTCCAAAATCTTGCACCTCAGAAAGGAGTGCCAGTGGCCAATTGCCCTATAAAACTCATTAAAAACCGGATAGAAATATATATCTAAGCCACTTACTGCTCCACGGCAACAATGTCGCTGGCAGTGATGCTCCATTGTTGGACAATGGAACACACCAGAACCAGGTCTCTCACGGCCTGCTTTGCATCTGCAAAGCAGAGGTGGTCGATTACCATGGTTGATACAACAAACAAGAGAAAGTCCATCCAATCGACGACCTTCCTCTTGCTGTTTGATTCCTTCATTGACCTCCACGTACCAGTAAATGCCATCGGTATATCTGCCCTGGATGTGCTGACTGCTTTTTCGATGTCATCTAGGCTAACATTCAGGGCAAAGGGATACTCAAGTTGTTGCAGGCGTTCTTGGAGGTGCATTCCATGGGATTTTCTGTCTGGGCCTGCAGTCCCAGGGCAGAATTTGCCACCAAGGGATTGATAGAGCTGATGCCCTGTTCCATGACCTAGGAGGTGCATCTCGTCCTGGCCAAAGAAAGCAGAACTGGTGAGTGTGGATAACTCTGCAAAGGCATTGTATCTCCCACCACCAGGTCTATAAAATGATGTTTGTGGTTTTTTTGATATTTCATAACTTACGCTTCCTTCGGCTCTGCGAATGCTCCCTACGTCCCTCATGGGGGCAGGACCCTTGCTCTCCAGGAAGCATATGGTCTTGGCAATGCTTTCACCATGCGCAAAACAATGGCAGCAGCCGTATTGTGCATTGTGATGCATAAGGTTCATCAAGTCAGATACAGCTGGAGTATCTTCAGTTGCCACGACAAGATGAACCTTATACACCACATACTGGTCTCTGTCCCAGCACTTCACTCCACTTGTCTGCAAGGCTCGCAGGTTGGCAAGGATGGGCTCCAAAAACGAAGCAATGTTCTTTGGGTGCTTAGGCTCTGGGATGATGGCCAGCTGCATCATGTTACCCTTCTTGTACCTAAATATATTATATTAGTATATATAAATATACATCTAAATCAATGGGTTTTTTTTATTTACCTTTTGGCAGGGTTAATATTCATGTTAATAATGTGAATGATGCTAGCTGACATGGCAGCGTCCTTGAAGGGGTTGAACTGGTCAACAAACATAGACACCACCATGTCACCCTGGCCAACAATCCCACCTGCGAGCAGTCTATGGATGCCATCTCCATCAAGAATATCCTTACAGACATTTGATCGGCCACCAGCCAAAACCTCCATGCCATAGGCGATCTTTGCCCATTCTTCAGGGTGAGCCAACTTGAAGCGTAATTTCTCTGAGAGAGGCACTACCTGGTATGTCTGTACAGGTGATATAGTGCCTCTCTCATGCTGGTACCGCGGTCCATTGCAGTGAGGGCACACCTCATTCTCAACGATTGAGTTTCCAGGCTCGACATCAGGAAAATGAAAGCACCCACTGGCACACATGTCATACACCTGTGCCTTGACTGTGTATTCTTGCTTGAGCAAGGTATCCACCTTTTAATATGACAGAAGTGCATCCGTTTTAGCTAATACAATAATAAGTATATGTAATATAGTAGATATGTGATAGTAATAAACTTACGGGATCCACATTCTGTCATGTACTCATTTACGATCTTGACAGACTGATCATAGATTTCACAAGAAACACTGTTCTCAAAAAACAAGGAGAACAACTCCAGACTAACAGCCTCAGCACTGCTGTTGGGAGTGTACATTGGTACAAACTGGTCGTACTCAATGTTGGCCTGCTCTGGTTCAGCTTGGGCCATTCCTTGGTTTTGGACACGTGTGAATCCAGGACCATTCTCTAATATATTTACACAGTTAATATTTAACATAAACATAATCATATGTAATAATGTTATTATTAACATTTTCTTTTAATTGTTCTTACCAGAGGTGTACTCCACCTCAACATTGTTGGAATTGGCTTCCATAGGAGAAGCGTCCTCTTCATCAGCCTCAACGTTGTTAGTGGCAGCAGCCAAGAAACCATCAAAGCCAATTGAATCATCGACAGAGGCTTTATCGTTGATATCCATCATGTTGTAAGCTGGATAAGTGACATTGATATCCATTTGAGCAGGTTGTTGCTCAAAGAACGAATTGTCAAGCATATAACTGCTTGTTTCGTTTTCGCTAACAGGGTTAAGTAAGCCGTTAATGTTCATTTTGAATTGTTGTTTTGTATTTTAAAAAAATAGGGGTGTAAGATCGAAAAAACCACTTGGGATGTGATATTAGTTTTTATTCCATCAGTTGACAGTGAAAAATTACAAGTGCGCTAATTATCATGAAAATTTTTTTAAAGGGATTCTGGCTTTTTGTTTTTTATTTTTCCTTGTTGTTTTTGTTTTTTATTTTTCAGTTTTTCTTGTTGCTTTTGTTTAACTTTGTTTTTTTTATATTTTACATCTTCTTTACAGTTCTAAAAATGTCATTGCTCAACATTGCGCAATTAAACCTTTGACTGGTGATGCTGGAGACAGCATATGCCCGGCTTGAGACCAGATTTGAGGCCAGGTTTGAGGGCGGTGAGGCCGCCACTGAACAGCCTGTCTGAGGTAACCCTCCTGATGTGAACCATTTGCAGCCGGTCATTGGTGGCAACACCATTCCACGCCCTTCCCCCCAAGGACAACCTAACAGTTGGGTACTCTCAGCCGGGAGTGTTACTGCAGCCCTGGTATTACATTTTACCAGGGGTAACACCAAAGAAGCTTGGCTTCTTTACAGTGCCATTGGCAGACTTGCTCGCCAACTTGTACAGGTAACAATGTCATGCTACTGTACAAATGGTATAGCTATACCATTGTGGGGTAGTCTTGCACCTAACCAGAGAAACATCCTGGTTAGAAACCTTGAGGAGAGAGCAGCCAGAAGAAATATTGCTCTTGATAGGTTTGAGAATTTCTGGGTGTCTATCTTTGTGCTTTCTCAGAGATGGAGAACTGCTGTCTCCAGTGGAAGACAGTAATAAAATGTAAGTAACTTTTAAATATAAAGCCATTTATAAGATCATAACTAATACAAATCAATTGTTTTGCTTTGTTTGTTTGTTTTTTATTTTATTATAGTAGACAATACTGAACTTTATAAGTGACATTTATAAAAAAACATAATAAAAATACTATTTTAAAAAAATTGTTATCAAGTAGAAAGTAATTTGGTATATGCCTTGTATACTTCTTCTACTGTCATTTGTTTGTTTGTTTGTTTGTTTTGTTTTGTTTTGTTTTGTTTTGTTTTTTTTTCATTTTTTTGTTTTTTATTTTTTATTTTTTTTTTCTATTTTTTTATTTTTATTTTTTATTTATTTTTTCTATTTTTTTTATTTTTTATTTTTTATTTTTTTGTATATTCCAGGGACCAAAAAATAAAACAAAAATAAAAATAAAAACTTATTTTTATGTGACGCAATGTGTATTATTTGACCAATTAGAGATTCAACAAATTTAACAAAAAAGAGTTAGTTAAAAGTAATACACAAGTCTAATTGGTTTGAGGATGCTGAACAGCACTCAATCGAGTTTAATACTATGGAATTCCACAAATCCGATTGGCAAAGAGTAGTAACACTAACATTGTATCACCTTGTTTTTATTGGCTGAATCCATATCTGCAAGTATGCATTTTTTACATAGTAATCTGCATTGGTGGAATTACAAATGCTGTAATTTCCTACAGTGAATGCTATGTTCATAATGCCGTCACTGTCAGTAAGCATAGTCAATGCTTCATATTCAAATACATCAACATAAAGAAGTCTGTTTTGTTGTGAATAAAGACAAATTTGTTTATATCATCTAATTAAAACTCTTCAGAATCTCTCTCTGCTTGAATCTGTATCAGTATATTGTCAAAGCATATGTATGCAAACAATATTCCCTGTCTCTAAAAGTCCTCTCAATCAGTACAAGAACTCTTAACAATTCTCATTAATAAAAATCATTCTTCTTGAGCTCAAACCTCTCTCTATTTCATAATCTAATTATTTATGAACATCTATATTTCCTGGTAGATGGTAAAGTATTAGCCAAAAAAGAGGCTTATCTACCAGAAAATCAGACAAAAAAATTCACCTACCAGAAAATAAAAAAGTTCATAATTTACTAAGTCACTTTGATAATTGTTTCAATTAATAGCACAATTTTTTTGAAAAAAAAGAAAGATAAATATATTTTTATTGTTGTGTGTTTGATCTGTGAAAGTTCACTTTGTATTTATCTTTTAAAGCTTGAATTGACTGAAAATAAAGCTGTTGCATATCATAGACATACTTGGCTTCATCATCTGTTGTATACTAAGATAGTTTTGTAAGATCTTGATGAGATTAGTGTATTGTTTGATTTGTTTTTATATACTGGTCAAAAAATGAGTCTAGATCGATTGCTGGAATTTTCAGTGTTTTGTAGAGTTTGTAGTGTGTGTATTTGATTAGTAGTAATGGCAGAAGTGGTAGAGAAGAAAATAGAGTTCGATGTGTGTATCTTCAATAGATACATATGTGTGCAAGGTCTGTATCTTCTTTTAAAATCAAAGCAAGTGTATGAAATAATTGTGATTGTATCTGAAACCTCAACTACATAAGCAGTATTTTGGTCAACAAATGACTGAACCTGCCATTATCTACTATCTACTGAATCAGAAGCAACAATTCTTACTTCTCTTTCATCATCATCTTCTTCTGCTTCCATCTCGCATATTCTTTGTTCTCTTGTAAATGCACTCATTGCCCTATTGTTGGACATCACTCTATCGTACTCTTGAGAAAGATAGTATTCAACATCATGTACTAAAACAAAAACAAGCTTATCAAGTCTCTTGTTTCTAGATCTTTTCATGAAAACTGTTTTTAATTGATTGTGTCATGACTCAATATAATTATTGGTGAGCATATGTGAAAATTGACGTTCATGATATGCTCTACTTCAAATCTTAAATTTGTCTTCAGTACACCAGTTTTTCTCGAAGTAGTCCAAAAAGATGCATTGATCGTTAAAATCTTCTTTGAACTATACAAGTTTGTGATGAAACTGATCTAAATCTTCTTCATACACAATCTCTTGAAGAGATTTCATCATTTCACTAAGAAGAAGATGAGCCTCAGATGGCAAAGAGCCAGAAATCTTAACAGAGTCAGAGAGCTTTCTGTTCCATGCTTGAGTTACGTGAAATATGCAAAATTGGATTTGTGTGGTAGAAAAGGTGGTTTGAATTGCATAGACTTTGGCTGAGCAGCAATCAATAGTTATTTGTTTTGGATTAACAAGCAAGAGAGAAGACTTTAAGAATTGCAGCTACTGCACAATGGGGCCCACACCTCTATCATTGGTAATCATATATGCTACAGGCCAGCCTCTACCAATTTCTTCATCACGGATAAGAAGAGTATAAAGAATCTCATCAATTTTTTCAGAGATACCACTCATGATATCCAAGCAAAAAGAAGCAGCATTTTTCGTCTTATTTTGCTGTATTAGCAACATAAAACCACAAGCAAATACGTTTAGACTTGGTGAGTAGCTGGTATTGGCCCCAAAAATTGAAAAGTTCATTGCAGGAAGTTTCTCATTTATTTAAATCATGAAAGAAATCATTTGATCCTTGTCAAAATGATACAAAGTCTTATTTATCTATAAACAATTGGTTAAATAAAATTTTATTTAACATAAATTCATATATTTACCTTATTCATTAAGTTCCAAATGTCATAATAGTTGACCTTGTGTTCAGAATTTCTTCCATATCTATCAATAGCTCTCAGCATATCAATACATATCTGGCTAGCAGATTTAGATGACTGTTCTAATTATTGGGACAGCTCATTGAGGTATTTCTTTGCAAGAGGAAGAGTACACATATCTTCATGAACATCACCAGGAGTATGCTCAGTATGATCTTTTGTCAAAGTTATCTCACACCACTCTGGCGTCTTAAAGAATCCTCTGACATGAAAAAGAGCAGAACACTTATTTTTCTAAGTTCTTTTCTGAACTACTCTCATGGCTGCCTTAGATTCATAAGTGCCAGCATGATGACACGAATACTCTTGGGAAAAGCACATCTTAATATCACTGTCTTTGGCTTCTTCAGCAGTAATATCAGTAGGTTGCTTGTTAGAATTATGGATAATCCATTTGACTGCACAGGATTCACCAATTTCTAGCAAGCAATCTCTCCACTCAGATGTTCTAACTTTTATAGTAGTATCAAGTCTAAGAGTTATCACTCCAGGAACAGATGTACACTCCAATGCTTCAGAGATTGTTGCCAAAGTATAAATGTTTTTGTTGGATTGAATGTTGTTTGTTGACATATTTAGTGAATAATTATTTGAAAATAAAAACGCGTGATTTAAGGGATATAAAACCTTTGTTTCAAATAAACAATTCAAAAACAAGAGAAAGTATTAACAGTCACTATTTTGGTTAATAATTTTCCATCTACCAGGAAATATAGACTTTCATTATCTACACCACTTTTTTTATAAACCCATTTATTACAGGTATAACATTTTAGCCAAAATAACTTGTCAGTATATATTACTCTTATAAAGTTATAAATAATAATCAATACTCATCTACCTTCATTTTAACTCCATCCTTTTCATCTCTTATTTTTTTTATAAAAAAATTATCTTTTTGTATCGCCTGTACCTTACATTAAACTATTGTAATAAAAGTATGTCCACTCCCAGCGCTATTGAGTTTGTTTCTCATCAGGAATATGACAATCAGTCACATTCCTGGATGAAGCCAGATGGTGATAAAGATGGGTTGTCATCAATTAATCGGCTGCAGTACTTTCTGCTGAAAGACAATGCAGACAATCTGAGGAAGTATCTTGGTGGCTTCAAAAACAGAAGAAGGTCAAGGTCAGCAAGACCAGAGTGATAAATGACTGCTGCCAGTATTTTGACAAACAGGGTGTGAAGCGCACCAGCTCTCAAATAAAAAGCAAGCTGACATATTTGATAGTCAAGCAATATTCTATTGCATTCAAAGCCTGGGAAGAGAGCACAATGAGAATTAGCAAAGAAGAAATGTCTCAACGTAAAAAAGATGAGCTTGAAGATATGAATATTGTTATGTATAAGTTAAAACAAATATTTAAATAATTTAAATTATTTTTTATAAGTATATCTTAATGATATATGCCCAAACTTCACGCAGATGAGAAAAGTACTTGGTGAAAGTAAGGCAAAGTCACCTGCTGTATGTAATACAACAATGTCCTTGGACTTAAACAAAGTCTAAGACATGAGCAAGGGTGAAGACGGTGAAAACAATGGAGGTGACAAAGCTAGTGAGACCAGCAAAAGCTGCAAAGACCAAGAAGAACAGGGAACTGATGTCAGCAATGAGATCAGTTCTCAGAGAGAGGCCGTTGTCCAAAGCAAAAGTGAAAGCAGCACCTCCAAGCACTCTGATTCCAGTGCGTACAGTGGCAAAAGACAGCCTAAATTCTTTGGCAAGATTGTGAAAAACACGGCAAAAAGATCAGTCAAGAGCATAGAGGATATTGGGCATGGTATAAAAGAGTTCAATGATGCCCGGATATCACTCTTAGAATCAAAGTAAGAGGAAGAGCTCAAGAACCAGAAGGAGAAGCTGCAAAAAGAGCTTCAATGCGAGCAGCGGGTAAAAGGAGTGATCCTTATGGCAAAAACATTTGACTGGTCTGAGGAGAAGACTAAGAATAAATTAGAAGAGGTGTATAACCAATATCTCAATTAATAAATTGTATTTCTTCTATTTATATTATGCGTTTAATTTATATATATATACAAATTCTCAGAACTAATGTTATTTCATTTAAAAAATGTAAAGGCATGTAGACTATATAAAAATACTATCATTAAAGCAGACAAAATTGATCTTCTACTTACATCTTCAAAATAGTTCAATAATAAAATATTAAAGAAAGGGAATAACATAAATAATAACAAAATATCTATTTAATTACAGCTGTCAAATGCCAAAAAGTGAGATCTATCTAATAGATATAAAAGCTAATACTTCTGTTTTTTTTTAATGTATTTGGAATGATCAAAGTTTATTTTCTTTATTCAAGAAGATTTATTCTTCTCTTTTGACATAACAACACGTTGTGTCTGGATCCACCTTGTATTTCCATCTATATTCTGGGATCCATCTACTATACCAGACTCCTCTGAATATCCTGTCTTCTGCAGGCATTCAACTTCAGCTTTCTCTCTATCTTCCTATTGACGCTTGGCTTCCTGAGACCACTTGTCATCATCTTGACACATCAAGAAATTATTCAAGGCTACACAAACCCGAATCCATGTGTTAACCTTTACAACATCTTCCTTTCTTTTTATCCTTACAGGGATTGATTTGAGAGAGTAGAATATCTCTTTCAAGATTCTAAATGCATGCTCAAGATCTTGGTGTTGAACTTTTGGTCTGCTAATGAGAGTTCACTGTTTCTTAGCTTCTTTTTGATTGGAACAATATAGTTCGTAGCCTTGTACCTCGCGTCTGCCAACATGTACTTGTCATCAGAAAAGAATTGCTCTGGGAATTTTCCAAGTTCACACTCAGACAAAGTACACATATCATGCAAACTTCCAAAGAAACTGGTTGACATGTATCAGATTATGCATCTATAATCACACACTGTGATACTGTTTACACAGTAAGCAGATCTGTGACCGAAAAACTGCTTTGGCTTTCACAATAGTGCTTTTGCCAGCTTAAATAAGCATCTGCCAAGAAATCCAACAAGGTTTGGAAATCCTAATGGATATTCATTTGCTCATTTTATCTCTGCTTTCTCAGATTCGGTTGGCCAATAAACAAACTTGTGCTCCAAAAAGAGAATTACTTTAAAGAATCTGGTTGTTATATTCTCAATAGAGCTCTCTATTTGTTCTTATTGTAGGAAACAGATGAATATATTTGCTTTTGTATATGTGGGTAAACCATCGTAGAATATTATCTTGAGTCACTTACTTCCTATTCCAGAACATCTTGCCAAATGGCCACTTGACAAAGAATTACCATTTGATCCTAATTGGTCAAGAACAATAGAAATCTGTAGTCTAACATTGATTGAGTCAAATCCTGACAATTGTTGGTAAAGCTTGTGGTTTTTTACAAGATCATACAGCTTATAAAAAGAGCTCTTGCTCATTTGTAACTCTTCCAGGAAGCCGCTTTCATCCAAGGCAAGCAGAAAATTCAATCTTTTTTTTTGAGTTACAAGTTTCTTGATCTTATTTTGTCTTTTGAAAAAATAGCGTCCTTTGCTGATTTTGTCTTGGGCCTTTGTAACCATCAATTTCTCCTGTTGTAGCTTTAGTTTGCATATGCTTGCAAAATCTTCATATGTGTCATGATATTCCTCACAAGCAATGACATTAGAGCCGGACAACATCTTGATCATCTTCTTCAACGTGTGTTGAGTGATAGCTGCAGATGCATCCAAAGTTGATTTTGCAAGTATATTTATTGGAGTATGCGGCATTTTTTAAGATAATAAGTAAAAGAGTAATATATTTCTCACTTTTATATATGCTAGTATTTAATTATAGCAAGTATATATGCTTTAAATTGTTGTTTGCTATTTAAGTGTAATGCAACTAGAAGGTATGCGTGATATTATCATGCAAGTAGTATCAGACAAAAACTGGCCAATTATAGCTGTTGATTAATTTTGCCTTTTTTTTGAACTTTTTTTGAACTTTTAGTCTGTCCACACCAAATATACTGTAAAAGACTGCTGCTTTTAGTTTCTGAAAATCTGCAAAAATTTTACTAGAATTTTCAATTTTTATTTTTTTTAATCAGTTTTTATTTTTTTTCTACTGTGATTTTAGATCGTTCTTTTTTAGATATAAAATCACACAGCTGTCATTTTTTTGGCTATAAAATTACAAAATTGAGATTTTTTTATATTTTATAATTTTTTGATTAAAATTGTAAATTATACTGAAAAAACACTTATATAAAAATTAATACAATATTTAATAAATGATATATATTTTTAAGGTTTTTCTTTTTCTATTTCAAAATAAACCATTTAAATATTTATAATTTTTTTTACATATTATAAATGTGAATATAAAAGCAAATATTTTAAGAGAATGAGACAAGAAGTTGTAATTTCATTTTTACTATAGAAATATTTTTGCAATATTTTTTCCTTTGATATAAGGAGCTAAAATATCAGATTTTTTATTTCACATTTTATGATATGTGAATGTTTCATTTTTGGATTATTTTTTGCTATAGTTGAATCATCATCAAATCAAATATCATAATTCAAAAAAAAGTCTTTCCAAAAAAATCAAGTACACTTTTAGTAATGTATGCAGTATATGACTTAGTTAATGACTTAATAATATATGAGTATAATTATGATAATATGCACAGTACATATACACCCGGCTTAGGGTGAAATTGACTTACCTCCAACTCCGCCATGACTTCTTTCTATGCAAGAAGACCATTCTCTATTTTTCTTTTATTTTAATTCTGTAATCTCTCTAATAAAACAAATCACAATGCCAAAGAACAATAAAGCTAAAACTACCAACTCATATTATAAGACAACAGATTTTGAAAAAGAAATGATTATTGGAAGATATAAAGAAGGACGTAGCTCCTATGAGATTTCAGATGCAGAAGGCATATCTCAATCAACTGTTTATTGTATAATTAAAAATACAAAACAAAGAAGACGTGCGCTGAGAAGGAGCATCCTGGGGCCTCTAAGAAGCTATCACCATAGGCAATTTGTTATTTGAAGTTCACCGCAAAAAAAAAATAGATGCAACACATTAGCTACCATCATGCACAGTGTTAAAGAGATGCATGACATCTCAATCAGTCAAGAAACAGTACGCAAATATCTGCACAATATGGACCTTCACTCTTGTGTTGCTGTAGCCAAGCCTTACCTAGATGAAGCACATAAGAAGGCACGCTTGCAATGGGTTAGGGAGCAAAAAAATTGGAATGATGAATGGACGTCAGTAATCTGGAGTGATGAGTCCAGATTCACCCTTTTTCAGAAAGGTGGACAGCAATATGTTTGGTGCCAACCACATGAGAAGTATGACGATGACTATCTGATATCAGCAGTGCAAGGGTTGGGTGGTTCAGTATCAGTTTGGGGTTGTATTTGGGCAGGAGGTGTTAGCCCACTAGTTATATTAGATGACTACATAACAAAAGAAATGTATGTCCAGATACTGAGGGACAACTATCTTCCATTTCTTGCTGCCCTTCCTGATAAGGACACCACCACCTACCTTCTCCAAGAAGACAATGCCAAGCCACATAAGAGCAAGTTGGCAGAACAGTGGAAAAAAAGAAACGATGTGACTATCTTATCATGGCCTGCAAAAAGTCCAGATCTCAATCCAATTGAGAATATGTGGAGCTACCTTAATAACAAGGTTAGAGATAGAAGACCCCAGCCTACCATGCTAAAAGAACTGGAGGTTGCTTTGTTGGAGGAGTGGGCAGAAATCACAGCAAGTACTTGTATAAAGTTTTGCCTGAGTGTTAAAGATCATATGATATTAGTTAGGAAGAAGCACGGAGGAGCTATTAATTATTAAACCTCCATCAATTTTTAATATAAATAAGTAACACATATTACAAAATCTTCCATTCATTTTTTGTCTTTAAGGATTATGTCTTTGAGAACTTATTTAACCTTGAAAAACAGAGGTGTACTTCTTTGATTTTAGCGGAGTTGGAAGTAAGTCAATTTCATCCTAAGCTGGGTGTATTAAAGAATTACTTGGCATAATATAGTTATGCTATGAAACAGTATTTTATCTATATATAATATATTTTTTGGTATATAAAGAAGTTGATTAAGATCTCTTACAATCTACATAATTTGTTTTCTATAATTTAAAATATTTGATATGTTCAACAATCAAAAAAAAGACAGTTATATTATTTACAAATATCCAGACTACACAAAGTTGGATAGCTGTAAAAAGAAACAGAAAAGACAAAATGTACAGCAACACTATGAGAAGCATATAATACCTGTTGTCAAAGATGATGTAATGTGTAAATAGTAAGAATAACACAAAATGTAAATATAAAACTAATATAAATTAATTTATAAAATAAATATTTCTGAAGAACATTTTGATGACATGGAAGTAGATAATATTAACAATAATAATGATTATAGTTACAAAAACAAAGGTGAAGAAGAAGGTGAGAAACAAAATATTGAATTTGATTAAGAAGGTAAAAAAAAAATGAAAAAATAATAATTGAAACTGATATATATATATATATTTATTTTTTATATGATAATAATTGTAATTATATTTTTATTTTTACATTTTTATAACAATTATTCCTTTTCAGTTGACTTATTTTTGTCCCAAGAAGAGTCCATTTTTACTGCCGAAAATACAGTGTTGTGGTAGTTGAAGTTGAAGAAGTTTTTAAGAAAAAGAATTAAAGATTTAAGATGAGGAACAAAGATTTGTGAGAACTTGTGTAGGGTTTGTTTATTGAGAAATATTTGATATCAAAATTTGACGAGGTTTCTACACTGAACTACTAGTGCTATTTATATTATTTTGGATTGAGAAAATTATATGACTGGGGTTAGATAATCGACCCTATCTGAGCCTTAATCAGAGCAATGTGATCTTGGGATAATTGACATATGATTAATTATATAAATGTGTGTAGTCCTAATGAAGTATTAACATTGAAAGTAAATGTGTTTATGAGTTATAATTATGCTTATAATAATTCACTGATGTATCTCATATTATATTGATAGCATCATATGAAATCTAATTACTATCATGCATAATAAATCTGTGTGTTAAATAATAAAGTAATTGGTAGACACCTTTGACTGGAATAGCTGAGACCTTATATTATTTCCTTCAGACTTATTCTCAATTACAGCAGTAGTCAATACTCATTTACAACATATAGTTCCAGAAGCATTTGTGGTTGATGACAATGAGATTGAAGAAGGCAATACCTGTTTTGATTTTGAAAAAGAAGAAAACTTTGATGAGACCAGTGATATTTTGATAGTAGAATCATATATGAATTAATACAGTATAGATAATTAATCAATATATCAATTTAAACTAACTTAAACTTTGTTTTCATAGTTCAGCCTTTGTCTTTTGATAACATGCCCTTGTATATCTGCTTTGTTACAATATCTGTTGTCATATTTCACTTGATCTTTTTGATGAAAAGCAGTGAATCAATTCTCATTGAGTTTTGCAATACACTACTGTCTCTCTGCAATATGTCTGGTGCCCTTTCATTGAGGATCAATAGCTTGAAGCATAAAGCAGAATTTAACATATCAACAGATGGAATGACAGTATATATTGCATGCTCATAATGTCATTTGATTTATCCTCCAGAAACAAGTCAAAGAGTCTGTACATTTAAGAAATTCTTTCAATCTGCCATTTGCAACAACAATGTCTTTCAAGTGTCAACTAGAAATTGTTCTCTTTCAGCAATGATATATCTATTCAACTCTCTGAAGTATGCTCTGCAACAAAAATTCTCCAAATCAGATTTCGTGTCCAAGATTAATTTGTGGAGAAATTGTTAAATAATTGAAAACACCAAACTTAACATTTTTGATGGTACAGTTTGGAGTAATATTAAAGACATCAATGGCAGACGGTTTGTTGATGATAGCCAATCTTTAATGTTGACTCTGAATATTGATTGTTTTCAGCCGTTTAATAGGTGAACACATTCCAGTAGTGCAATATGTTGTAAATGAGTATTGACTACTGCTGTAATTGAGAATAAGTCTGAAGGAAATAATATAAGGCCTCAGCTATTCCAGTCAAAGGTGTCTACCGATTACTTTATTATTTAACACACAGGTTTAGCATGCGTGATAGTGATTATATTTCATATGATGATATCACCATAATATGGGATACATCAGTGGATTATTATAAGCATAATTATAACTCATAAACACATTTACTTTTGATGTTAATACCTCATTGGGACTACACACATTTATATAATTAATCATACATTAATTATCCCAAGATCACGTTGCTCTGATTAAGGCTCAGATAGGATCGATTACCTGACCCCAGTCATATAATTTTCCCAATCCAAAACAATATAAATAGCAGTAGTAGTTCAGTGTAGGAACCTGGTCAAACTTTGATACAAAATCTTTCTCAATAAACAAAACCTACACAAGTTCTCACGAATCTTCGTTCCTAATTTCAAATCTTCAATTCTTCCTCTTAAAAACTTCTTCAACTTCAACCACCACAACATTTTTTTTCGTGAACTACCATGAACCCCTCTGCTGAGAACTATCCCGCCGCCATCATCCCTGCTCATGATGAGGATGCCATGTCCGTCATGACTGAGGAGGACCTCATCGCCAGTCTGAGTGACAACATCTCCTTTGCCAGCTCCACCCCTGGACAATTTGTTGCTCCCTCTCCCCTTCGTCCCTTGGTAGCGAATGCTGCTACAACAGTCTTGTCTTTGTCAGAGAAACTTAGACTAGAACTTCAACAGCATGTAGAGGCTGTCAGCGCTGCTCACGCTATGAACGATGAGCAAGCAGCTGAATTAGCCCTTAATAAGGTCAGACGCGTCAAAGAAATGATAGATATAGAAATAGCATGCAGTCAGTACCTTTCGCCTTCTGTGAAAGTTGTAGAGAAGAGCAGTCGCACTGGAGGGTTGACTCTTAATAGAAGAGATCTTCCTAAGTTCCAGTTGGCAGACGATGTGATTAGATCCTTCCCGAATGAAGAGGTCTTTCACTCAGTAGACCACTTCCTTCGCACCTTCCAAAAGGTTATTGAGTCGTCCCTTCAGGACATTGAACTAGTTTGGAAGAGATTTTTACCGCTCTGCTTGCCTCATAGTGACGATGGATGGGTAGAGATGGATTTGAAGAAGTGTGTAGATTGGAACGCGGCCAAGATCTGCTTTACAGCAAGACATGGATCGCGCTTGGTGACATCCCGTTCGGTAAAAGAGGTATTTACCATGGTAATGCTTCCTTCTGAGTCGATTGGAGATTACTCCAAGAAGTTCCTTCAGGCTGTGTATGATGCCGGCCTCCCCAAAAACGATGCTCGTGTTGCCGACCGCTTCCTCGCTTCCTTGACTAGGCAAGTACAGACACTCTTGCGGCTCACCATGACCAGATTGGACTTCAATGGCGAGACCAAAAGAGATTGGACTGTGGAGCAGTTGACGCAGATTGGCAGAGACATCCTTGGCGACGACAATCGCATGTATGCCGAAGCTACCCAGCTCATTCCTGGTGCCAACATGCACACTGAGAAGAGAATGGAGAAGAAGGGAATGGAGGCGTACCCTCGCAAGAAGGTGCACTCCAGCAACAACCAGCAGCACCGAATCAGTAAGTCGGAGCGTTCCTTCTTCTGCTCGCACCATGGTAAGAATACTACACATGAGTCGAGCAAATGCTTCACCCTGGCCAACAACAAGGCCAAAGTAGCTGCCCCCACCAAGCGCAACCCCTGCAGGCGGTGTGGAGAAAACTACTTCCGTGGCCACGTCTGTAAGGACAGTGAGCCAGTCCTGATGGTCTCACAGGTCCCTGCCAAGGAGAAGTCTGAGCAAGTGCTCAAGGCGATCCAAGACAGTGTCGACTTGGAACTCGAAGACATGTCTTTCGACTGTAAGTACCTACTTGACAAAATTGAGAGAAGGGTTAAAGCCAATGATGCATTTAATCTAACCACTCCTATTATTGTAGAGAACCACAAACTACTTGGAATGATTGACACTGGCAGTGCACGCACTTTCATTAGTTTACAATGTTTGAATGAAAATTTAAATATAAATAAAATAAATTCATCAAATGGTTCTTTCACTTTCTTGTCAAAGAATAGTGGTACTAAGCGATTGGGAAAAACTGATCCTTTAAATTTTAAATATGTGAATGGAATTACGTTTAAGCATGCACCCGAGGTGTTAGAGTTTAATACAGGATTTAATTTTGATATTCTTCTTGGAAGAGATATCTTAACAAAAATGAACATCGGATTGATTAATGTTGCATACGATATCGAAGGAGAATATATTCATTCAGATAACGCTAAAGACTATGCCGCTGTGTATGAGAATCTAAATATCGATAAAGAGAAAAAGTTTGAACCGGATAATTCGCCAGCTGGTACGGAAATACAGCGAGCAGAATTTATTCAGTCAATTCAGGCCTCACTGGATGAAAATAAGAAAATCCCAGTCGAGTCCTCTTGTCCTTTATCAGAATCTCTAATTAGATTACCCACAAAAGAAGGCGCCACAGCTTATAGACGTCAATATCCTATTCCCCATGCTCTACGACCAACACTTGATAAACAAGTAAAAGAATGGCTTGAGACAGGCACGATTGTCAAGTCCAAGACCAATACTTCCTTCAACAGTCCTATGTTGCTTGTGCCTAAAAGAAACAAAGCTGGAGAGATTGTGAGTCACCGAGTTTGTCTAGATGTGCGATTATTGAATCAGATCCTACCTCCCACATTCAACTATCCAATTCCTAAAATCCAAACGATATTCCAGAATTTGAGTGGAAAGAAATTTTTCACCACATTGGATTTATCGAATGCCTACCATCGTTTCAAAGTTGCACCTGAAGATGTTCATAAATTAACATTCACTCATTTAGATGGGCAACAATATAGCTTCATTAAAGGCTGCTTTGGCTTGAAGATGCTTACATCACAATTTCAACATGTCATGGCAACTTTGTTTGATAAAATTGACTGTGTGCAGAATTTTGTTGATGATTGTATTGTGGCTAGCGAAACATTTGAGCAGCATGTTAAGGATGTAAAAATAGTGATTGATAGATTGACATCGGCGAAGTTGATTCTAAACTCTGATAAATGTGTCTGGTTTCAACATTCAGTGCGATTGCTTGGTTTTGTCGTCAATGAGACAGGCACCAAGGTTGATAAGCGAAAGTTGACAAACGTTGATAAATGGCCTATTCCTAAAACTGCGAAACAAATTCAGCAATTTATGGGTTTGATTAATTACTTCAGAGACTATATTCCCATGATCTCGAAGGTGGCTGAACCTATTTCACGATTAAGTCATGCCAACAATGTAGCTGAGCTATGGACAGATGAGCAGACAAGAAGCTTTAAAGCATTAAAGGACATACTGCATCAGGATTTAATTCTTCATTACGCAGATATGTCACGTGAAATGTATGTGGCCACAGATGCTTCCCTTTATGGAGTAGCCTGCCTGCTTTTTCAGCGCGACGATCAAGGGCGTGATAAGTATATTAGTTTTGTGTCAACTTCCCTGAGCCCATCCCAACGGCGATGGAGCACCACCAAAAGAGAATTGTATGCAGTCGTTTTGGCGCTTGATAAATTCCGTCCATTTCTATGGGGCCGACAGTTCACCATTTTTACTGATCATAAAGCACTCACTTATCTTCACACACAAAAAATTGCTAATCCCATGATAATTGGCTGGATTGAGACACTTCTTGACTTTGATTTTAAGGTGGTCCATATTCCTGGTTTGTTGAATAAACTACCAGACTTGTTGAGTCGCTTGTATCCTCCAGAGGATAGTTACAAGCTGGTGGAGGATGATGGATCGAGAAAAATCAGAACAAAACACTTGCAATCTAAAGATAGAGTTATTATTCGTAAGAAAAAGTACAGTAAGGACAAAGTGCTAAATGTACTTGCTACACAACTCATCGAAAATGTATCAGAGACTTCCGACTATATGTCGCCTCCTGAAGAAAAGCGAAATGGCTTGTTAAAAGAAGCACATTCGTTTGGTCACTTTGGTAGTCAAGCTATGGTGAATGATCTTCACTCTCAAGGATTACATTGGACTAATATATATGAAGAAGCAAAGGAGATTATTCGTTCTTGCTCTGAATGTCAGAAGCACAACATCAGCAAAAGAGGATATCACCCATTGACCAATGTTGTAGCTTTCCGACCATTTGATCATGTTGCAATTGACTTATGCGGTGAATTCCCAGTATCAGAGGATGGTCACACGTATATGCTAGTGTTAGTTGATGTTGGTTCCAAGTATATCATCTTGAGACCATTACCAAACAAAAACTCGACAACAATAGCTAAGGCATTGATAAAAATATTTGGAGATTATGGTTTTCCCAAAGTAATGCAAAGTGACAATGGGTTGGAATTTAGAAATTCTTTAATGGCAAGCCTATCGAAAGAGCTTGGTATTGATCGAAGATATTCAACGGCATATCATCCACAAGGAAATGGTATTGCTGAAGCCAGTGTGAAAGTTGCAGAGAATACTGTACGGAAAATGATGAGAGCGAACAGCAATGACTGGTGTCACTATTTACCAATTGTTCAGCTATGCATAAACAGACATATTCCTCAAAAGACACTGAGTGCACCCTTTTCACTAATGTATGCTCGCAGAGTTAATGTACCTGATGAGTATGGTGATAAAGCAAAATTCTCTCTTCCCAAAAACACGGTAACAATTGATGAATTGGAGAAGCAGATTGAATATATGGATAAAATAATATTCCCTGCCATAAACGAAAGAGTCTTGCGGATCAACGAAGAGTTAAAAAAGAAATACGATCACAAGAACATCTTAATAGACATCCCCAAAGGAACACACGTAATGGTCAGATTACCACATCGTCCAAATAAATTGGCACCAATCTATGAAGGTCCTTATACAGTGGTTCGAAGAAATAAAGGAGGATCGTATGAACTAAAGGATGAGCAAGGAGAATTGTTGCACCGAAATTACACACCCTCAGAACTCAAGATGGTTACCATCGATGAATCTACAATTGAGAATGAGCTCTATGAAGTTGAAGACATTCGCGATCATCGTGGTGCTGCTGGTGAAAGAGAATATCTGGTAAAATGGGTTGGTTATGGTGAACGGGCAAACACATGGCAAATGGCTAACGATTTTACCAATCCCACAATAATACAAAAGTATTGGAAGAAGGTCAGAGAAATCGAACGTTTAGAGAATGAGAGAGCCACGGAATTAGTGAATAAGAGTGCAGCCTCATTAAAGAAAACAGTTCAAATTCCAAGACATGATGGTAAAATAAAAAGGAATCGCATTGAAGAGTACAATGGAAGTAAGCTTCCTACCGCACTGAGTAGAGAAGAAAGAATGTCCAAAAGAAGAGCAACAAAAAATTTGATAAAATAAACACGTAATCCACGGAGCTGAGTTTACAGTGCAGATCTCTTGAAGTATAAAAAAAAAAAAATTATGAGCGTAATTGACCCAAATGAAATTGAGCAATTCGACAAATTAATAAATAGTTAAGATGAGATGTTTTGCCGAATCAACAAAAGGTATTGTTGAATCTGGTGGAGGATAATGTTGTAAATGAGTATTGACTACTGCTGTAATTGAGAATAAGTCTGAAGGAAATAATATAAGGCCTCAGCTATTCCAGTCAAAGGTGTCTACCGATTACTTTATTATTTAACACACAGGTTTAGCATGCGTGATAGTGATTATATTTCATATGATGATATCACCATAATATGGGATACATCAGTGGATTATTATAAGCATAATTATAACTCATAAACACATTTACTTTTGATGTTAATACCTCATTGGGACTACACACATTTATATAATTAATCATACATTAATTATCCCAAGATCACGTTGCTCTGATTAAGGCTCAGATAGGATCGATTACCTGACCCCAGTCATATAATTTTCCCAATCCAAAACAATATAAATAGCAGTAGTAGTTCAGTGTAGGAACCTGGTCAAACTTTGATACAAAATCTTTCTCAATAAACAAAACCTACACAAGTTCTCACGAATCTTCGTTCCTAATTTCAAATCTTCAATTCTTCCTCTTAAAAACTTCTTCAACTTCAACCACCACAACACAATATATCTCTTTATGAATAATCTCCCACAGAGTAAACGCCTTAAGTCTGAAAATGTCATTCTTGTAAGTATGATGCCTGGGCCAAAGGAAGTAAGCACTGACAGCATGAATCATTACTTGAAGCTGCTTGCTGACGAATTGTTGGAGATGTATTTGGTATAGAAATAACAGACTTACAGAATAGAAAGATTGTTGTTTGTGCTGCATTGATATATGTTGCCTGTGATATTTCTGCTACTTGCAAAACCTCTGGATTTACTGGCCACATGAGCACATGTGCCTGTCACAAATGTCAATGACAATTCAGAACTATAAAGAAGACCAGCAAGCTTGACTACTCTGAATTAAAATACAGCCATTGGGTGAGATACACAAAGACAATGCATTTGGAACACACTGTCAGCTGGGCAAATGCATTGAACAATACTGAGCAAACACATCTGGAAAAAGAAAACAGCACTCAGTGATCAGAGCTTCATCGGTTATCTTACTTTGACCCAGTCTGCTTTACAGCTATAGATCCAATGCATAACCTTTATCTTGGAACTGCAAAGCAAATGATTCAGATCTGGTGCAAGCGTAACTACATCAATGAAAAGAATCAGTTCACTATGCAAGAGCTTGCCAATGGTATTGTTGTATCTTGTGAATATGCGCATATAACAAAGAAGATTGTCAATGGTTTTTCATTTATGAAAGCTGACGAGTGGAAGTCGTGGTGCATCATATACTCTCCATTTGTTTTGAAGCATGTACTCCCTGCCAAGAATCTGGAAAACTGGATTTTATTTGTTGATGCATGCCGCTTACTCACAAAACCTTCAATCACTGATAAAGAAATAGATGAAGCCACAGTAAACTCCAATTGTTTTGTACAAGATTTCAGACACTGTACAGAAAATCGGCCATGACATCAAATATGCATCTACATCTTCATCTTAGCAAGTGTGTTCATGACTTTGGACTAATTTATGCTTTCTGGTTATTCAGTTTTGAGAGATACAATGGTTTGTTGAAGAATATGGAAACAAATCAAAAAGGCGGCTCTGAATCAATAATGATGAAGAAATTTCTGGAAAGAACATACATTGGCAGCTTTATACAATCTTTTGTCAACCATCTTCCCCAGTTTGCAATTGACTTTCTGCATCGCATTTCAAATAGTCAAGATCAATTAGCAACATTGCAGTCATCTTCTACTGCCAGTATCTTTTCTCTGTCTGACTTTGTTAAATATTCCTTAAACTCTTGTCATTCTGCTTTGGGTTGTGAGTCATTGCCCCCTTCAGTGTTTCCAATTAAACTTGACCAAAGGATTACAATGTGTAAAGAACATTATGAATGTTTACTGGAGTTTTACAGACACGCGTATGACAATCACGATCTTTTTGGCCATTGTTCAAACTGCGGATCTAACCAGATTTTTGTCAATAACCAAATTGAGAAAATAAAACAAATATCTCTTCTTGGACAGGAATACTCTTCTGGATCTTATTCCCGCGCCTATTATCTTGAGAATAACAGTGAAAATAAAGCAGCATTTCATGGCTGTATACTATATTTATTTCAATACTTAATAATTATCAACGAAACCGTCATCACTCATACTTTTGCATTTGTTAAGTGATACTCTAGTTACTTTTCTGGGAGTTATCTGCCAATATTAAATGAAGGCATTGAGCTTTGGAATAAATCTTCTTCTGTACTTAACTATGATTGTATTATTCTAGTACATTGTTTATATTCACTAATTGCAATTGCTAAATATAAGTTTACTATATCTAGTAAATTTAATTGTTTAGTAATCTCTTTACCCCAAAAAATAGAAGCTTAAATAATATTAATAAAATATCACTTTGCACTCTTTTATCAATTTATTAGAAAATATTTAGTTTATTATCTTATTGTTTCTTTGACCATGATAGCAGATTGTTTGCCTTAGTCCTGCTAAGCTGCTTATCTATTATTTCTTTAAATTTATGCTCAAATGGATGTGTATTATTTCTTTTATCATGAGCTGCCTCATAATCTACATCAAGTTCATCAACGAACCTATCTCCCTATATGCCAATGTAAATATTATTACATACCATTCCGAAGAATAGTTTTTTGTACTATATCTCTTTGCTTCTCCAGCTTGGGCAGAATCTCCAAAAAAAAAGCTCTTTTCTGAGGACAAATCCTGTTTCTCTTTTTCTCTTTCCTCATCACTCTCAAGGTCTGACATGTAATCAGCATAGAGAATACTGTCGACATTCTCCCCAAAGCTGTTCACAAAGTGTGCCCAATTGGCTTTCAAGACAGATCATCTTCTTTCATACAACTATATATAAATATATAATATTTTTAATTTAATATCACATCCAATATATTGTGTGTATGTGTTTTTTACCTTTACATATCACTGACAAAGACAGGCCTGTCGATTCTCTTCTTGCTTCTTTTCTCCTGTTTTTTTTGCAACTTTCTGTTGCCAATGTACTGCACAATCTTAGTTCAAAGAGTTGGCAAGTCCATCTTTTTCCCCTCTTCTTGACAACAAAGGTAATCTATAACAGACTTCAGAACGAGTCTGTTTCCCCCACTGTTTTTATTTTCATTTGTATTGTATTAATTATACAATTTCTTTTTACTTAAATAATCGCACAACAATTGCTATAATATAAATGTATATTAAATTCTATCTATGTAAAGTCATATTATAATTAGTTATATCCAATGTTGGTTGACGTCTAGGCAACATGTCTTACTCAACTGCATTACTCGCAGTGGCTTCAGCTTTCTCAGAAGATGTGTTCTTCAAAACAGCGTTTAAGACACCATTCATGATATCAAGTTTCTTGTATACATCATGGATATTATGAGTTCTACACAATGAATTATCTTCAAGATTCAACCAAGCTCTCTTTGGTGTCAGTGGTCTTTGATTGTTCATTATTCTCTGTGAGTGTTGCAGAATTATTGTCCTTATATTATTGATATTTCTTGGTAAGCTTTTTTTTGATTTTTATAAAAAGCAAAAATAAAATTAATATCAGAAAATTGAAGACTGTCTGGTTTTAATCTACCTTTTCACAAAAGGTTCTTCACCAAAAGTATTGTCAGCTGGATTGTTATTGAGATTTCTTGACATTGTAAATATGTTGTATCCAACATAATCGTGTATTCAAATAGAGCACACAGACAATAAGACAAAGACATATTGAATAAGTGACCAGTATCAATTATACATTATTTCTCACACTATCATTAAATAAAGAATATACCGATAACAAGGTCACACACCTTAGTCAACATCACTAATCACTCAAACAAGAGCGTGAGTAATAACTTAACAATATATTATCTATGATATAAGAAAACAGACATCACATGATATACTCATATCATTATTCTAAATACACATGCAATGTCTATATAAACTCAAATTGCAAATAGCAATAGAAGGGGATCTCTTTTTTCATCAATAAAAGTCTTACCATACTTCTCGTCTGCACTTTGTTTTTCTTTCTTTTTCTAAAAATATAACACTTACAATATAATGATGTTAACCCAGAATGTCCGGACCATAGACGATTTTCAGTACGCTTGTTACTTGGGTTCCCCTGTCCATCTTGTGGAACAAAGTGAAATTCGAAACAACTTGAATGGAGGTACAAACCATTGGTGGACATATCGCCATCCCTACCTGCACGATCGAACTGGTCCCAATAGCTTTCAAACACATTATCAAGTAAATAGAAAGATATTTAATGTGATTGTGAATGTTCTCAGACGAGACTTTGAGTACCAAGCCTCTGAGGAAAGGAGCGAGGTCAGCCACCCCGTGTGGAAGCAGATTGCTGTTGTTCTTTGGCATTTGAGCAATACGCACTTTGGGTACAGAATAGCACTAGAGCTGTTAATAGTGAGCCATAGATCCTACAGCCGCTTTATCAATAGATTTGTAAATGACATGATTCAATCCTTTTTGAAGACAACAATAAGATGGCCAGCAACACTTGAGGAAAGTCAAAAAATTATGGATAGATTTGCTGTTCCTTCAGTCCAATCAGAATATCAGCACCTTAATGAATGCATCAGCGCTGTGAATGGGAAGCTAATTGTAATTCAAAAGCCATCCTTATTTGGTAACAGCTGGTTGGATCATCACAGCAACACCTCTATGGCTCTTATGGCTGTATGTGATCACAAAAAAAGATTTACAGATATAAGAGTTGGATTGGCCAGTAAATATTATATAGCAATATGTATGTAATTACTTTTACTAAACTTTCTTGTATTTAGGAAGCCAAAACAATACATTTATCTTCAAGACTAGTAATTTATATCAAAATATAATTCACAGTCCTAGAGAGCTGTTTTGTGATCTAAGATCATACATTGTTGGAAGTAATGTATATTATATAAATACTCTATAAAACTAATTAAACTTACATATATTTGAAAAAGACTATGCTTTTCCTATCTTAAAGCATTGTTTTATTCCTTATTGTAGAGTCAATGACATGATGGTAAAGGAGAAAAAGTTTAATAATATCACACCAAGAGAAATTCTTGTATAAAAATGGTAATTTTGGGTCTCTGAGCCTAAAATAAGAGTTTTTTATCTATAAAAGTTAATTTATGCTGAAAAGTGTTTCTTTTTTCAGAAAAATCTAAAAAAAAAAATTTGAAGAGTCGGTACTTCTAAAATTGAAACTCGTTGTTACTTTTTGAGAAGCACCCAATAGAAATACTTAATAGTCCAAACTGAAATTAAAAAGCAATTAAAAAAATGGGGGGCAAAGAAATAAGATGTTTATTCATTTAAAGCAAAAAAACGGAAGTAATTTTTGCAAAAGAAGTGATAAGATCCAAACTTGAGGAGATTGATGCGAGAAAGGTGAACATCTGAAGTCAGATGTAACATGCATTCGATTTTGACAGCTTCCAGATTCCAGTAATGTTCACTTGGTTGGTAGCCAACTGTTGCCAAATTCAGGTTGGGTGAGAAAAGCTGGTAATGCTGAATGCACAAAGCACTATTACTTTCCACAACCTTTCCAACAAACAGTCTGCTAACATTATCTTTATAGGAAAATACAACTGAGACACCAGTAACAATCTTTGTCTTTATGTGGTTGCTGTCCACGAATTCCTGGTATTTGCCAAAGTAGTTGTTGGAAAATTTAATTCCTTGATCTTGAAGAAAGGCAGAAATACCGGATCCACTCTTTACTTGAGTATCTGTAGTTCTATCGATCCATAAACTTCCACTGGCAATGTGTCTAAGCATATCTTGCTTTCCAAACTTGAATATAAGATCCCTGTTATCAGCACGATGGTTGGAGTATACCAAATGAGTCCGGATGAAATTGTTGAATTGTTCACCCTTTTCGGTCTCAAAGTAGAGAGCACAACCAAACCTCTTGATATCTTCCTTCAAGTGTAGCAGAAGGTGCGTCTTCAGGGTCAAGCTGAACTTGGTATTGGCATATACATCATATTCGTACAAAGACTTGACAAGATGATGAGCAGTATTATCGGCATTGCTGAGATATTGATCAAAATCAGAGTTGACTTCTTGAACAAATAAAAGAGATGATAGAATGTCAAGTTCTGTGAAAGGCTTAGCAATCATACTAACTTCTATGTCGTTTGCAAATTCAGCATTGAGAATAGCTGGCAGGACTTGCATCAAAATCTTAAACTCCTTGCCAAGGTAAGATCCACTATGTCTAAGCTTATTTCTGAAAGTCCTTGTAAAGTCCCTAGAGCCTTTTTCTTGCTCCAGCAAATTGGATAACTTTACTTGTAAAGCAGTGTTTCCCTTTAGGACCTCCTTGAACAAATGATTAACAAGATATTTACATACTCCAAGAGCCACAGTATGTAAAATCTCTACAGGTATATCAAGAGCAGGATCAAAAGACTGCAAACAGAGTAGGTCTTTGGCACTGGTATGACTATATCCAAGATCAGTAAGAATAGACGTCTTATCCATAGACTTTTCCATTCGCAAGTAAAGATCGTCAATGTTTGGTAATACACTAGGAATTGCCTTCTCTTTACGTGTTGAGTCAGTGGCTGCAATTCTGTAATGTTCCTTTGTTTTTCTTTGACAATGGCAAACCAGATGATCAGAGTCGAAGTCATCGAAACTGAATCTTGTTAAACTGCGATGGTAGCACCTTCTACATGGGAAATTAGATGTCGCATGCTTCAAACCAACAAGTTTGGCATGGTGGGCATTGTCAGTTGTAATGAAGAGCAATGGAGCACAGACAGTGACAGCCTCGTTATATGTCAACGAGTACATCTCAATACTGTTTTCCAAGGACTTCAGGTCTACAGCAAGAACAGGTATCAATTGAGTCAACTTGAATCCAGCTTGCTGGGAAACAGCTGTGACAAAAAAGTTGTTCTTGCGCCTGTTCCTCATGTGGTATGGCATCACAGGGAAGTTGACCAGCACACTGTCATATATGCCATGTGTTTTTGTCAGATTTCCAGAGGTATTGTCAGAAAATAAGGCAAGTGGGGCGACAATGGCCTTTTGAAATCGAACAAATTGGTTGGCACTGTTGAATATTGGCTTTTTCAGAGAATGGCTTTTGAACAACAGGCCATTGTGCATTGGATTCAATGATGTTTCACCAGAGGAAAACCAATTCTTGGGATGGCTAAAGAATATTGGGGGGAGCCAAGCAGAATCCAGACATTTAACTTCATATGGGACAAAAAAACTTTGTATCTCATGTAAGGGGTAGCCTTCACTGTCAGAGCCCTGTTCAACAAGGTAACCATCAAAGAGAGCAATGCTGTCTTTCAGGTAAAACCTTTCAACTAAAACAGATTGTCTACCAGATAACACGCCCTACATCTCCAATCCAAAAGTCTTTGCCATTTGTTTGAACAAAAGGATGTTGAAAAAAAGGGTCTCTTTTCCATTTTTCATCTTGTTGGACAGAAAGACACTGATTTTCAGTGTAATCTGGAAGAGCTGAAAGATACAGTGCTTTTTGAGGGTTTGCCAAAAGAAAACGCAAGTGGTCGGAAGGAAAGTTAAAGTGGCAGTCTGCAGTCTTTACTTGGCCAGTAATTCCTGAACCCAAATTAGAAGTTGCTTTGATTGTAACTTTCTTAACAGTTGTAGGGAACAGAGAAATCTTATTGAACTTATTATGTTGATAATTAAGCAGAGTCCCAACCTTTGGCAGCTTAAATTCTGCTTTATCCTCGTCTGCTCTCTTCTTCAACTCAAACAACAAATTGATGGTATACATGATCTTTGTAAGCATGGAAACCGAGATCATACTGTTGTCCCCGTCAACAAAGGCTTGCAAAACTAAGGTCTGTAGATTTTGAAAAGGAAAGAAAGGGGGCATGCTTCGATTCCATTCACCAGAAGCAGCAGAAAAATCCAAGAGAGACTGACAATCTTCGAAAGCCAAGGTAGGGAGATCTGATTCCATGTTACTGTTAATTGTCAATGATGCCATGTTAAAGATTCTTTCTCTAAGAGAAGAAATATTCTCTCCCATAGCTTCTTCTTGTTCTTCTTCAATCATGGCCAAAATATCAGCTTGAAACAATGCTTCTTGACTATCTTCAACTACATTAAATTCTCTTTCTGAATCAGGAATGCTTGTAATGTTGAGGTTGGGCACGTTTTCAGTCAAAGAATCTGAAGAGGTTGTTATGTCTTGTGCCTGAACGTGTTGCTGAAGGTTATACAATGTGCTGCACTCTTGCGAGCACAAATGACAGGTGAAAGAATGGCTTGCGAGCTTAATTTTGCCCAGGTTTTTGTTATATTTCAGTTGTTCTTTGCCCATTATAAAGTAAGATTAATTAAATGAAAGAAAGTAAAGAAAGGTGCCTGACAATAATGAAACTAATGCAAACTTAAATAACTTTCTGAGTCTTAAATTTTACTTAGTATTTTTTTTCTTTATTTTTTCTTTGTTTTCTTTTTTATAAGTTAATTTTTTTCCTTCTTTATTTTTACTCATCAAACAGAACTTGTAATGTCCAATGATTAATACTTTACTCTTATATAGAATTCTCAAATCATGTTCGTAATCAGTTTAGGTAAGTAAATCAAACTGCATGTTACTTTTTCTACATGTTAAATAATCAAAAGTCTTTTAATCAAGTACTTGCCATTGGGAGATAAGATTTACAAGAAGAAACAAACTGCTCCAAGTCAAAACACTTCATACTAACACATAGTTTACATTTCAGATAAGTACAGCTACACCAAATAGCATAGCTCTTTATTCATAGTAAAGATATTTTATTATTTGATTATAAGTGTAAATACAGCTCCTAACTCTTGTCATTTTTTTATGTTAGCTATGAATATCTCTATTTGTATTTATACGAATAGCTTGCCAGCATCTTTGTCTCTTTACACTATCATTTGCTTTTCCATATATTATGTCAGTGAACCTCAATGAAATCTAGGTAGCTTCAGTAGTCAGATAAATTCTGAATGGCCATCAAGCAAAGGTGAAGTGAAAGCTAAGCATCAGTCCAAAGGTGGCCTAGTAGCAGTGACCTAGTAGTAGTAGCCTAGCCTAGCCTGATTCCCACCCTAGTAAAAGTTGAATCCTCTCTCTCCCCCCCCCCCCCCCCCAATATTTTTTCTGAATAAAATTGCTACATTTCAAAACCCATTATTTCCAAATTTGTTTTAAAAAATGAAGTTCAAAACATGCTCTGTAGTGAAATTACTGTATTCTGTATAAGGTAATTATATTGCTCCCAGCAAATGCCGACAAAACAGTGCTTAAAACCTGTCCAAATTTAGATGCTGATTTATTTTGGTGTGATACAATCAGCAACATGATTTAAAATTGAAAATGCTGTTAGGTTGCTTGTCTTTAGATGGAGATTCATGTTCAAGCATCTTTTTCTCATGCAGCCAGAATCAATGGCAAAAGTTATAACTACATGTTGCATTTTGCACAACATGTGTATCACCTTTGGCAACAGCAAAGAATATCTCAAAGAGCTATTAAGAACAGATGAGGCCAATCTGCAAAGAAACACGACTATCATGGATTGGTTCATTCGAGCCGACAATACAGATGGTGCCAGCTTTGAGGCACATGATGCTGACAATGATGATGAGGATTTTGAGGATCTATATGCTGAAATAGATAATTCTCATACAGAGACTGAAACTGCTTCTGAGGAAAGAGCTAGACGTGATCAAGTAAAAGATACTCTTTAATTTCTTTTCAAAATATTTGTAAAATTTAATTTTTTTATTAAATGTTTAATTTTTTATTCAATATTTTATTTAAGGATAACCATGATAAGAAAGAAGATTTAAAATATTTTATTGATAGAATAAAGGAAGAAAAAATACATAAAAGAAGGAAAGAAGGCATAGAAAAAAATGAAAAAAAAATTAAGATATGTTGTTTATATATATAAAGAGAAGAAGACATAGGAGAGAAATATGTTAGTCAGATGCATTATTGTGAGAAGTAGAAGAAGCAGAAAGATACTGTGTAATTTTATCTGCACTTTTTTTTTGAAAAAGGCTAACAATTTGCCTTTTGCTTCTCTTTCTTCTCTTGCAATTATATCTCTGCTGAGAAGATCATCCCTGGAAATCTGCTTTCTTGCAAGAATGTCTTCTCTTGTGTTATTGTTTCTTGATGCTCTGTCCAAGCGACGTGCCTCCCAAAATGACACAGCATGTATATACTGACATTCTACTGAGCAGATGAAGGCATCTTTCACCTCCTCCAACTGCGAACTTAAGGAGGTGAAAGCCTCATCAAAGATAGCAGTCTGTCTCTTGGAATTTCTCAAGAAGGCAGACTGGAACTCACATTGCGTCATTCTTCTGTTTTTCGTTCCTGGTGACGATGATGATGGTGCTGGCATAGTTGCAGACACAGATACAAAAGAGAGTCAAAACGAGAACTGATAAGACAGCTGAGAGCTAGGCTCAAAACTATCTTCTGAAATTGGCAGTAGCTCCAGGTCTGCTGTCACAGAGGAAACATCATGTTCAATTGCATCCATAATTTCTGAGACAAAATTAGGGCCAGAAAGATAGGTGTTGGAATATGTGATTCTGTCTTCTTGACGAACAGATATTACTGGGGCTGCATTTGCTCCAACCAAAATGCTCAACGAACTAATGATCATTGGTGGGAAGAAACTAGGGTCCAACAGCGTTATCTCTTTCATGGCATCAAAAAATTGAAATCTCTCTGGAGGAGGAGGGCCACCAGATCCAGTTCTTTGTATATCAGCCACAACTTTGCGGAATTCCTTCTTGACAGTTTGAAACCTTTCCTTTACATATTTAAGGTCCCTGTATTTCAGGGAAAACTGGTGTCCCACAGAAGTACTGGCAAAGCATATCACATTGGGATTGATGCAAAACTTGGTGTGAAGATTGCTCCATAGGCTTGCCTTTCTTCCACTGTCACCGTTGAGGTGCTTGGCATAAAATTCTGTCTCTTTGATCAGGCAAAGCAACACCATTATAGTTGTGTTGTCCTATTCTGTACACCGGCCTGCTCTAGGAGCCACTGTCATTTGTACGATGCCTTCTTGGTCTTGATAATTGTGTATGTTGTGGTTATCAAAACCGCTCATAGTAGTTAAAAAAATAGAAAAAAGGTTGTGAAAGGTTGTGAAAGGTCTTGAGAGATTATAGGGAATTGTATGAGAGAAAACAGTATTAATTGAAAGTATTTATATGGCTGTCAACAAGAATTACTCTTGTCATTTTAGAGGCTGGATTTAGTATATTTTGCTCTTAATATTACTTTATTATTTCTCTGCAAATTGATCCAGCTCAGTAATTACTATGTTCTTGCTTAGATAAATGCTCATTTTTCACCAAATTATCAGATATTTATTATCATCTATTATCACAATAATACTATAATAATAGCTGACATTCCTATATTTGTCAATTGAACCGATTGATGATTTTTTAGGTAATACACTGAGGACGCTGAAGAGCACCTTTAACAGCTTAGATAGCAATCTGGCTAATAAAATAAATAATAGAAACTTCTTCTTATAGTAATACCCAATGAAATGAACAACAGAACTTTTTCTAGAATAATAGAGACATTTGAGAACCTGTTTTTACACTTTTAAAAAGGAAATTGCTCACTAAAAAAGGAATGGTTCTTCCCAACTTCCAAAAAAAAAGTGTAAAAAAAAATTCACAATTTATATAATTTTTTTCTCATTTTACACTTTTCTTATACTTTTCTTCAGCCAATCACTATCTGTAATTTTGCTTTGCTAAGCTTACTATACTAAACCAGAATGTTCTTGCACGACGGGGATTTAAAATATATGCATGAATATAACTATATAACAAAGTATGTGTTTGTTGTTTCTAGTTGTTTTTCTCTTTGCTTTTCCTATTTTATTTAAAAAAATGAATCTTGAACAAAACAACCCTTCTGCTTCCTCTCAAAGTACAGAAAAATCTAGAAAAAAGGGGAAGAAATATGGACATAACTTCTCAGCAAGAGATTTAGCTTTAGTAGAAGAACTTTTTTATGGACACTCATTTGACAAAAAGCTCGAAAAAAATGCGAGCTTTGGGAGAAAGTTGAGGAGTATGTGAATAATGTTGACATGCATCTCAAGCCCCTTTCTTCTAATGCGATTAAGAACTGACGCAAATACTTTCTTCAAATTTACAAAGAGAAGGAGAACGGAGAGAAGAATACAAGTAGTAACAACGACTTGTACCCTGAACTTGAGAGGCAACTTGCTACTCTTGTTGAGTTGATAATACAAATATAGAATCATGTGTACTATCTAGATATTTTTATTTAATAAGCTTTGTTAATAAAGGAGAACGACTTGAAAGAAGAGGACGAAGACAAAAAGAAAGTGAAGAATAAAGAGGTGGCTGAGAAAGAAAAAGGAGATGAGTTGCTTAAAGACCACGCAACAGAATCATTTGAACTTCTTTGTCAAAACGCGTCTTCTTCTCCCAAGAAAAGAAGAATTGAAGAGGATGGAGAGGGTATAAATGGCAGTACTAGTCCTAAAAAAGCCCAGAAATATATAGATGATAGTAATACATATTACTTTTTGAAGGATTTCAAGGATGAAATCAAGAACGTGATGGACACTGATGCCGACTATGAGATGGTTAAAACTGTCTAAAGAATGGAGGAAAAGATTTCCTCTCTTGTTGACAGCAACAAGAGGGTTGTAAAGGAGGTCTGTAGTACAAGAGAGACTATCTTGGAGCTGAAAGATGTGCTCTGTAGATTCCTCTCTACAATTGCTCCTCCACCCTCACAGTAACTTTTCAAATAAAAAAGAGTAAAAAAAAACACATATTTGATAGTTATAACTATTTTGTTTTTTAAGAAAAAAGTTAAATATTTTCTAGAAGACCACTGATGTACTCTGCTGATGTTGGAGAAACAACACCAAACCTCTTACTTGTTCGATTCCCTCTATTGAAACAAATATGTAGATTCTTCAAAAATGTTGCAACAAGGTAGTAAGATCCAACAGGGCAAAGAAGGATACACTGCGACTGTGGGTATTCAATGTAAGCAAATAGATTTCCAATATGTGCGAACTCATTTTTCATCACAATGCGTACACTTGACATGGCTGTATTCACATCCTTGTGTCTCAGGTCTGGAGAATCTAAAATATATGCTTGATAAGTTATAATATTTATTTGAATCACAACTTATAATTATGTAGAGCTTACACTGTCTAAAGAGACACATCATATACAGGGAGTTTGCATAAGCCTTATCTCTATATAAATGATAACACAGACTGCATTTGTCTTGGAAATCAAACTTTTCTTTTATAATATCTTCTATTCTACTATTTCTGTACATGTATGCATCATGACGTCTACCAGTCTCTAGTTCTTAGAAAGAAGACGTGATTCCATCTGGCATCACAACAGCTTGATATTTCAAACCGTGTTTTCTCTAAACAAGTTTTATTTGGTAATTAATAAAATAGAAAATAAAAGCATTGTTAGCTATATTTTTTTACTCACATAGTGCTCACTGTAAGCTCTTTTCTGGAACTGTAGTGGTCGTGCTGTTCTTATAAATGTTCCATCTATAAACCCAACACAGTCCTCTACAGATGCGCTTTTTTTGACCAATTAATAGATAATATTATCAGTTTAAGAGATACAATAGATTATAAGCAGTCTTTACCTGCTCTGAGGATTGCTTGAATGAAGCACACAAGGTTTTTTTCCCAAAACTGATTCTTGTCAAACACAAGAGCATGTCCAAACTTCCTAGCAAGTTTACGAATCATATCATTGAAGATTATACTAATAGTAACTTTGCATTTTCCAAATATCATTGAAAGATCTTTTAATCAAGTAGGGTATATCATTTGTCGAAGCAGAATTGAAAGGTCATCTTTTGTAAGAAGTGAAAATTGGTGTAGGGTGTTTTCACGGAAGTATATCTTCTCTTCTAAATCAAGTACTACAGCCAGTGATTGAATCTAAAAGCTTTTTTTTTAAAAAAAAAGCAAATATACATGTTATTAATATTTATTAACTACAAATAAAATATAAGCTATATCTGTGTGTATGAAAATCTAAAAAGAAAAACACAATCGCTGCTCTCCAATACACTTATATGAAGCTTTCCTAACTGACACAGTTTGATGAGCCTCTGTTCACCTTCTTCCTGACACTTATTATTTTCAGTCTCTGTCTGAGAATTAATAGATAACACATGTGCATATCAAAGAGCTACATTTATTATATTTCTTCTACAAATGTTGTGATTCATTGCTAAGTATTTTATTTGTTTAAAAGAAAAGAATTTCATTTCTTATGCATAATATTTTATTTTATTTTTATGTCATAATATGCAATAGAGAGTTTCTTGGAAGTATAGTACAAATACAATCTGTAATGTGCGAGAAGTCACACAATAAGATAATAAGATGGAATCAAATATGAAGATAAAGATAATCTTTATTTGTGATAATGTTCGTGATATTTATACTAATGTAAGAGATGCCACAGTCTTCAATATTATATGCTAAGTGTGTTTACTGCGATTTCTTGCTGAGCAATAGTTGTCTTCTTCTTCTTGGCATTGCTCACCCAACTACTGCAGTTGGAGTAGTTGCTCCTGATTGGAAAGGATTAGAACTGAGTGTTAATTCCAATCCGCTCCTGACAAATCTTGAACACGTGACTTGTACCCTTATATGGCAACGTAAACTCAGAAAAGTGTAAAAAAAATTGTTTCTATATTTAGTATGAAAATAAAAAGTGTAATTACACTTTCCCCAAACGTCTCTAATAGCCAATAAAAACACAATTATTAGATCAAGCAATAATTCTTATAAATATAATCCAATAGACAATTATTTTCTTAAGGGCAATAATAATAAAAATAAATTTGGTGTGGACAGACTAAAAGTTCAAAAAAGTGCAAAAGAAAGGTAAAACAACTTTATTCAGAACTTAGTCAATCAGACTAATTTATGACTGTCTACATCTTTTTTTTTAAAAAAAAAAGATAAAATTAGTTCAAAATACATATTAGATAAAAGTGTGCATATAATTCTGTCTCTGCTATTAAGTGAGAACCTTTTATTGCGAGTTTTTCTAGACCTCTCATTATATTGTACATCTATAAAAAATGGCTCTCTTCTCAATCTTTGTGGCTATAGAAGAAAACTAGCTAATTAGAGTCTATTAAAAAAGGGCAAGATTAATTAAAACTCTTGCCCAATAATACAACTTAACTTTTTGCTCTTTTTTTTGCCCTTTTTTGAACTTTTAGTCTGTCCACACCAATTGTGTCCAATAAAAGATTTATTTAATCTACATTTTATGCTATTTATCAGCGTACAAGAGAATTGTTGGGGGAATTGCATTGAGGGAATTGAAAGAAAAATTACTTTTTATAGTAATTTATTCGATTCCAAATGGATATATTTGTCAAGGGAATTGACAAAACTTCTAAAATAAGGACTCCAGTTACAAAAAAGAAATATACTAAACGACTATACTTTAAAAAGCTCATTCTATATAGCCAAAATGAAACAAATTGTTAACAAAAAAATAAAAATTGGCAGGGTATTTTAGTAAATAATTAAAAACCAGATGCTGAATAACAATCGGAATTGTATATGTTGTGACTCAATTTCCTCGATCCAATTTCCTCAACGATTCTTTTGTACACTGGTGAATGGCATTAAAACAATAATTGGCATATAAGAGAGTACCAAATAAAAGTATCCAATGACATATAAGCTTTATACAATAGATAAAAGAAATCACGTCCAATAGAAAAGCCAATACTAAGAAAGAAATATTGCTATATTATACAAATAACATATTAAAGAACAGATTGTGGAAAGTTATTTATTTTTGTTTAAACTTAATGGTGATTTGAATGGAGAACTTGCAAAAAACCACTGGTCAAATCATCAGTCTAACCGCCTTTTTTTCCCATAGTGTTGTGGCCAAAGGTAAAGTGGCACTTAGACTTGTATAATTATAAGATCTCTAACATTGCTATTGTTTGTATCTACCCTATTGTTTGTATTTATCTTATTGTTTGTATCTGAATCCTCATTTCAACTCTTTCCTCTTGTTTCCATTACGTCTCTGTTGATGATACATGTTTGAATGCGTTCTCTCTATCTAGCCAAAGAGTATAAATACTTGTTGTTTGTTCTATCAATAAAAAGCATCTTTCTTAAGCTCAAACTTCTGTCTCATCACCTAGTTACCTAAACTAGCCTCCGAATTCAAACCCAATTATCTATAATCATTACAATAGTGTCATATTAATGTAATGACTATGGGTAAATAGGTTTGAATTCGGAGGCTAGTTTAGGTAACTAGGTGATGAGACAGAAGTTTGAGCTTAAGAAAGATGCTTTTTATTGATAGAACAAACAACAAGTATTTATACTCTTTGGCTAGATAGAGAGAACACATTCAAACATGTATCATCAACAGAGACGTAATGGAAACAAGGGAAAAGAGTTGAAACGAGGATTCAGATACAAACAATAGGGTAGATACAAACAATAGGATATATATAAACAATAGGATAGATACAAACAATAGCAATGTTAGAGACCTTGTGATTATGCAAGTCTAAGTGCCACTTTACCCTTGGCCACAACATCCCTGGGGTTTAAGAGCAAAAGCCCTCAGTCACAGGAGAGGAGGCGTAAAAGAGCTTGAGCCTATGTGCGTGGACGTTGCTGAGGATTCTTTGAGAGAACGTGTGGAGTGGGAGCAGGGAATAGCGGTTCTCAGAGACCAGAGTGATGTGGTGAAGCCCTTTCCAGACACAAGTGAGCTTTGCCAACTTCCTTGTTCTTGATAAAGGCTTAGTGAAGAGTAGAACCTGTTGGCCAACCTGGAAGGAGGGGGATCTCCTGAGCTGGTTGAGGAGAAGTGCATTAGCAGCATGGGCTTGCAAGTTAATCAGACGAACCAGGTCCAAGGCAGCAGAGAGAGAAGTCTTGATGGTGGATACATAGTCTGTGGTAGACACTTCTTGAGGTGGGGAGAGAACCAAGGCTGGAACTCTTGATTCGCAGCCATGAACGAGGAAGAAGGGTGTGAAGAGGGTGATCATGTGAACAGAGGAGTTATACGCGAGTTGTAGCAGTCCCAAATGATGATCCCATGTGGTGTGGATGGTGGCTTGATCCACAAACAATACAATCATGTTGCGCAGAGTAGCCATAAATTGCTCAACACCACCATTGGCTTGTGGGTGGTACGCAGGAGCAAACCTTTGAGAAATCCCAAGTTGGGATGCAAGGGTTCTGAGGAGGCCCAACGAAAATGGTTGTCCATTGTCTGAGTGAATCAGGCACTGGAGGCCATGCTCTGCGAAAACCTTGAAGCAGAGGGCTGCAATAACCACTGATTCATGCAAGCTTGTAATGGGGACAAGGATGACGTATCAGGAGAATAGACACTGAACAACAAGAATATACTTGTGGTCTTGTGCACTGAGAGGCAAAGGTCCAAACGCGTCTATGGCAATGATGTCAAATGGGGCCAAAGTGGGATCTTGCAAAATAGCTTCCGTGTGGCCCAGAGTGTGACGTGGTGATTTTGATTCTTGACAAACTAGGCAACGCAGGACCTTCTGTGTGACCCAGGTACGGAACCCTTCGAACCAAAAGAGGCGTTGGAACCATTGTAAGGTGCGGTGAAGACCTAAATGGCCAGCAGTGGGGACGCAGTGCAGGAGCTGAAATATTTCTTCTCTCATAGATTCTGGAAGAACTGGTTGAGATTGGTGGAGGAGCAGAGACTGAGAGTATGCAAAGTGACGAAGTAGTTCTGAGAGTTCCTTGAGAGATTGGCAAAATCCATTGTTGGCCTGGCCCAGTACAAGTTCATCAATTCTGATTGTGTTGATGGCTGGGAAGCGAGACAGGGCATCTGGTCCAGTGTTATCTTTGCCTGGTTGGTAGACAATGGTGAAAGAGTGGCCTTGTAGGAGGAGAGCTCACCGGGCCAGTCATCAGTGGAGGTCCATGATTTTAAGTAGGAACTGGAGAGCCTGGTGGTTTGTCACCACTGTGAAGTGAGTTCCAGTGAGGTAATGGGCAAATTTACGAATTCCCCACATGATTGCCAATGCTTCGATTTCAGTGACACTGTAATTTTGCTCAGCTGGAGAAAGGGAGCGTGAGGCATACGATATTGCATGGGGGTGAGAAGAGGGAGCTTCACGTTGGGACAGGATGACTCCAATTCCAGCTGTACAGACGCCATTGGTGTGAAGCTCGAAAGGTCAAGAGAAGTCAGGGAATCTCAGGACGGGTACTGTGAGGAGTGCTGTTTGCAGTTTGGTAGCAGCAGTAGCATGGGTATTGTCCTAAGTCCAGGCAACGTCCTTGCCAAGAAGACGGTTGAGGGGGGCAGCGAGCTGGGAGAATTGAGGGATGAAACAGTGGTAGTAGCCACAGAGACCAAGGAAAGTCTGGAGGCTATCGACCTCTGATGGGGTAGGAAAGGATGTGACAGCCTTGATCTTGTCAGGATTGGTATGGAGACCAGAGGCCGTGATGAGGTAGCCAAGATATTTGACTTCAGGACAGGCAAAACTGCACTTCTTCATATTCACAGTGAGGGATGCTATTTGAAGACGAGTGAACACAGCGGCCAAGTTCTAGACATGCTGATCAAACGATGGGGAAAATATGATGATGTCGTCGAGGTAGACGGGGCAGAGTTGCCATTTGAGTTCTGCAAGGACAGCATCCATAAGCCGTTGCATAGTGACAGGGGCGTTCGAGAGACCAAATGGCATGCAAACAAACACGAAAAGGTCTTTTCAACAGATAAATGTCAAACGAGGGCGGGAGGCATTGTCCAGTTCAATCTGCCAGTAGGACGCAGTCAGGTCCAAGGTGGAAAATAAGGCTGAGTTTCCCAAAGCATGGAGCGTGTTGTCAATGCGTGGGAGTGGGTACACGTCTCTGATAGTAACACCGTTCAGTCGTCTATAGTCGATGCAGAAACGAGGTGACCCATCCTTTTTTGTGACGATGACCACTGGAGAACTCCAAGGGGAGTTGGAGGGAACAACAATGCCGTCCTTGAGCATGTTATCAATCATGTCACTGATTTGGTCGTTTTCGGCAGCAGATGCTTGATGTGGTGGCCCAGAGATAAGGTAAGAGTTGCCAGTGTCAATATTGTGCTGGACATGAGACATTACCATGCAGACCTTGGTCGCAAATACCTTGCAGAACCGGTTCAGCAAACTAACCATCCGCTCCTGTTGGTCAAGAGAGAGGTCAGGGTTGAGGGGAAGGTCCAACTGTAGGAACAGAAGATCAGGTTCTCCTGTTGTGGGTGGAGGGGAAATGTTAGTACTGTTCTTTATGCTTAGAGCGTTGGCACTTCCCATGTCTTCTGCAGACGCCAGTAGTGTGTCCTTCTGTACTTGTAGAGTGGTCGGGCCCAGGTTAGCCAGTTTCACAGTTGCTAGTCCTTCAGCGTCAAACTGAACGATCCCAGCAGCTATATCACACAGTTGCTTGGCAAGGGTATCCTGGCTGGTTTCTACGTATGCGACCTGGTTTGGAAGTCCTCGAACCACATGGTAGCAGTGGGATAGTGGTGGGAGTCATACGTGGCTAGTCACACAAATCATTAGTGTGGTAGAAAGGATAGGGGTGGTAATAGTGGCACAGGTGTTGAAACGAATGATGTCTGACAATGTATCAATGGTGGCCAACAGTTGTTTAAGGTCAGGGTACCCCAAGATAATGTCATGCGCCAAATTGTTGACAACGTGCAGGACAAGAGAGAAGGACCGACCTAGGAGGGCAACAGAGAGTGTGGTGGTTCCAACTGAGCGCGCTTCAGCACCAGCAGTAGTTGTGAAGGCAATGGAGTTGGTGGTGTCGAGGCCTAGCAGTGCCGAGGCGCAGATGACCATGATCGAGGAGCCAGTATCCACCAAGACCATCAATATCACGCCTTGGACAACACAGGGAATTGATGGGCCAGACGTTTGTGGACCTGAGGTTACCTGGTTTACGCTGAATTGCACTGCGGCCACCATGTGTGAGGAGTCGTTTGGGAGTTGAGGTGGGGCCGAGGCATATTGGGTAGCAGCCATGTGTGGTTGGGAGGGGCAATCCTTGTTTTGGTGAGCTGCCTTACAGTGCCCACAAATGGGACGTCAATCTGCTCCCCAGAGTCGTGGGACACCATCCAGAGGGCCATTGTGATGGGGACGCGAAGAGTATATTGCTGCCAAACAGTCCATTGGTTGTGGGGCATGGCTAGAGAGTGGGGTGAAGGCTGGTGGTGGTGCATACTCACCACAGCGATCCTCGTGTTTCACTGCAGTGGCATACGCGGACTCCCAGCTGTCATACTTGGTGAGTGTGGGTTCCATCAGTTGCCGGAGCTGAGGCTTTATGTTATCCATGAATATCGCCAAAACGGTACGCTCAGAGAGACGGCAGCTAGCAGGAATGTCATTGGCTAGTGTTGCGAACTTGACCTGAAAAATTCGGATCAGAAGTGTCCCTTGTTTAGTGGATTGGAGGGCCTGGCAACATTGGGCCTTCTCAATCTCCAGGTTCAACCCATAGGTGCTTGTGAGCAGATCGGTCAGAGCAGTCCAGTCGTGGCATGTTCTGGAGACGCGGATCCATTCTCCTATGTCAGAAGGAAGATAGTGGGGCAAGAATTTGCCCAAGAGATCAGAGGAGACTCCAACCAGGGTAGCTTCTTTTTCGTACAGGAATAGCCTTGAGTTAATATACATTCCTGGACGGAATTAGGGGACAGGCAATGCCTTGGAAGCAGAGGTGAGATACAGAGTGACCAACATGTCTGGTGCAGAGACTTCCAGGGGGGCAAGAGTCCGTGGAGTAGGCTCGGGACAGAGGGTTATGCTGGCTATGTTCAGTCATGTGGGTGGAAAGCCGAAGATACAGAAGAGAGGAGGCGATAAAGACAGAGGAAGTTAGAGGAAGGCAAGCTTCTCCACCATCTAATGACTATGGGTAAATGGGTTTGAATTCAGAGGCTAGTTTAGGCAACTAGGCGATGAGACAGAAGTTTGAGCTTAAGAAAGATGCTTTTTATTGGTAGAAGAAACAACGAGTATTTATACTCTTTGGCCAGATAGAGAGAACACATTCAAACATGTATCGTCAACAGAGATGTAATGGAAACAAGGAGAAAGAGTTGGAACGAGGATTCAGATACAAACAATAAGGTAGATACAAACAATAGGATAGATAAAAACAATAGCAATGTTAGAGACCTTGTGGTTATACAAGTTTAAGCGCCACTTTACCCTTGGCCACAATATTAAAGCAGCTTTATTAAGGTAAGTGTGGATCCTTAGGGACCGGATATAATTTTTGATGCTGGAAAACAAGACACAATTTTATGGCCTGGTAAAATCAAAATGTCGTCTTCGACCTGAAAACGTCGTCCCCCTAGCATTAGTGATAACCACTGTTACTCAAGCTATTTGGAGTATGTATATATATATATATATATGCATATAGCTGAATGGTAAAAAAAAAAAAAGACTTTTTGAACGATTTATTGCTTGATTTATATAAAAGAGCAATGTTATTGAATAATTATGTTAATCCAAGACGTTTATTCGAAGAGCGTAGTATTTTAAGTGGCTAATAGACTTGATAAAACAAATAAGCCAGCAACAAACCTCTCTGAATCTGGGTTACATCCTATTTCGTTAAGATATTATCTTATATGAGGTAGACCGGTTGTTTCCATTGGGACAGTTTAAGAAGCAATAACCATACTATGAAAAGAAAGAAAACCCCGTTCGTCTAAGTTTATTTCAATATTTTATTCTTGTAAAGATTTTGTATTAAAGGAAAAATTGAAAATAATCCATGCAAAAATTGAAAACCTTGATTAAAGCAAAGTGGCAATAATAGCACTCTTGTGATTTAGTTTCTTTTGTTTTATAATTTGTATATACTCATCTTCTAATATTTATCATAATACTTCTTCCTAAATTCTCTTATGTGCTATTTATACTGTTATCAATTTTAGGTATTTACTACCCATTCATACTACCTGTTTATTCTGCCCATTTATACCACCCGTTTATGTTACCTGTTTATTTTACCTGTTTTTTCTACCCATTTATTCTACCCGTTTATTCTACCCGCTTGTCTAAATTTTTGAAAGCCTTTCAAATTTCTATAGTTGTCTTGATAGCCAGAAGTTTTCTTGTATAAATTCAAATGCTATATAGTGTGTCATTTAATCCCTAAATTTACCTACTTGTCCCTATTGTTCATCTTAATTGAGCACACAATTACGATCGTGGATTATATGTGCAAGATTCAGATATTCCCTTCACAATTAAATGTTTACTTGTCCCTATTGTTAATTTTAATTGGGTACACAATTACGATCGTGGATTATATGTGCTAGATTCATATATTCCCTTCACATTTAAATGATTACTTGTCTCTATTGTTAATTTCAATTGGGCATACAATTACGATCGTGGATTACATGTGAGAGTAATTCATGTACTTGTTTTAAAATATAGAAGGACCAAATGTAAGTCATGTGATTTAGTAACTTCCTATGTTCTTAGTGATTTAAAAGTGCGAACGTAAGTCACGTGCAGAGATATCTCTCTAAGATATTATATAATTTGATAAACCTGATTTTTATTTTAAAACATATTGATAATAGTAAATATTACTTATATCATGACTATCAGCTATACAAGGGATAATTATTATACTACAGATAAGCTGTTAATACTTTGATATTGAGAATCCCAATGTCTAAAAATATCTTAACAACTCTTATAAGCAATTCAAGTATGTTCTGATATAAATAATAATATAAAGTTATTTCTAAACATAATACACTGTAAAAAAGAATACAATTGATTCGAAGGTCTTCACTTTAAGAAAAAATTCGTTGGGTTCTTAAGACAAACTGATAACTGGTATTTAGAGTATTTATAAGAGGCAATGTAACTAATTACGATACTATTACGAGGAAGGACTTTCGAGTTGTATAGTCCCTACGGCTGAGTTACTAGCTAGCACAAATTATACTCCTTAATGGAGACGTGGTAACATAGGACAGTAAAATACTTCAAGAAGATATGCTCTCGAGACAATATATATGCACTCCAATAATTGAGAGGAGTCAATTACTAATCAAACTTCATTTCGACCTTAATTAGGCTGTTATCATCTAGACTATTAAAGGTATGAATACTCAAAATAAAAGTATTAATATAGTGTAAGAAGCATCAAATACAAAGCTTAATATTATTTCATATTCATTCAATACTAAAGGTATATTTAAAATATTTTTTTTCCTATCAGAAATACCAAAGCTTCTCGTTCCCTATGTATAGGCTAAAAATATTTGACTTATTCCTATCGTTTCCCTGCCTCTTTTGTGCGATGTTTTTCAAGTAGGTAACAATATTTCTAAACGTTGGGAAAGTACTTGGACGCATACCGGGGATCTTTTACCCCAATATTTTCAACTTTAAAAATAAAAAAGAAATTCAACAGTAATTTCAGCAGAATTATATTTTTCAACGTAGCTTTTTTGAATGAATTTGAGTATTTGTAACTTTCTAATACGGGTATGATCCTCAGGTGTATATGGAAACCATTGTAACACTAATGGTTAAATACTAAATGTTTAATGGTCAAGATACAGCTGTACGCCTTACAACTTTTGAGCAAAAGATGTGAGGACGGTGTTTTAAATCCTATCTTTTCTTATGGTGTTTTGTAAAAAAAAACTGTACCTCTCAAGAATTGAACTATTGTCGGGAGGTCAATTGAGTGTGTGTAAGACACAAGTCTGATCCCCTCCGTTCCACGATATAACCAATAAGAGGTCAGTAGATGCTCAATTTCATGAGGAGAGAAAAAGAATGAGAAAAACTCTTTTTTCTTGATTCAAGAATGGACTTTGGAAACTTTGATCTTGACAATTCTGGAGGCACATTCAAGCCTAATTTTGGCCTGGAAAATAATATATGCAACAACAATCAAACTATTGACAATTCCGGTGACTTCTTCTCTTTTATCGATGCATCAACAGATAATGTCAATCACTGCCAAGCAACTCAATCCGGGAATTCCACACATCAACAAAATGAGATTGGCTATAACATTCCACAACTCACTCCTGACGGGCGGGAAGATGCCTACACAAGCAGTAGTGTGCTAACTGGTTATAATCCAGAATACGCCATGTCACCTTTGCAAATAGCAACCCAATCTTCATCCGCACCTTTATTGCCCGTTTATCATACACCATTAGGCCGCACAACTTTAAATGGTCTAGAAGATTACGGAGACGAAGAGGTAGGAAGGAGGTCTAATAAACCTACTGTCCAAACAGATCAGTTAGACTAACAGGTCTACAGGAATTCTTCACTCCCTTGGTGTCACCAGCTATGCTACCGACATATAATTCACACACACAGATGAGAGTTCAAGAAAACACTGTGTTTTCCCCCCTTACATCTCCTGCCCTTCACCCTTCGTCGCAGCATGCATTTGCAATGAACTCAGACGGGCATTTCCACCGGCCGTCATCCGAGAGTTTGTTGCAGCAAAAGTTGGCGCAGATTGAACAGCAACAACAACAATTGAGATCCGCTCATCAACAGCAAACACAGGGTCAAGGATCCAATCTGGCAGCCTACCCAAGTCCACGCGCTTCATTTACGCACGAATCCCCCAGCATAAGACCAATACCTGCAAAAACACAGTCTTTACGCCGAAAGATTGCACTTTCGAGTCCACAGATTAATGCCACAAATACTATCCAATCTCCTCATCTCCATCCTGTTAGTCATAATCAACAGGAGCATATCCCCTACTCCGCCAGCGCCTATTCACCGAGACTCAATCCTCAGCCAAGCAAGGAAGCAAGTTTTATAGCCCCAGCAACACCTTCACTGCTGATGCGCCTCGGAGGAGGCAGTAACTTGTCCTCTGGAATTACCTCTAACACACCCACCTCTGCAGTCGATAACATGCCGTCCTTACCTGCACCTCTCCTTGAAGATTCGGTCAAGAAAGCTACTAAACGCAGGCGAATCTCTGAAGCGACCTCATTTTCATGTTCTCCTCGCCAGACTGCGACGGACTCCTCAACTCTATCCCCAATGGGCCTTCGTCCTCAACTGGTAACAGCTTCCCCACGGGCACTCAAGCCGTTAATATCTCCATCTCTTCAGCCCAACGGTAAACGCATGAGCCTTATAGACGAAGAGGCTGCTGTTGCATTGCTCGCTACAAAGAGTAATTATATGCATCTCAAAGAAGGCAAGGCCAAGAGTCTAGGTATTGAATTCTCTACGAATATCCAATCTGGAATCGAAAATAGGCGCACGGCCCACAAGGCAGCGGAGCAAAAGCGACGAGACACATTGAAGCAGAGCTTTGATTCGCTCCGAGAGGAGATCGCAGAGGCCATGGTCGAAGAAGAGAAAGTGGCTGAAGAAGAAGCACGCTATCAAAAAGAGAAAGAAGTTAAACAAATGAGCAAGGTTGTTCTTTTACAGCACTCGTATGAGTATATTCTACGGTTGAAAAGTGATAGTCGCCGGAAAGATAACAAAATGACAAGATTACAAAAGGAAGTACAAGCATTGCGGGCCAAGCTTGGACTTCCAGAAAAGACTGTTGAGGAGGAAGAGGAGGAGGAGAGGGAGAAGATAGAAGAAGAAGAGAGAAGAGAGGCTAGAAGAAAGCGCTTAGAGAGTTTAACAAGTGAAGATCAGGGTCAAACGGACGAGAGATAGTACAAGGACATGTATTAGAAAACAAAGGGAGAAAAAAAGGAGTTTTTTTTTTTCTTTTAGATCACTTTACTGGCTCGCATTTGACTGGGCTGCACCCTTTGTCTGTGCAGCTGTGTACTTTTGCTGGTGTAAATAAATCATGGAAATAAAGCAAAGTTACCTAAAATTTTAAAACGCTCCATATTTGCTATTTGTAAAGTCAATTAATGGTAACCACATCCTTTCTCTATTTATCCCTCTCTCTTTCTCGTTTTCTTCTCTTTCTTCTCTTTCTTCTCTTCCCCCTTAAAGTAAATATAAATGGCTGTTCTATATTCACCTCCAACTCACCCACATTTGTTTACCGGGAACTCTTCTTTGAATCGATCCCAAGTGTCTGCCGACCCGTCTACACAAATAGCTAATCCGACACTTACTCGTGAAAAATCGGAATCATATACACTCGAAAGTCCCCATTCAAAAAAGCCACCGCGCTTCCAGATACATTTAGATGGTACTCATACTCACCATCTTACTCAGTCTTCAGCCCACAAGTGGATGAGTAGTATCAACGATGTTGTCGATGGATTTCTTACTCGTATGACTACAAGCGCGTCTCGTTTTCATCTCTGGGCAAAGGATAGACCACTACCAGAAGAAATACTTAAAGAAGAGCGCACACTTATCGATAATATTCTTGGAAAAGATTCTTCCAAAGGTGTGTCGCTTGTCAAAACATGGGGAAGATGTCAGACAATAATTGGCAAGGGAAACTACGGTACCGTAAGGCTGATAGCCTCCCAAGACCCATGCATTCCAAGCACGCGCCTTTATGCAGTCAAGGTAAATTGAGCCACTATTGAAATCGTTCTCTTTGTATAGCAAACTCAACGAAAAAGCATTTTATATTAGGAGTTTCGGAAAAGAAGGTCGGAATCGATACAGTCCTATGTGCGTCGACTGACGCCAGAATACGTTACTGCTCTTCATCTTCATCATCCTCATGTTGTCCAAGTATTTGATCTCTTGCCTCTCAACGATAAATCCCTCTTGTATTGTCAAGTCATGGAATATTGCGACGGGAGTGACCTTTTTCATCAGATTTCGCAAATACCATCCGGACTCGTTGCAGAGGAGGCCAATTGTTATTTTCGTCAACTGATATCAGGAGTTGCTTACTTGCACACTATGGGGGTTACTCACCGCGATATTAAGCCAGAAAATCTTCTCTTTACATCAAAAGGTTGTTTGAAAATTACTGACTTTGGATCTTCTTTCTGCTTCCGTCCGAAGGAAAACGCCCGATGGGTGGAGTACAGTCGAGGATTGGTTGGATCTGAACCTTATATGGCCCCGGAAATATTTGTCGAAAAAGAGTACGACCCACGTCCCATTGATATTTGGAGCTGTGCGATAGTTTACATGGTTATGCGTACAGGTAGCTACATTTGGTATGTAGCTAAGAAAGAAGACGACGAATGTTACTCACGGTATCTTCGGTTTCGTGCAATGGTGGACGATGCCGAGTCAAGGATTTCGGATGGCTCGGTGCGGTCTTTATCAGAAGAAAGTCAGTGCTCTACTACAGAACAGAGGGAAAATGCAAAGGCTCGCGAAAGACTTCAAAGACGCGCAAAATTAGGTCGTTGGGACGTACTGGAATCTCTTGAAGACGGTCCAAAAGGTTTAATATACCACATGCTCAATACTGATCCCTCAAAACGAATGACATCTCAGCAAGTATTAAAAGACTCGTGGCTCGAGTCTATTGAGTGCTGCCAGTAGTGCAAATCCCCCTTTCCCCTTTGAACCTTCCATACTTTCGCAAATTTCAGAAAGTCGTCTCCAACCATACACATAAATATAACCACAAACATAAACATAAACCTAAACAAGAACATGACGAACATGCTACTCACAAAAAAGGCTCTTTAATAAACCCTAAATAAAGCAAGTATACATATATCTATATTTATATGTACTTTTCTCGTTGTCTGACAAAAGAAAAACTATCGGTTGATCACCTCCGGTTAATACTTCCCTGGATAGTGGAAGTTTACAGTATAGGTGAATCATTCTCACCCTAAAATCCTTCATTTTTTTCTTGTCCAAACTAGATCTCCAAAAATCATTAACATACCACTCTTTTACAACGGCATTGAATGTCACAAAGTGATACTGCAGGACAAGAATGAATGGAATGGTGATTATTCAATCATTGATCATTAATAAATAAAACTATTGGTTTCTAGCCAGATTTCCTTCAGACTCCTTGATATATGAACTTGTTCTATTGTAATTAGCTTAAGATTATGGTTTATATCATTCATACAGATTAGACTAAGCAAATTAATCCAAAAGTGGAGTATTCAGGTACCAGATTTGTGACTTTCCACAAGTTGAGAAAACGCATTGGCAATTGTGTTGTCAGACTTTCCAGTAACTTTATCTAAGCTCCATTTATCTATGCCGTTATCTTCGAAGGAAAGAGCAAATACACGCAACCTAAAAATCCCAGACTTGCAACTATACTTTTAAATGCGTGAAAAGCAAGTGCCACACTACTAAGTCATAGAAGCACATCTATAGTATTAAGTGAAATATTCAGACACTTTCAATAAATCAGAACCTATCAACAACTCCATACAACAAAATGACATGTAGCATAAAATGCTGTTTTAGGGAATGTCTATCGACTGATCAACCGACGAATTTTCTAAAAGTTCAATTAGTACTGATGATAGAATAAACTATCCTGCCCTACAAGACATACGATTGTGTACTGCAATAAACTTTAACATGGGAATTACAAGAATATTACACTCTAGTTAGACTAGATAAGCATATTATCTCTCCATTTCTTAGATCTCAAAGTACTCCTTGTACTCTAACGTATTTCTTTACTAAAATTGGCGTACACTAGGTATTGATTAAACCTTAAATATATGTAAGATGTTTACTTGCTTCACATATGACTTTTATTACATTAGTCTGGATAGAGAATAAGCACCGAAACCCTAGAAACTGTTCATATTCGCTAAAGTAACAGGGTCCTTCTTTATATTTAAAAACCTTCTGGCTTTATAGAACTTTAACCAGGTCTCTTAGAGACAAACTGAAAACACTTGTTTTGCATCATGTTTCTCTTTTTCAAATGAAGCAAAATGCAATCTGTTTAACATGATGCTTTGCTTACCCCCTCCCTTGTGTGTATGTGTGTGTTTTACTTAGTTTTAAAGTACATTGATTACGCCATGTGCATATACAATGTTCTAGACCAGTGTTCTTCGCACAATATACAAACCCCTCCTGTTATATCTTGAACCTCCAGGGACCACCTTGTGACAAGTAGAAATCTGGACTAAGCAAAATATAATGAAAGGCTGAAATACAATCACACTCATTAACCATAGCTTTTAGGAAAGTCGATACTACATTTATATTTGTCGGCTTCTTCAATTAATTTAAAACTCTTTGCTATTAGGCTTTAACAATATAATTAACGTAAACATTTCTAACTTTCCATTATTATTAAAAGTAAAGTATGTGCCTCGTTCAAAGCAGTTTATATTCTAAGCTTCGTCTAAACCAAAAATAGGTAAAAGCTTTCCAATATGTATTGGTTGGATGGTATAGTTGTGGCTGTTATTCTAGCAAACATTTTATCAATAGTAATCATTTTTGTGCTGAAAAAAAAAATAGAGCATGGTAGATATATGCTTGATATCATCATAAACTTGACAGGGTGCATCTCAATCGGGTGGACAACTTTGGCAGGGTGCAAGACACTGATATCCAATCAAAGAACACTTTATTCGGACCCCGAAACATTCATCAGTTTGGACAGTGGCCGTGTATAGCGATTTCTTTCCACCCTTCAAAGGCAAAGAACTGTAAGGTAGAGATACAGGATTATGTGTCCAAAAGAGAATATACGACGGTCCCACAATAACGATTCTATTATAATATATCTGGTTCTATACTGGAAGATGGATGGATATATGGATGGATGGATATAATTGTATATGGATGAACGACCTTATATTAACTATATATATAGCACCATGCAGATCTTTGTGAAGACCCTCACCGGCAAGACCATCACCCTCGAGGTTGAGAGGTGAGATATACATCTCCATTTGCTCTTTTTGTAAAGAGCGAAAGACTCACATCACATGTAAAATAGCTCTGACAGCATTGATAACGTTAAGCAGAAGATCCAGGACAAGGAAGGTTCGTCATCATCTCTCTAAACCAACCACAACATCAAACTCAACTGTCCTGTTTAGGTATTCCTCCGGATCAGCAGCGTTTGATTTTCGCTGGTAAGCAGCTCGAAGATGGTCGCACCCTCTCCGACTATAACATCCAGAAGGAATCGACTCTCCATTTGGTCCTCCGTCTCCGTGGTGGTATCATTGAGCCTTCCCTTAAGGCTCTTGCTTCTAAGTATAACTGCGAGAAGATGATTTGCCGCAAGTGTTATGCTCGTCTCCCTCCTCGTGCCACCAACTGTCGCAAGAGAAAGTGTGGCCACACTAACCAGCTCCGCCCTAAGAAGAAGCTTAAGTAATGGTTGAGCGCTCTGCTTTATTTTCAGATGAATTATGTAATAAAAAACAATGCGAATCCATTTTCTTGTCACTTGTGTCTTTGTATTATGTCCCGAGTGCGCTCGGGCCATCATGTATGTTTTGTCGGAGATCCTACAAAGAAGTAATATATAAATATGCGTGTATATTTATAAACGAAAAAAATCTATTGAAAGAGAATGAGATTTAAAGATACAGTGTAAAGAACTCCTCGGATTTATAAACATTTGATATTTTAATATTTGATATTCCAGATTTTAACTATAGTTCTAGGTCTACCGAGAATGTGTGTGTGTATTATAGGTACATTATCTTTATGATACATCTGTACTGGAAAGAGAGAAAGAGAGAGAGAGAGAGAGGAGGTGTTGCATACAAGTACTACTTCTTGTCGACGTCACTCAGCGGGAAAGAACTTGTTACGGGAAAATAGCAAAAAAAATGTTTGGCGAGGCTCACCTCTGCTGGTACTAGAGCACTTTGTTATCCTTCTCTACTTCGCCATCCTCCTCTATTCTCTTTTTATTATTCTTCTTTCCCCCTGGTTTTTTCTTTGTATCAAGCGCCGAGAAAGCAGTCCTTCCTAAATCTCTTACTCTTCTTTACTCTCCTGTTGACAACCTATTTCACTTCACTCTATTAAAAGGTAATCCATTCTCACATAGATTCACTCAAAACCAGAATTTTTCTTGGGGCTAAAGAAGTGAATGCACGCGGTGGATGCGTGTCATTGCCATCAAAATTGCTACACCTCTTCATCATTCATTCTTCCTTTTTAATATTCTCTAACTTAGTCATCAAACTACTACATTGGCTTCTTTATCATAAACTTCCTTTGCTTGTGTACTTTGTTCCTACAAAAGGATGTAGATGAGCTGAGGCACCGCAATATAAACTCAATTCAATTTTCTATAGACACGTACACACCGATATATACCTATGGCTCTTTCTGTAGCAGAAACGCTCAATAGCATTGAACCCCTCGGTCTATGCCCCTCGGCAAAAGTCGAACCAACCGAAGATCCATCTAAAGAAAAATACAGGCTATTAAAAAGGCGTCTAAAGGAAATGTCAGAGGTAAGCGAATTATTTACTTTTATTTTTCAAACTTTTCTTTATTAATTTCTTGAACTTCTTTTAATAGAAAAATGAGGACTTGGTGAGCGAGCTTAGTCGCGCCAACAAACGACTGCGGCTTCTTTCCAAAGAAAAAAAGTAAGACTGTCAAATTTATATTATACCAACTACTGACAAAGATATACAGCATTCTCTTGGATAGGATCTGTAAGCTAAGTGATCCTTATCCAGCCCGTTTGGGAAGACGTTCAAACGAAGATTATACGTATCATTGTCAAGATGAATCTGCTAGTACAGCCTCTGAGGGTGAACCAGAACAAGGTAATAAAAAGACATGTGAAAAAAAAAAAGAAAAATACTAATTAATGAAATCGAGGGTAGCAGAAACACCAGTGCCCTCTGAAGCAGCCGGCATGCTCCAGTTGCACTCTCTCGAGATCTCATTTAACAAACCCACCTCGATCAGCCCACCCCTGGAGCACATCACTCCTTTTCAACACTCTGATGGAACTCTCATGAAAGGTGGTACGACAGTTCCTTCATCACGTCCTAAACGTATGCGCAGAGGGCCTGTGGAGCCCAAGATGCGTCGTGTTCAACCTTTGGAAAAAAACGAAGTGACGGGTGAATACAAACTACCTGCACGGGTAGGTATTCTCACTGTTCACTCTCTTGGTAGAGTTGTTCCTCTCCCCTCTTACCATAATGATCGTTATATTTGGCCTCCTGGCTTCAAAGTTAGCAGGTAAATCACGAACCTTGAAACATGTTCTATCATTAGCTCTTATTCTTTTATTTGGTGGCAGAACCTATCTCAGTATGGTCAACCCAGACTCAAACACTGTCTACACTTGCTCTGTGGAAGAAAACGGCGATCAGGGACCAAAGGTATAATTTGCACGACTGGATAAGAAGACGGAAAAAAAGGTTATTTACCTCAAGTAGTTCCGAGTGGTTGCAGAAGATTGTGAAGAACCCATTATTGCCAACTCTGCTACTGGTGTTTGGACAGCTATTGTTAAGAAAGCAAAGTAAGCCTATTGCTGCTATTAAACCGATACTTACCTTTGTATTAGTGAAATTCGAAGCAGAGATCACTCAAACTCTGGTAATTAACAAGTTTATGATCCTTTGTTGTTGCGTTTGTATTGTATTTATTGTTTTCTTATCTAAATAGCTTCTGGACCCGATTATTATGGCTTTACACACGCCACTATTGCAAAAATGATACAAGATCTTCCTGGAGCCGACCAATGTCTTAACTATGTCTGGCAGAAATTTGGAGTGATGCACCAACGAACAGCTGCTGGTGTAGCCGCGGCTGCCCAAAAAAAGCTCACTAACCTCGAAATTATGGGTAGTGCGAACAAGAAGCCGCCACCAACTTACGTGGGAAATATAGTTAAGCATGACATGAGCCCTATACCTACGTTTGTCTCTAAGGAAGAGACGGAGGAAGTCCAGATAAAGGTTTCCCCACATGACATGAAAATAAGCGAGACGGAGTTCAGCTAGTCTGCTCCGCAACAGAACAAGGGATATTTTGGCTTGTTTTTTTTTATTAACTGAAAGAAAAGAGGAATTGTCTTTTTCTATTATCCTATGTATTGGGCTAAAGGGTATCGTTCTTTGGTTCAAACTTACATGTTTGTTTTCGTGTTTATCTATGATTCCCATATTGTTTTCCATTGATTTTTATAGGGTCGACGTATTTTTTATTTGTCCCTTTTTTTATGATATAGTATATTGAAAATGAACAACAATAGAAAAAAAAAGAAAGTGGGTGAATTTTATAGGGTGTTCTTGATGGTTTGGGTGTGATTGAACTAAATGGATAAAAGAAGCGGTTGTACGGCTGGTTCTTGCCAAAAATGCACTTTCCCACCCTCCAGTTTAAATACTTTTATTTTTTACAAATCCCCGGTCTCTAACTGTTAATATTTATTATATATCTTTATTTATCTTAATCACAAGCTATCGATATTCTAATGTATTATCTGATTTCATAGTAAACATAATATTCAATTGTACTTAACGTGTAGCTCACATCTTCTTTAGTTTTATATAGAGATACTATTGCTTAAGCTAGACAGCTTGCTTTTGTAAGATCCATTAAAACAATACCGTTCTCTTTAATAATTGCTTGTTTGACGAAAAATATACACCTTTCAGAGTAATTAACCCATATTCAAATTAAAGTTAAAGTCTTGATAGAAATAAGAGCGGCCAAGTAATTATTCAAAGGTTAGGTAAAGTAGGAAGGGATCTCTTCCTCGTCTTTGGTTACTTGATCGAGGCCAATAAACCAATACAAGGGGTCTAAAACTTATTTTGATCTACTACAAGATAACGATTGAATGATTGGTACCTTTAGATAAATCTCCTTTAGATACATCAATTAATATATTTATCCTGTTAATCACGTACCATATTCTCATGTATCAAAGTTATATTTGATAAATATTTATAGCTGTATAATCTCTATAAAATGCAGCACGATTGACAAGCAAGAATTTTAAGCTTTACGCACATTTATCTTTTAGTCTTTTAAGTACTCAATTGACTGACCTCCAACATATATACCTACCCAATCTCTTATTATATAATATTTATCCATTGACGCTTTAAAAAGCATCGTCCAAGTCTCATATGTATAGTCCTTTGTGGATTAGAAAACAATGAACGAAAGTAACTCGTTCCGAGTCCTTACGGTCAATATATTAATGTAGTCAAACTTTTTTGTCGAGGTTTTCCTTTACTTAACCGGACGCCATACTGACTTATTTAGGATAGCAGAAAAAAAGGCTGAGTGATGAGTTCGTTTCCTGTCGCATGGATACTTATCTTAATAACACCTTATACACCTCAATCTTCCTCTCAAATTCTCGCAGAATTACTACGTAAGATATCAAAAAAGTTTACCCCACCTACATAACCAACATCAAGAAGAGGTTTGGCCAGAATTTCTGCCGAGTAATCAATAACTTACTCTATTTAAAAAGAAGACAACTAGAGCTGACTTAATACATGTATTGGCAAAGAGCAACTGAGGGGCGAATCGAAATAATACTAACAGGGCATATATTTCAATTGGCCGGGCCGTTCAAGGAAGTTCAGACAACTCGCCAACTTGAAGATGTCTTCGCAGAAGAGAAATATAGAAATTCCTTCATGGCAATATTTCTAATATGGACAGCCTACCTAGAAAAATATAGGCTCAAACAAAGCTCTATCTACCATAACTCAAAAGTATATCTTCACAACTACTTCCTCGCCTTCTTTTATATCGCCCAACTCCTGTAACAACTCGGATATACACCATTCAACAGTTTCCCTCTTAACCGTTTTGATTGTCATGCTACATGTATGTTTATACTATAATTTTGTCTCGGACAATCTTGAGAAGAGCATAGAAACTATCCACACACAAAATCGGCCTGTAGGGAGTTATGGCAGACTTGGACAACAAGATTTTCCAAGATCAACAGAGCGGTGTGATAAAATTCTGAGGGACGATACAAACCGGCAGAGTTGGCATCTCTGATCTTAAGTAGACTCAAGACACCACCCAAGGACCTAGTCCAGAAGGGCTATAATAATATACACTGAAATTATTGGCAACGTTTATGGCTTGCCTCCATAACAGCATGAAAGAGTCCGTGGATGCTATGTAATTATCGATGCTGGAATTAGATGTATTATATACTGCATGTATGAGGATTCTACATTAGAGGTAACGAATTGGTACCTATACCCCTCCAGCTGGCATAGATTTAGGCTCAACAGTGTCAAGTTTTGTATTATTTTGAACCTCAAAGCTCAACCCCAGAATGTTATTGCTGTAGAGTATGAAATTTTCCAAACGTCAAGACGAACCAACAACATCGCCGACTTCACTTTTTATACCTTGGTCAAAGCAGCAGACTCTTCAATGACCACTTCCTTTTATGTAAACATCATCATTTGCACAAGCTAGCAACCTTTGTTTTGCAAGCTTCGTATCTTCTCAGGTATCAACCAATGCAAATCTAGGGGACATATAGCCAAAACTTTCTCACTGAGTTAGGTCCAGATTATGTCTTGGTCATGGAAAGCTTTTCTGCCCCTCACATCAGATACCATGAACCAATCAATGGTGTATAAATTAGGAAGCTACTTCACAAACATAGATTTGATGTTTGTTTGATCAAGGAGTTTACTACATCCAAACATTGTCCTTCGTGCCTCCAGCTATCACTTGGAATCTTTATTCAAATCCCCAGCCCTCGCCCATGTCCCTGCACACAAATTCCAATTGTGGTATACCATGGTCTCTAAAGGTAAATGATACAACTACTCAATATTTATTATCATTAATCTTATACGTTTTTTTAGATGTACTGATCTAAATTGTTTGAAAAATATAACTTCTTTACAGGTTAAGCGTTGTTTGTGGGATCGAGATCGCTGATGTTATGAACTTTCGACATACACTTAACCAATCGAGATATGATGGTATAATACCTGAAATATTCACTCGTGACATTTGAATTCGACACAATAAAGAGCGGAAAGAAGATTATGACCAGAAGGGTCGTCGTGCAAGGCAAGAATTCACAAGAATTCAAAGAAGATATAATTATTTCGGTCTCGTTATCGCTCGGCTATATATAAGGCACCAAATGGTAAGCTATTCCATTCTTAAAATGATTTCAGTATCTTTATTTTTCTATTAAGTTGAATAAGTAGTAAAAGGTGCTTTATATTGGTTGCAAAAATATGGTGGGTAAAAGTGGAATACTTTAAGACATGACATTACTTTTGAACTACAGTAATTTTTTTTTAAAAAAAAAGAGATTGAAATTGAAGTGTTTATATTTGTGGTATACACACCACAATTGAGTGAAGAACAGACCCCACAACCAAACACTGGTTCTTTCTTGCTAATGAACCTGGCAAGTTAACAATCTCCGGAACTGTTACACACCAGGCACACGTACACTACACACTCATACAGTGTAAACCAACCATTACACAACAGGGATTTGAATTACAGGGATTTTAATGGTAGCAGATATAAACAATATTAATTTGTCTCTTTAATAAATAACACTCTCACAATATCTACTTTTCCCATTATTGAGATACTAACCCATAAACAATCCCGAATACCTCAATATTTATACACGAGTATAAAAAGGGGAGAAAATTTAGTGCTTAATTAAAATTCCATTTTTAAACACATCTTAAACGCTTGAAAGTCTTGAAAAATCTCTTGCTAAAATCGTCTTTTTTTACCAGTGTAATTAATAATAATTATTATATGGTATAACGCAATACACATTACTGATATATTTTTAATTGAATGTACGTTATGCATTCTTTCAAAAAAATTATTGCGAAGAAAGCTTAGAAAATTGGTTCACTTTTCTATTCATTTCTCTGTCAAAATTAATCTTTCATTATGCATTTGACATGTCCCATTTTTGGGCGAACTTGAATTTTATTTTTGTATTAATAATTTTTTAGTATATTGTACTGATTATTAAAAAAAAAAACTTCAATGTATTAGAAACTAGAGTATGGTTAATGCAATATATACCTTTCTCTCTTGAACGCTTTCTTATGTTGTGTTATTTACTACCTTTTATTGAATTTATTATTATTATATTATTATATTGTAACGAAACACGGCAAAAATTAATACTGTATCTAGACATTTAAAAAATCAAGGCTTCAGTTAATATTTGCTTTTAACATATACCCTCATATTACAAGGTCCACTTTCAATTTTTGATAGTCAAAACATATATTATATTTCCATCTGCAGCTGTAAAACTAATGCATTTTGTGTCAAATAACGGGGCTGAATAGTTTTAGCTTTATATGTATAAATGTATAAATAAATGGCATGAATATTTGTATTGATAAAAAGTATTTAATTCTCTATATTTGTGTCCCTTCCTATTTATTCAAAATATTAGAAAGATATACCCAATTAAGACTTAACAAGTGCGTGTAAAGAAATACTGTAATATTAGTTTAGAAAACTATAGAAGACAATTCAATCCATATAAATAAAAGGTATCTTTTATCCTCTCTTTGATTTTACGTATACTCCTTGATCCCCAGTGGGTTTGACCTTTTGACTTTGTTATAGTAAAAGTGTCAGAGTTGACATCGGTGACCAAAATCGGAAGTTACAAGCAACCAGTAACGGTTGACTTTTTAGGATAAAAGATCTTGACTTCGCCGATTGGTCTTTTGTCTATGTTTTAGATGTTGGAGATGAGGAATATACTTGTAGAGATATTACTGGATAACCACCATCTAAGACATATTATCGTAGCTATTCTTTTAGCTAGAAAACAACAATCGTTTTGTATAAATAGTCAAGAATTACATTTAATAAAAATTATCTTTATTCTTATCTAAAAACTATTCTTAAAAACTTAACGATCCCCAGTGGTATTGATTCTGCGACTTAGTTACAAGTGCCAGAAAAGAAATACCAGATCGAGACTTGACAAAAGGAAGACCAACCCAGATCGGGAACGACACGTTTACAGTGAATTGGAAGATAGCCTAGATCAGGAACGACAACAGATTCATCAAAAACAAAAATGCTTCCATCCGGGTTCGAACCGGAGACCAATTGCGTGTAAAGCAAGTGTCATACCACTAGACCATAGAAGCACATGTTTTATGTGGTTAAAACAAAAATATAAACCTAAAAAATAACTCTATTTTAAAAGGAAGAATTAATTTTTTTAAAACATAGCAATTTATATAATAGAGAACCTATTGAGATATGATAGTGTCATAGACTGCTAAGAAATAATTGTTAGTGAAACTCAGCTAAAAATAAAAAAACTCAACTACAGTTGATTGAAGCCTAAGTATTATAATAAATACAGGATTTTAACTATAAAATAGTGACTTTTCTAAATTGACTTAGACAAACTCAAGTTAATTTAGGCAAATTCCCAAATTAATTTAATGAAAAACCCAAATTGATTTAACCAACATTCTAAGTTGTTTTTTTTTGCTGTTATATATAAAATCAATATTTTATAACTAATATTATTTTGATTTAGCTATCAAACATTTAAAAGCTGAAATAAAAATAAATAATATAAAAAATAATATTAATTATTATACAAAATACACATTATGAATGAAATTAATGTGACAATACTATTAATTTACATGAAATTTGGTGACTGGCTATACTGCACTAAAGCAGAAAAAATTAGTGATAAATAAGCTAAGCTTGTTATTAATCATAGTAATATTGTCACTAATTTATTGAATAGTAAGACAGTATACTTAATTAGCTTAGTTTCAAACAAAGTAATAGTAAAAGTATGGTAGTAAATTCATATATAGAAAAATTGGTGATAAAATTTATAGATTTTATTTTTATTTATATGCTTGCTATGTAGTAGAATATACAATAGAAATATACAATAGACTGTACAATATACTATATGATATACTATATGATGTACTATACTATAGACTATATAATAGACTATACAATATAATATATGATATACCATATCTTTCACATGGCATAGAATAATACATATTTATATATAAGCTTAATAATAATATTAACAATATATCTTGCCTATATACTAACTTATATATTAGTTATATAATCAATATATATCTTTAGATATATCAGCTATAGATGGTGGAACTCTTTTTTATAAATTATAATTGTTGACACTTTTTTATTGAAAGAATATTCAAGCAATTCTATTTCAGTGTTGAGTAAAGCTAAAGTAAAGAATACTATAAATATATGTTGTGGTGATCCAGACACTCGGATGTTGGATTTATCACATATAAGAACATATTCATATTGGGATAGCATAGTAGCTATCATCTTGTCAGTATAAAATATATATAAACGATTAAGTAATCAGCCCAATAATTATTACAGTTAGTACTGTAGATAATATCTTAAAGATTGTTAAGATAATTATATCATACTGCCGGGTAAACTGTGTCAGATCGATATGGAGCTAATTTAGTAGGAAGTCCTAAAGCTCTAGTATAAAAGAGAAAAGAATAGCTAAGAGCTAAAGAAGTACGATTTATGACTTGATGTCATAATTGTAACACCGACACTAGTTAAGCAGTAAATACACTCTAATAACCAAATATAGTAAAGGAAGAAAACCTTAAGAAACTAAGACGTAATGACAAGAGCAGATTGTGTTTTCTTATAAAAAGGGACACTTTTTATTTATGAATAAAGACAACTTATATACAGTCTCAAAGTATTTCTATACGTCTCTATTATCAAATATTTTAATTTTTCTATTGTTTCGTACCTGAAATACCACATATGTACTTAAAAGTATTTTTTTTTGTAATTTTCTCAAGTGTTATGTATGAAATAAAAATAAGATATAAAATAAAACAAGTGCAGACAAGAGTATAGTGAGACTTTGTTTTATTAGAAGAAGTAAAAGAATCAGAAAAGAGATGCTGTTCTATTGCTATTAGTATTGTGCGTTTATATAGACATTGTATTTAGCTTGGTGATGATATGATGATATCATGTAATATCTGTTTCTCTACCATTATCTTCTATGATTTAGTTCTTATGTTTTTAGTGTTATTGACTAGAGTCTTAGTTGTGGTATTTCAGGTACGAAACAATAGAAAAATAAAATATTTGATAATAGAGACATATAGAAATACTTTGAGACTGTATATCAGTTTTTTATTCATAAATAAAAAGTGTCCCTTTTTATAAGAAAACACAATCTGCTCTTGTCATTACGTCTTAGTTTCTTAAGGCTTTCTTCCTTTACTATATTTGGTTATTAGAGTGTATTTACTGCTTAACTAGTGTCGGTGTTACAATTATGACATCAAGTCATAAATCGTACTTCTTTAGCTCTTAGCTATTCTTTTCTCTTTTATACTAGAGCTTTAGGACTTCCTACTAAATTAGCTCCATATCGATCTGACACAGTTTACCCGGAAGTATGATATAATTATCTTAACAATCTTTAAGATATTATCTACAGTACTAACTGTAATAATTATTGGGCTGATTACTTAATCGTTTATATATATTTTATACTGACAAGATGATAGCTACTACGCTATCCCAATATGAATATGTTCTTATATGTGATAAATCCAACATCCGAGTGTCTGGATCACCACATTAGTATTTGTCTTAGTATGTTCTTTACGTAATTTTCTTGTATAAGGGAAGATATATCTTTTAGTATTGTTACTAGTTGTCGGTAACTCAATGTATGTATTTATTGAGTGTCTGTACTTTTAATTTAAATCTACAATTATGTTGGATACAACATCAAGTATATTCATTAACAGCTTCAAGTAATTGTGATTAAAGACGAAGTCTACAAAAATAAGCTAATATACTGCTGTGGTAATTAAAGTTTTAAAAAGTTGTAAGAGGAAGAATTCAAGATTTGAAATGAGAAACGAAGATTCATGAGAACTTGTGTAGGGTTTGTTTATTGAGAAAGATTTTATATCAAAATTTGATGAGGTTCCTACACTGAACTACTACTGCTATTTATATTATTTTGGATTGGGAAAATTATATAGCTGGAGTCAGGTAATCGATCCTATCTGAGTCTTAATCAGAGCAACATGATCTTGGGATAATTAATATATGATTAATTATATAAATGTATGTAGTCCCAATGAAGTATTAACATCAAAAGTAAATGTGTTTATGAGTTATAATTGTTGTGGTGGTTGAAGTTGAAGAAGTTTTTAAGAGGAAGAATTGAAGATTTGAGATTAGGAACGAAGATTCGTGAGAACTTGTGTAGGTTTTGTTTATTGAGAAAGATTTTGTATCAAAGTTTGACCAGGTTCCTACACTGAACTACTACTGCTATTTATATTGTTTTGGATTGGGAAAATTATATGACTGGGGTCAGGTAATCGATCCTATCTGAGCCTTAATCAGAGCAACGTGATCTTGGGATAATTAATGTATGATTAATTATATAAATGTGTGTAGTCCCAATGAAGTATTAACATCAAAAGTAAATGTGTTTATGAGTTATAATTATGCTTATAATAATCCACTGATGTATCCCATATTATGGTGATATCATCATATGAAATATAATCACTATCACGCATGCTAAACCTGTGTGTTAAATAATAAAGTAATCGGTAGACACCTTTGACTGGAATAGCTGAGGCCTTATATTATTTCCTTCAGACTTATTCTCAATTACAGCAGTAGTCAATACTCATTTACAACATTATCCTCCACCAGATTCAACAATACCTTTTGTTGATTCGGCAAAACATCTCATCTTAACTATTTATTAATTTGTCGAATTGCTCAATTTCATTTGGGTCAATTACGCTCATAATTTTTTTTTTTTTTATACTTCAAGAGATCTGCACTGTAAACTCAGCTCCGTGGATTACGTGTTTATTTTATCAAATTTTTTGTTGCTCTTCTTTTGGACATTCTTTCTTCTCTACTCAGTGCGGTAGGAAGCTTACTTCCATTGTGCTCTTCAATGCGATTCCTTTTTATTTTACCATCATGTCTTGGAATTTGAACTGTTTTCTTTAATGAGGCTGCACTCTTATTCACTAATTCCGTGGCTCTCTCATTCTCTAAACGTTTGATTTCTCTGACCTTCTTCCAATACTTTTGTATTATTGTGGGATTGGTAAAATCGTTAGCCATTTGCCATGTGTTTGCCCATTCACCATAACCAACCCATTTTACCAGATATTCTCTTTCACCAGCAGCACCACGATGATCGCGAATGTCTTCAACTTCATAGAGCTCATTCTCAATTGTAGATTCATCGATGGTAACCATCTTGAGTTCTGAGGGTGTGTAATTTCGGTGCAACAATTCTCCTTGCTCATCCTTTAGTTCATACAATCCTCCTTTATTTCTTCGAACCACTGTATAAGGACCTTCATAGATTGGTGCCAATTTATTTGGATGATGTGGTAATCTGACCATTACGTGTGTTCCTTTGGGGATGTCTATTAAGATGTTCTTGTGATCGTATTTCTTTTTTAACTCTTCGTTGATCCGCAAGACTCTTTCGTTTATGGCAGGGAATATTATTTTATCCATATATTCAATCTGCTTCTCCAATTCATCAATTGTTACCGTGTTTTTGGGAAGAGAGAATTTTGCTTTATCACCATACTCATCAGGTACATTAACTCTGCGAGCATACATTAGTGAAAAGGGTGCACTCAGTGTCTTTTGAGGAATATGTCTGTTTATGCATAGCTGAACAATTGGTAAAATAGTGACACCAGTCATTGCTGTTCGCTCTCATCATTTTCCGTACAGTATTCTCTGCAACTTTCACACTGGCTTCAGCAATACCATTTCCTTGTGGATGATATGCCGTTGAATATCTTCGATCAATACCAAGCTCTTTCGATAGGCTTGCCATTAAAGAATTTCTAAATTCCAACCCATTGTCACTTTGCATTACTTTGGGAAAACCATAATCTCCAAATATTTTTATCAATGCCTTAGCTATTGTTGTCGAGTTTTTGTTTGGTAATGGTCTCAAGATGATATACTTGGAACAAACATCAACTAACACTAGCATATACGTGTGACCATCCTCTGATACTGGGAATTCACCGCATAAGTCAATTGCAACATGATCAAATGGTCGGAAAGCTACAACATTGGTCAATGGGTGATATCCTCTTTTGCTGATGTTGTGCTTCTGACATTCAGAGCAAGAACGAATAATCTCCTTTGCTTCTTCATATATATTAGTCCAATGTAATCCTTGAGAGTGAAGATCATTCACCATAGCTTGACTACCAAAGTGACCAAACGAATGTGCTTCTTTTAACAAGCCATTTCGCTTTTCTTCAGGAGGCGACATATAGTCGGAAGTCTCTGATACATTTTCGATGAGTTGTGTAGCAAGTACATTTAGCACTTTGTCCTTACTGTACTTTTTCTTACGAATAATAACTCTATCTTTAGATTGCAAGTGTTTTGTTCTGATTTTTCTCAATCCATCATCCTCCACCAGCTTGTAACTATCCTCTGGAGGATACAAGCGACTCAACAAGTCTGGTAGTTTATTCAACAAACCAGGAATATGGACCACCTTAAAATCAAAGTCAAGAAGTGTCTCAATCCAGCCAATTATCATGGGATTAGCAATTTTTTGTGTGTGAAGATAAGTGAGTGCTTTATGATCAGTAAAAATGGTGAACTGTCGGCCCCATAGAAATGGACGGAATTTATCAAGCGCCAAAACGACTGCATACAATTCTCTTTTGGTGGTGCTCCATCGCCGTTGGGATGGGCTCAGGGAAGTTGACACAAAACTAATATACTTATCACGCCCTTGATCGTCGCGCTGAAAAAGCAGGCAGGCTACTCCATAAGGGAAGCATCTGTGGCCACATACATTTCACGTGACATATCTGCGTAATGAAGAATTAAATCCTGATGCAGTATGTTCTTTAATGCTTTAAAGCTTCTTGTCTGCTCATCTGTCCATAGCTCAGCTACATTGTTGGCATGACTTAATCGTGAAATAGGTTCAGCCACCTTCGAGATCATGGGAATATAGTCTCTGAAGTAATTAATCAAACCCATAAATTGCTGAATTTGTTTCGCAGTTTTAGGAATAGGCCATTTATCAACGTTTGTCAACTTTCGCTTATCAACCTTGGTGCCTGTCTCATTGACGACAAAACCAAGCAATCGCACTGAATGTTGAAACCAGACACATTTATCAGAGTTTAGAATCAACTTCGCCGATGTCAATCTATCAATCACTATTTTTACATCCTTAACATGCTGCTCAAATGTTTCGCTAGCCACAATACAATCATCAACAAAATTCTGCACACAGTCAATTTTATCAAACAAAGTTGCCATGACATGTTGAAATTGTGATGTAAGCATCTTCAAGCCAAAGCAGCCTTTAATGAAGCTATATTGTTGCCCATCTAAATGAGTGAATGTTAATTTATTAACATCTTCAGGTGCAACTTTGAAACGATGGTAGGCATTCGATAAATCCAATGTGGTGAAAATTTTCTTTCCACTCAAATTCTGGAATATCGTTTGGATTTTAGGAATTGGATAGTTGAATGTGGGAGGTAGGATCTGATTCAATAATCGCACATCTAGACAAACTCGGTGACTCACAATCTCTCCAGCTTTGTTTCTTTTAGACACAAGCAACATAGGACTGTTGAAGGAAGTATTGGTCTTGGACTTGACAATCGTGCCTGTCTCAAGCCATTCTTTTACTCGTTTATCAAGTGTTGGTCGTAGAGCATGGGGAATAGGATATTGACGTCTATAAGCTGTGGCGCCTTCTTTTGTGGGTAATCTAATTAGAGATTCTGATAAAGGACAAGAGGACTCGACTGGGATTTTCTTATTTTCATCCAGTGAGGCCTGAATTGACTGAATAAATTCTGCTCGCTGTATTTCCGTACCAGCTGGCGAATTATCCGGTTCAAACTTTTTCTCTTTATCGATATTTAGATTCTCATACACAGTGGCATAGTCTTTAGCGTTATCTGAATGAATATATTCTCCTTCGATATCGTATGCAACATTAATCAATCCGATGTTCATTTTTGTTAAGATATCTCTTCCAAGAAGAATATCAAAATTAAATCCTGTATTAAACTCTAACACCTCGGGTGCATGCTTAAACGTAATTCCATTCACATATTTAAAATTTAAAGGATCAGTTTTTCCCAATCGCTTAGTACCACTATTCTTTGACAAGAAAGTGAAGGAACCATTTGATGAATTTATTTTATTTATATTTAAATTTTCATTCAAACATTGTAAACTAATGAAAGTGCGTGCACTGCCAGTGTCAATCATTCCAAGTAGTTTGTGGTTCTCTACAATAATAGGAGTGGTTAGATTAAATGCATCATTGGCTTTAACCCTTCTCTCAATTTTGTCAAGTAGGTACTTACAGTCGAAAGACATGTCTTCGAGTTCCAAGTCGACACTGTCTTGGATCGCCTTGAGCACTTGCTCAGACTTCTCCTTGGCAGGGACCTGCGAGACCATCAGGACTGGCTCACTGTCCTTACAGACGTGGCCACGGAAGTAGTTTTCTCCACACCGCCTGCAGGGGTTGCGCTTGGTGGGGGCAGCTACTTTGGCCTTGTTGTTGGCCAGGGTGAAGCATTTGCTCGACTCATGTGTAGTATTCTTACCATGGTGCGAGCAGAAGAAGGAACGCTCCGGCTTACTGATTCGGTGCTGCTGGTTGTTGCTGGAGTGCACCTTCTTGCGAGGATACGCCTCCATTCTCTTCTTCTCCATTCTCCTCTCAGTGTGCATGTTGGCACCAGGAATGAGCTGGGTAGCTTCGGCATACATGCGATTGTCGTCGCCAAGGATGTCTCTGCCAATCTGCGTCAACTGCTCCACAGTCCAATCTCTTTTGGTCTCGCCATTGAAGTCCAATCTGGTCATGGTGAGCCGCAAGAGTGTCTGTACTTGCCTAGTCAAGGAAGCGAGGAAGCGGTCGGCAACACGAGCATCGTTTTTGGGGAGGCCGGCATCATACACAGCCTGAAGGAACTTCTTGGAGTAATCTCCAATCGACTCAGAAGGAAGCATTACCATGGTAAATACCTCTTTTACCGAACGGGATGTCACCAAGCGCGATCCATGTCTTGCTGTAAAGCAGATCTTGGCCGCGTTCCAATCTACACACTTCTTCAAATCCATCTCTACCCATCCATCGTCACTATGAGGCAAGCAGAGCGGCAAAAATCTCTTCCAAACTAGTTCAATGTCCTGAAGGGACGACTCAATAACCTTTTGGAAGGTGCGAAGGAAGTGGTCTACTGAGTGAAAGACCTCTTCATTCGGGAAGGATCTAATCACATCGTCTGCCAACTGGAACTTAGGAAGATCTCCTCTATTAAGAGTCAACCCTCCAGTGCGACTGCTCTTCTCTACAACTTTCACAGAAGGCGAAAGGTACTGACTGCATGCTATTTCTATATCTATCATTTCTTTGACGCGTCTGACCTTATTAAGGGCTAATTCAGCTGCTTGCTCATCGTTCATAGCGTGAGCAGCGCTGACAGCCTCTACATGCTGTTGAAGTTCTAGTCTAAGTTTCTCTGACAAAGACAAGACTGTTGTAGCAGCATTCGCTACCAAGGGACGAAGGGGAGAGGGAGCGACAAATTGTCCAGGGGTGGAGCTGGCAAAGGAGATGTTGTCACTCAGACTGGCGATGAGGTCCTCCTCAGTCATGACGGACATGGCATCCTCATCATGAGCAGGGATGATGGCGGCGGGATAGTTCTCAGCAGAGGGGTTCATGGTAGTTCACGAAAAAAAATGTTGTGGTGGTTGAAGTTGAAGAAGTTTTTAAGAGGAAGAATTGAAGATTTGAGATTAGGAACGAAGATTCGTGAGAACTTGTGTAGGTTTTGTTTATTGAGAAAGATTTTGTATCAAAGTTTGACCAGGTTCCTACACTGAACTACTACTGCTATTTATATTGTTTTGGATTGGGAAAATTATATGACTGGGGTCAGGTAATCGATCCTATCTGAGCCTTAATCAGAGCAACGTGATCTTGGGATAATTAATGTATGATTAATTATATAAATGTGTGTAGTCCCAATGAAGTATTAACATCAAAAGTAAATGTGTTTATGAGTTATAATTATGCTTATAATAATCCACTGATGTATCCCATATTATGGTGATATCATCATATGAAATATAATCACTATCACGCATGCTAAACCTGTGTGTTAAATAATAAAGTAATCGGTAGACACCTTTGACTGGAATAGCTGAGGCCTTATATTATTTCCTTCAGACTTATTCTCAATTACAGCAGTAGTCAATACTCATTTACAACAATAATTATGCTTATAATAATCCACTGATATATCTCATATTATGGTAATATCATCATATGAAATATAATCACTATCATGCATGATAAACCTGTGTGTTAAGTAATAAAGTAATTGGTAGACACCTTTGACTGAAATAGCTGAGACCTTATATTATTTTCTTCAGACTTATTTTCAATTACAGCAGTAGTCAATACTCATTTACAACATATACAAAGTAAATACATATAGTCTAGTAAGCTTACCCTTATAATTTGTTTGCATTCAAAGATTGTCTAGTAGCTAACATACTGCAGCACATGCCCCAAGTAATTAGATACATCTACTCATTAATAACTACCTAGATTATTTAGTATACCTTATATAAAATCACTTTAATAAGATTGTAACTTACATTGACTGTATTTTATGAAAGGAAGTTGAGAGTATATTATATAGTAGCTGCTTGAAAAAAAAACTGTAAAAAAATATGTTTTTCTAGTTGCATTAGTCTTTTTTTTTAAAAATCAAAACACAACTATAGTAATTTTATATTAAAAGTGTCTTGAATTTTGAGTGGTGCATGTTGTTTGAATATGATTATAGAAAAAGTAATAGAAGAAAGTAGAGGAAATGAGTCGATTTGTCATTAATAAAAAAAAAGAGATTATAAAGAGAATTTTTTGTTGTTGTTCTGGAAGACAGAAATAACAGGAAGTTCAAAAAAATAAATTTGATGGCTCCGCATGTTTCTTCTTGGTGGTGAGACTGCCACACTACTTTCTGCCTCACCAAGGCTACTTTTAAAAATATAGTTTAGTCAGTGTATTAAGTTTTACATTTAAACAATCTATACATACCTCAACTCTTCTTCTTGAACTTCTCTACTTAACTTTGTCAGCATATTTTTAATAAAGAAAAATATTAATGAAATATCTTGTATGACACTAAATTTAATATGTATGATTTGTCACTTCTCTGTTTGGTGTTCAGCCTTCATCACTTCTTGAAGGAGAAGAACAGCAACTCATTGACCTCTGAATTTGTGTAAAGCAAATTGATATTTCAAAATTAACTTCTTGAGTCTCAAAGAGTAATACAACTTTTGTTAACTACTCAATCTTCCTCAGTTCGTCTCTACAATGCCGTCTTCACACATAATACGTCGGCATTGCCTTGTATACATGTGGAACTGCAGTTGAATGAGCTTTTGCTCTTCTAAGAATATGCTGATATCCATCTCCTGTTTCTTTTTCCACAGATAGTTGATCAGTGCATTTATTCTTGCAGTTGCACTCGGTATCTTATTTGTTCTTGTTGGGATAAATTCAACACAAGTCTCTGTTATTGTAACAGGAATATGTCTTACTCCTCTCACAAGCAATAAAAAATAACTTTTTGTTTTTTCGATAATTAAAATATACTTTTATTTTAGCAAATTAAAACAGGTAAAAGTAAAATAGAGAGCAAGTCATGTAAATTAGATGTATAAAGTAGCTATAAAGATTTCCCATTATTCTAAAAAATAACTTCAAGATGATGTTCATTTACGTAGAAAGGGAAAAATAAATGCAAAGTAAAAATTTGAGCAAAATAAAATATAAAAAAAAACAATTTAAATCCCGCACTTTTGGTAAATTAGTGGAAAAGATAGTTGGTTTGCTACATTGATTAGTGATATTGTCAAAATACAACAATCTTGACAATGAGACAAAAAAAAGTTTTACGATTTCAAATAAAAAATAAATAAATCAAGTTGCTATACTCTCTATATGATATAAATGTAAAAAAAAGACATTTCTATTATGTTATTTCGCTCTTAAATACAACTTTATCTTTTTTACCTTTTTTAATATTTTTACCAAACTCTAGAACCAATTTGATTGGTTAATTAAAATAAATTAGTGGCATATCCACTACCATTAGTGGCAGCCACACCGATTTCATTCATAGTGTATATATATATATTAAATAAGACTTATATAAACAAAACTGTTTTATCATCAAAAGAAATATTTTTTTATTTTTATTTTAATGTTATATCTGCAAGTTTAGTCAATATAATATCTAGTTAATAAATTAAGTAATGAGTAGCTTATTTATAAAAACTTTGTAAAAGTTTTAAACTTCAAAAAAATATTCTATTGACTTTGTGAAATAACTTTTTTCAAAGTTGTACAGAGCACAAACTTCTCTAATAGATTATATATTTTAAAAAATCTGAAACTGCTTAAATATTGATATATTATAAGAGTAATGATAAAAATACTAATGATATAATCAATCTGCTGAAGAGTAATAGTCTTTTCAAACAGGTAATGTCCTAATAAATATCATTCGAATGTTCTTTCTTGTCAGTTCAAACAATACTCAGTACTTTGATAGTTTTACAATAAATAGTGACAATATATCTCAAAGACAAAGGGTGACTGTCTGAAGGCTTGTTAGACAGAAGTGTTTCAATTACAGTAGTTGCAATTTCTACAAAAAATATTGCTTACTATTATAGAAGAAATTAGTACCATGCTTGTATTAGCAATGTAGCCCAGAAAACTCTAGATATGTAAAAATAAAATAAAGACTGTTAATGTAGATTATAAAAAAAAATCAAGTAAAACTAAAGCGAAAGAAAAGATATATATAGTTAGTCTTATATATTTCACTAAGTAACTTGATTTTTTTTCTGTCAAACAAATGCTTCTCTTCTATTTCTTTAATATAGTATTGTAGTAAAAATATATATAATTATCTAGAGAAGAAAATGTCTTGTATGCATTGATAATACCATCAAAAGCAATTGAAGAGCTTGGTGCTACTTTAGTTGTAGAGATAATATTTTAATGCTAATATTAGGCACTGATATTAGGGGGACAGCATTTTCTTATGGGCACTACCTTTTTTGATGGGAAACGATGTTTTAATTTTACTGGACCACAAATTGCGACTTGCTGCTTAGTATCAAATAAGTCTATCTGGTCCCTAAGACTCAATATATATCATACTAAAGATACTTTAATATAAGACAAAATAGTGACTTTGGTCAAGTGTAAAAACACCATCTTAAATATGCAATAGTATACTTAAAGCTTTATATTATCTGTAATGTATTACTGGATATATGGAGAATAATAAAATAGTTACCTAACACGCTACTTAATACATAATATCATAACAAGAAATGTCGTCCCCGTAAGATTGCTGGTCTGTTACATGTAATTTGAGTACTTTAGTAAAATACCACCTGCGTACATCCTTATCTCTCTATCTATCTACGATCACGAATAAAAACAACATCATTCAACTCATCACCTACAACGAAATGCATATTCTTTTAGAGCTCCTTAAACAGAGTCTTAAGGATATTCGCGATGCCTTCAAAGAAAAACATGACGCATATAATACAGATGGTCAAGTACTAGAAAGATTTAATAAGAAAAGACAAAGACCCAAAGAATAGTTAAACAACATGTATATGCTTTTTCAAAGAAGACTTGTCAACCGAAGGATGAAAATCTTACAGTTGATTAACTACAACGTCTTCTTCTGCATATACGATGATAGCTTTGATCATATTCAGGCAACATCTACAAGAAAAAGAATTAATTGACTCGGATGGGACACAATTTGGTGACGTATCACGCACTCAAGTTTGAGTGACACTCCTCAAATAGATCATATCGGAAGAGTAGTCAATCATACAGAAGATGTGATGAAAATGAACTGGCTTGGCCTGTGTGGAAACCGGTAGCAGCTGTTCTTTGGATATTTTACATCACTCAATTTGGGTATAGTTGGGGTGTGGTTATGGAAGTTACAACACTTTCACTGACAGATTTATTCTTATTATGAACACTATTGATATTTGCAGTGTCATAACTTGGCTAAACACAATTGAACGAGTCTGGGGGATCACAACATGCTTTGGGCAACCAACAAAAAGTAGCAAGCAAAGATTGAAACAAGTAATTGGTTCCATGGATGGAAAGCTTATTTCTATCGAGAAACCAACCACTGAAAATTCTGGTGACATTTACGCGGATCGTAGAGAAAACACCATCATGAGTTTGATGGCAGTTTGTGATTATAAAAAGAGATTTATTCACATTGCAACCGGTACACATGGTAATTACATTAAGTGGGAATTGTTTTTATGTAAGCTTTAACAAACCTTTGTGATGTATTAGGCAGTCTTCATTATGCTCGCGTGTTAAAGACGGGTGACCTTTATTAGGATCCGATTCACCAACGAGCAGAGACACGCCTAGAAAACACATACATAGTTGCCGGTAAATCGATAATCACATTACAAAATGATTTTTGTAAAATTTATTATATTTCTAGATTCGGCATATCTACTGTTACCCCAGCTTTTGACACCGTTCATTGGTGCCTGTGGACGTAGATCTGAAAGCCAAGAAACTGTTCCACTTACCACGGAAGAGAAACTGTGCAATACAGTACAGTCAAGGACTCAGTAAAAGATTGAAAAACCATTCTCACTTTTGGTGCTAAGATGGGAATTCCTTTATAAGCATCTTTACTTGAAAGATACCGGAAGTGAGACGGTGGGTATGGTGGTTAGTGGCCGCCATCTTACGGAAAAAGGACAAGGTGGAGTGAGGAGATTAAAGTGAGTGTGAAGGAGCAGAAGAGCAGTTGACAGTAAAGGCAATTATCAGAAAAAGAGTAGTATAGTTACACAAAGCAACCTTTTTACCTCCTTAAAAACTCTTTCCTTTTTCCTAATTTTTGACAGTTTATTCTCATCCGAATACGTCTAGTTATAAATATTATTTGACGCATTCTCTTAATAGTAGTTTATTATCCCTTGCTACTACGCCTCCAATTAGAATAATAGCCTTTGCTAATTACTAAACCAGTCATAAACGCTATATAACTAGAGCATCCTTCCTCATAATAGATCCGTGACCAGTTAGTCTGCCCCACTCAAGTACCATACATGTTCTGGGGTTAATAGACTCATTTGATTGTCCCGATAAGCTTGTTTCGACAGGACGATACCCAATATACTTGTGTGTCCATTAGAATACATCAGTTAAGAAGGGCTATGAATTACCTTCCAGTAAGACTGCGGGCCCTTTAGAAGGGAGAAAGAAACAAATCTCTTGGTGTATAGCTAAAATATATATATATGTTTTTTTTTGTCATTGATAAGATATTGTCAAGTTATTAGACACAGCTTTTGTTCGAGTAATAGATGTTGGTGACAAAATTATATATATATGACTTTTTCATAAAGACAAAACTACTTTAAATATATGAGTATTAGGGACCCCCTTCCCCCTTCCCACCAAACACGCATCAAATATATTGTCTTGAGGATAATATAAACTATCCAGCACCAGTCCACCCAGACTACCCCTATAATATTTTGTCTGTCCAAGGACATCTAAGCTCAAATGATCGTCGCAAAACACTTTTTGAGGCTAATACCGAGTACCAGCCACACCACCTCCCAATAACTCACCACCACGACCCCAAGTCCAAGCACAAGCACAAGCACAAGCTCACGCCCACACCCACGCCCACGCCCACGCCCACGCCCAAGCATATTTGAGTTTAGCTCCTCCTGTGTTTTCATATCACGGGTAAGCTGAGATGCCCAAAAACCACAGGCATCTGGCTTGATGCCATATGCATTGCCCTAAATGGCATTCATTTTTCTCCCAATTCATGTTCCTCCCGAGATAAATACAACATTGCTGGTTGTAATACAAAACCTGGGTTTCGTTAAGCCTGTAAACATCTCTGCGGAGAGAGAAAGAAAGAAAGAAAGAAAAAAATAGACAAAACCACTCAACACTTTAAGCCTAGCCTCAAAGAAGTAGCTCCTACAGGTAATAGAAGCACAAGTAAAAGTAGTAGCACAATACTTGTCCAAAAAAAAGGGAACCGCAAACCAACCAATCAACCAATCAAAACAAATAAATTAATAAATACAGGTGTATACCTCCAAGTATTATCCGGAACCAAAAAAAAAAGAAAGAAAGAAGAAAGTCGAGGAGCTTCGGCAGGAGAACGTTGTTCAGACAAAGGAGGCAGAAAAAAAAACAAATTGAATTTCAAAAGACATTTGTTACAATACTTGATGAGGTAGAACAACTGCTTGTGCCAATAAGTAGCCTAAATATGGACAAACGTTCTGGCAAATGGGAAACAAGAAAAACTGACGAAAATGAACAGTAATAGGCATAAGGATCAGCTGTATACAAAATTCGCATATTAAGTTTATTAATTTTACACTTTTTTTTATGCTTTTATTCATTGTCCAACCGATTTGGTTATATCCCCCCCCCCCTGATAAATCAGACAAACAAATAGATGCTTCTAAACGTCAAATCAAAGGCACACATTTGTCCCTGAATATCCCAGAATAAACCTGTAATAAGCTCGGATCTTTTTCTTCTTCTTCTTCTTCTGGAATTTGACTTTACATGGTCAAATGCCAATTTCAACAAGGAAGAAAGTTGGTTCACGACATCCATAATCACCACAAATACCAAAAGTAGAATAAAATGAAAAAAAGGCAATAGAAAAGTTTATTTGATGCTATCTCCCATCCAATGCCAAATGTCGGGTTTGAATATTGGAAAATCCAAGGGTGATTTTTTTTGTTTGTTACTATAATAGCAATAGAATTGGTATAATTCTTATTAGTAGCATTAGCGTGAGCGCAGTTCAATAAACAGAAGAATGGTAATGACAATCAAGGGCGTAAGACAAATATTCGTTGTTAAGCCGAGATATTAACTTTGTAGTAATGACCAAAAAAGAAGTATCAGTACAAAGAAATTTGAATCTGGAGAACATTCGGATAAAGCTCCGTCAAGTAACCACACTACTGATCAACCTACACAGGCTCTGAGAAAATCGTCCAAAAATAAATAAATCCATTTCCTTTTTATTTTATTTTATTAATAGTTATCTAGCATGGTCTATTCCAATGAAACTGGGCATAAGAATTTCTTTTTTTTAAAGAGAAAAAAAAACAGATAAGGACAAAGGTCAGAATGGTAAAGTACAAGGCTACCAGGAATCAAGCTTCATGGTTCCATTTTCCATCAAATTGATATGCATCTTGAATACTTTGTCCAGCATATGAGGTTCATGACCCATTCCATTGGCCAGACACTTCTTTGTAGCAAGGTCGAGATAGTCCTGGAGCTGGGCCCTGTAGTCTGGGTGCACACATTTGTTGATGATAGTCTGGGCACGCTCTCTGGGAGACAGTCCACGCAAATCGGCTAGTCCCTGCTCGGTTACATAGACATCCAGATCATGCTCGGTCTGATCCACATGGCTAGCAAATGGAACCACGCAAGAGATACCAGTAGGGTCTATCTTGGAAGGACGGGTTGAGGGTGTGTGCATGATACTGTACTTTGAATTGCGCAGAAAATCGGCAGATCCTCCAAGTCCGTTCAACATTGCAGATCCACACACCATAGTTGAGTTACCATGACCATATATCTGTCGAAAGCACACCCCCAAAAGTAAAGTCAATTAGGTTTGGAAAGACAGAATATACCCTTTTTTGTTTTGTTTTTGGAATCTTACATCAAATTCAACCGGTGTATTCATTGCAATACACCCAAGTCTACGAATGATCTCTGGAGAATTCGAGACCTGTTGAGATCTCAGGATAAATTTGTCCTAACCACAGAATCTAGACGATTAGCTTCTGGCCCTCTGTTGTAAATCTTCTTATTTTTCTTTTTTCCCTGATACCACCAGCCACACCTTTTCTTTTTTTTCTCTTTTTAATTTAACTTTATTTTATACCTTGTACTGCCCCCAGTGATCGTAAAAGCGATGGAAGCCATCGGGTGAGAAGCGAATCGATGTAGCACTGGCGTATTTTAATTTTCCAGAGTCAAAAAAGTCTAAAAATGTGTCCTGAAGAACCTCGGTGTACCTAAAATATGCAAGATAAGGCATCGATGTATTTTACATATTTAGATAGGTAAAGATCATGCCATATAATACAAATACTTTTCTATCTAAAGTTCATCATCACTTACACCCGAACATCCTCAAATGGACCTTCTGCTAACCCACCAATAACAGCGTTTGCAATGTTTCCAATTCCAGACTGAAGAGGCAGTAAGTTCTTTGGAAGGCGGCCCATTTTAACTTCATGCGACAGGAACTCAATCAGATGGCTTGCGATATCTACCGACATTTGGTCAGGAGGATGGTTGGGGCCAGTGTTGTCTGGGTGATCACTTTCTACGACAGCAATAATCCTATCCGAATCTACAGGAATTGCACGCTAGAATTTTTTTTTTTTAAAAAAAAACAATCAATGCCAGCAAAACGATTTCCATAATAATTATTATTATATTGTTTGGTTTACTAACTGTGCCAATTTTGTCTTCAGTGGCCATAATGAGATAAGGAGATCTGTGAGGAGGCAGAGAACAGAGCGAGATGTCGTGTAGGCCCTCAAAAGAAGGGATTCGAGTGTTGACCTCGACAATGATTTTGTCTGCCATCTGAAGAAGTTCGGGTGTAGCACCAACAGACGCACCAGGTACAATCCAGCCCTCTTCAGTGATAGCCGTAGCTTCAACAATAACTATGTCGAGCTTATTTGTTGGCCTGTCTTTGGTATAGAAACCTAAACAATATATAAATATATATAGTTATTTTTTTTTTGTTTTAAAAAAAACATACACACATTAATAACAGCAGTAACAATAGCAGCAATAACTATAAGCCAAGATTTCTCCTATACACCAAAAAAAGAAACACAATACAATACAATACCATACCATAGACAAGATCCTGAGGAAACATGGAAAGATGCTTATCTGCAAATCTAATACGACCCTCATTGATACCTTGTTTGATGTGCTTGCCAACCTGATGAGGATATCGACGATCAATCATATCTAGTTCAGCCCAACGGTCTTCAGTTTCTGCGCCAGTAGAAGCGCCAACAAACAAGTTAAATTTCATTTTCCCCTGCAGATTATTCTTCTCTACATGATCTGCCAAGGCGAGTGGGATAAGCTTGGGATATCCAACGCCTGTAAATCCTGACCATCCCATGTATCTAAGTTCAAAAGTACGATCATAAATATATATATATATATATATATATATTGTTGTTTCTCCTCATCAAATAAATCCAATAATATACAGCAAGAAAGAAAAAAAAAGGGTTACTTACTGCCCTGATTTAAAGAATCCAAGGGTGTCTTCGGCACGCATTACTTTTTGAAGAAGCTGAGGGCGACGAACGCGTGATTTGAGTGCTGCACTAACATAGGCCATGGTTTAAGTTAACAGAAAAGCCAATACAAAACCAAATGGATAGAATGGAATAGATGAAGGACAATTAAAACAAGAGAGAAAAAAAATGATGGGCAAGTACGGGCGATTTATAGGCTATGATTATATAATTATGAATATTTTTTAAAATAAAACAGAATTGCAAATGTGTTACAATTTTTTTTTGGCCGTGTTTGACAAAGGTTACCTTGCAAGAACCAGCTAAAAATAATAATGTAATTGTCTCTTGGAGCCCTGTATCTTCCCCCATCCAGTCCAATCTAATCCAAATTCCATAATATCCCATCCCTTTTCACTTCCATATTAAGCCTACTGTTAAAATTATTGGATGATTTGTACAAGTAAAAAAAAAGAAAAAAAAAGAAAAGAAAGAATAGTAGTACAACAAGAGCCAACATGGTCAGATTTATTCGACTATCTTTATGATCTTAATAAGGATTACTACTCCAAAAAATATATATATAGATACATGTCCTATACATATAGTGGAATAGCTTACTAGACCTACAGAGTACCTACAGTAGGATTTCTCTACAAGGAATAGTAGGGTGCACAACTATATACCTATGAGCCAAGAGCTGGTAATGTCATGTCCCACGTCAATATTTTATTTTTATTTTTTGCATGAGACAAGACAAGATTGTACAACAGAATGTGGCAGCTCATATAGTGGATCCATATCACAGTACTTATTGATAAAAGCAAATCCATGATACAATATATGAGATTACAAAAGGAGGTTTTTTTATATATAGATATACATACTCAGATTCATATTAAATTACAAAAATGATGTTAACAATTAGAAGAGATTACAAGGGGATTTCAATTCTCAATTTTCAATTTTTAATTTCCAATTGTCTTTTTCTTGATTATTACTATTACTATTGATATCATTATCGTTATCAATTTTTTTTTCATGCAAATTATTATTATTATTATTATTATTATTATTACTAGTTATTACTATTACTATTACTATTATTACTATTACTATTTTTTTTTAATCTTGCTTCAACACTTGGTTTGGATTCTCATTGACAGGCTTTACGACACCACCATTACCTTCTTCATCATCCGAATTACTGGCGCTTCCAGTCGATGCAGAGTGCTTGTGGCCAATGTGGTAAGAGAGACGAACGATGTCAATGGCCTTTTTGAATGTGCGACGTGCATTGAAGTTGCCACGGACACTGGGCAGAAGATCCTGTGCGACCTTTTCGGTTTTGCTGATATGTGTCGAAGCCAACCAGGGGTGCTGAAGGGCTTCATGAGCAGTCATACGCTTGGCAGGGTCAATGGTAAGGCATCGACGAATAAAATCCTTTGCTATATATGCGTATATATATATATATATTTAAAGAAAAAACATTTAATCACAAACACAATAGATAAATAGATATGTATAATATTTACCTTCTTCACTGATACCTGACCACCATTGTTCATCAAATGTGTAGTCTGCGTGCATGATAGCATTCATCTCGTCAATGTTGTTGTCTCTTTCGAAAGGTGTGCATCCACAGAGCAAAAAGTAGGTAATCACACCAATTGCCCACATATCACTGGTATAGAAATCACGGTCAGTTACTTTTTTTTGCTATTATTCACTCGCTTCTTTCATTTGTTCGTTCGTTTATTGTCAAATATTGTTCTTGATTGGTTTGGGTTGGGACTTACACTGGTTTCCCGTGACCAGTCTTTTTGAAGATCTCGGGTGCCTATAATATTTGATTCAATTAGATGAGGTGATGTATATAGATAAAGTATCTGTGGGTTGGTGAGAGGTACTACTTGCCATATATCCGGGTGTTCCACAAGTTGTGGTCAGCATATGGAATTTTTCGGTGTCCATGATTCGGGAAAGACCAAAATCAGCAATGAGCAAATCAGCGTCTTCATCGGTGGTTCTGAACAAGAGGTTCTCGGGCTAGATTGTTACCAAAAAGGTTCTTTAGACTTTTGGTTCTGTTTGAACTCAATCACGAGTATGGTAGTTGTCATTTATGTATGTAGATAGATATATAATATTATATATTACCTTTAAATCTAAATAAATGATACAGGTGAATAAATGACAAAACACATACACACATACACACATACATACATACATACATACATATAAATATATATATCTATATATCTATATACCTATTAATTATTAAGAGCTTACCACGGTGAACGATTCCATTGTCGTGAAGGTAGGCAGCAGCATCACACACAGTCTGGACAATGTTTGCCGCATCACATTCAAAATAACTACCCTTTTGACAGATCCGATCAAATAGTTCTCCACCCGATGCAAGATCGGTTACTATGTAAACTAAAAATTCATTTTGTTGCCAAGACAAAACCAAAACCAGGATTATTTATTTATTTATTTTTAAAAAAAAATCATGACCGAGAAAAAAAAAAGAAAAAAAGTAAAGTATATTTAAAAGATAGGGTGTAGAACTTACGGTTGTTGAGGGTTTCGAAATAATCAACCAAGCTGAGGATGTTATTGTGGTTTTCGGATATTCTGCGCAAGATATTGATTTCATTACGTATCATATGCTCACGTCCTTCCATAAGCTTCTTGTTGATGATTTTGACAGCATAAAACTTATTGGTGTCAATCTACAAAGTTGTGTGGCTGGTTAAATATGATACCAGCAAAATATATGGAGCCCAAGGGATATAGGCGTCTATGTCTTACATGCATAGCCTCTAGATTATATATATATATATATATGAAAAATAAAATTAATATATTGATGGTTGATAAATACAATATATACATATATATATTTATTAATTTACCTTTGACGGTTGCATAGGTACCATTTCCAAGAACCTTTCCGGTCTTGTATTTACAAGGTACTGTTACAGGTGCGCGTTGTCCGGACATTGCGATGAGGAATCCACAAAAGAAGAAAAGGGGAAGAAGCTAAGACTAAGTCAAGAAGATACTTTTTTTTATTTTAAATTTTTCTTCTTCCGAAAAAAAATTAAAGTCAGGTCCAAGGTAAAGGACCAAAAGAAAGAAAGAAAGAGAGAGAGAGAGTGAGAGAGAGAGGGAGGGGGGAATAATGTTGTGCTGAGCCACAGGAAGGTGTAACTAACCAAAGTGATTTGGAAAGGTAAGAACGGATAATACTTTGACACACGAGCATTAGCAAGATATATAAATATATCTTTTTATATATATAACATCATCATTCTATGCCAAGCAAATCTGTGTGGGTTGCAGCGGAGGTCAAAGGGACCAATCATCCAACTTGTGATCAATGTCACAAAAGGTCTTTGGTACAAAAAAGAAATAATGGGTCATCTCAAAGGTTCAAATTCACAGTTAAAAAGAAATACATATATACATATATTTATGCTTTGTTTCCATGGAACTTGATCTATAGATATTATTATATCTGTTACGTAGCAACATACAATCTTTTGAAGTTTAAAGTTTGATAATAAATAATAATACATTTTGTAGTTTTTTTTTTCTTTTTTTCCATAGTACCTTTTTACTTTTTTTTTCTTTTTTTTTTTCAGACTACGCCACAGAACTTTTAAAAGGGCTTACAGTTGACTGCAATCCTCGGTTCTTTGCCACAATCTCAACAAAAGTGTGGCGTACAAGGGAAGGATGATATCAGCAATCGGTTCAGACCTGTCTTGTTTTCAAAAACCGCCATTCACCCATTCATATATATAATATATATTTGCATTTCTTTGCTTTTCTTTTCTGTGCGGTTGCTTTATTACTATTATCATGTGCTGTTTACAAAACATAAAATTATGTGTTGGAATTGTGCAATTGGATCTGTAGTTCGTTGTGTTTGCAATAATGTGATTGAGTAAAGTCTAAATATCCAATTGACACCAATTTTTTTTTTGGTCAATGTACCTTTTCTTGATCAGATAACTCACAGACAATATTTGTATCAACAGAGATTATATACAAACAAATCCAAAGAATTAAAAAAATCAGAGAGAAATAGATATAAAGACAGAAAGAAAGAAAGAAAGAAAGAAAGAAAGAAGGATGTTGCTGTAATATTTACTGATGTTTTCAAATTTGTACTTACACATGCTAAACTAATACACAGAACTTACAATCAGCTGAAATCTTCAATTATCTGAATCTTTTCTTTTTTTGGAACTTGATTCTTATTCTCTCTTCTATGTAGTTTTCTAGGTAACAAAGATGATTAGAAATTTTTTTATTTTTTTTTATTTTTTAAAAAAAAGGTTCAATTGGACAGCCAAAGGAGTGTAGATGTAGATTGAATGGTTTAACAAGAGATTGTATATTGTGTATAGTTTTAACGGCTTTAGACAGTAAAAAAAAACAAAAAACAAAAAACAAAAAAGAGGGATAAGAGGTACTTTACGTTTATCTTTATTGAATCTAAAGAGACTTCTTGAGGCACGTGGAAGGCTATTAAGAATTGAAAAAAAAAGCTTATAATTATGATCTTTAATAGATTAAGAATTAGAATAGGCGGAGACACACCATATATAAAAGGGGTTTTTCCTCTTTGAAATCCAATTTTATTTTTTATTTTATTTTTTTAAAAAAAAGAAAAGATCTGAATATCTTTTTTTGTGTGTGCAATCATGTCTTACGTTGAATGAGCTGCTGTGGGGAGACAAGAAAGATAGTTGACAGCAAAAGTACACCATGTAAAAATAGCATTTATTTGTATACAATAATTTATACTGAGTGAGTCTATTTGTTTCCATGGTTATTAATTATCTCTATTGACTGTCTGATCTATCATTAATAGGAGACACATCATTTGTATCTATTGATGTCCTTGACAACCAATAAAAGTATATATATATATATATCTAGCAAGAAAGTAATAATGAATAATGAATAATGAATAATGAATGTATAAATATATAAAAGAAAGTTGTTTAAATATCCAACTTATTATTATTCTCAAAATATTTTTGAAACACAAAAATATATCCTTTTTTTTTTAAAAAATAAAATAATTTATATTTTTATATCTTGGTTCTCAAGGAGGTTAATTTAATAGCCACTTTAAATCCCTTTCTTTGAAATAGAATTATAGTTCTTTGTTATCCATTGACTATGTAATATAAATAATATAAAGTACTTCCCCCTTCTTCTTCTCCAACTCTGCCCTTACTTCAACCCTTCATACTATACATAAACTTACTACATAATACATCACATACTACAAATACACGGCATATCAACTTGGCAACAGATAAAGAAAACAACAGAACTATAGTCAGAACAAAATAAATAAATAAATAAATAATAATAAAATAACCCCCCCCCCCTCTCTTTCTCTCTTTGGTTCTTCTATAGTGTATTATATATACATAAGGATATATATATACTATATTATATATTGTATTATAAAATATCCTGCTCTCTTTGGGGTCGTCTGTCTGTCTATATGCTTGATCAATTTGTCTGTCTATTTGTATAAGATTACTACTTTTTTTTTGTAATCTAAAATATCTGACTATCTGACTATCTGACTATTTGCCTTTTTACTAGTTTTTTTTTTGCCCTTCTGTGTCCTGCAAAAATAATAAAATAATAAAAATTCTTTTTTTTTTATATATAAAAATATAAAATATATATAAAAAAAAAGTTTACGAAACAAAGAATAGCCGGTTTACATAAGAAATAAAAAAAAATAAAAATTAATATTCTATATATTTCTTTTTGTTTGCTTGACTTTTTTTATTCCCTTCTCTCTTTCTTTACACTTGTGCATTTGTTCCCTTCTCCTGCTTGTTTCAACACAACACAAGGGAAAGCTACTTCTTCTAACTTTCTCTTCTTTTCTTTGTTTGTTGTTGCCTTTTTGGCTCCATATTATCTCTCTTTCTTTCTCCCCCCCTTTTTTTTTTCTCTCTTTCTCTTTTATATACTTTATTTGTCACAATCGTATATTCACTTCTTCATTCTTGATCATCTTAAGAGATGTCTCTTCCTAATCACTCTGGCTCATCGGCCTTCAAGTCCTTCTCTTACATTGTCGGCACAGGCATCAAGAGAGCCGCAAAGCTCTCGACTCGGAATCCTATTGAGATGATCGTCGTTGTCCTCATCCTCTCTTCATTCAGCTACTTTTACCTTTTCAACCTTGCCCGCACCTCTGACATCTTCTCTGGAACCGTCACACGCCTATACCCTACCTCAGTGTATGCTCCAACCAAGGACCACTCCTTCTCAGTTGTCGATCGCACAGCCGATTCCACCATCGCAAACAATGCCGTCAAGGTCCACCTGCACCAAATCGTCGTCTCTGATCCTAAGCACGGTGTCCTATCTCGTCAAACCCTTGCCTCTGTGCTCCGGTTCCAACAAATGGCCGAGAATGAAATTTACGTGCCCGATAGCACAGCCGTCAATCGATTTGCGTTCAATAAAGACCTGTGTTACAAGACCACCCTTCCATCTTCTTATTCTTCTCATTCCTCAGACTCAAACTCAAACTCAAACCTCAATTCTAAAACCAGTCCTTGTTTTGCCCATTCTCCTGCTGATATCTGGCAGGACGAAGCCACTCTCCTGGCCGACAAGAACATCCGCTCCACCATCGAAGCCAACCTCGACACCGCAAAGAACGTCTTTGGCGATCTCCAGCTCAATGCAACCTACGCCAGCTCAGTCACACTCTCGTACGCCTTCAACACTACGGGCGACTATCGCGAACATCTGGCCGACATGTGGAAACACAAGGTCGCAACCTTACCTCCTGCCGACCTCGTCTCACTCTCAAACATCGGCCAGCAAGAAAACGTCTTTGCCTGGCTCTTTATCGTCACACGCAATGTCATCTTCCGCGTCAAGGAACTCATCGATCTTGCAGACAACATTGATATCATTGTCATTCTGGTCGGATACATCATGATGATTGCAACCTTTATCTCTCTCTATGTCAACATGCGTGCAATGGGATCCCGTTACACTCTGGGTAAATATCTATCTATTTATTTATTTGTTTGTTTTTTTTTTTACTGTTACTGATATAATTCCTATCTTTCATTATCTTGTAGCTACTGCTGTCGTATTCAATGGATTCTTCTCTTTCATGTTGGCGCTTCTGACTGTGCGCGCTCTTGGAGTCGATGTATACCCTGTTGTGTTAGCGTGAGTTATAGAACCAATATGTATTAGACATATAAATCTTTGGCACAGAATTTAAATGCTAATAGTTGTCATAGTGAGGCCATTCCGTTTTTGGCTGTAACGATCGGTTTCGAGCGACCCTTTAAGCTTACCAAGCGCGTCTTCCAGTTCAGCAAAGAAACACCCTTGACCAAGCAAGAGATCCGGACCACAATCATGCGCGCAGTAGACACCGTTGCTCTGCCAATTGCTCGCGATTGCTTTATGGAAATCATCGTCCTTGTCCTGGGTGCCAAGTCTGGAATTTCTGGTCTTGAAGAGTTCTGTTTGCTGAGTGCAATCCTTTTGGCCTATGATTTCATTATCATGTTTACCTGGTACACCGCCGTGCTGGCACTCAAGTTGGAGGTAAATATACATACAATACAATACAATATTAAATTAAATTAAATTAAAATATAATACAATATAATAAATTAAAAGGGAGGGGAAGATAAAGAAAGAAAGAGAAATGAATTGAATTGAATGCATGTATTTAATAATACTCATTATCTATCATTTAGTTGTTGCGAATTAGAGAAATCAATGGCATCTCTGCTGATGATATCAAAAAGGGAACCAAAAAGTCAACCGGATACATTCGCCGCACTGTTATCAAGGCATTCAGCGACGATCATGCTGCTGGTGCCAACACTGCCAACCAAAAGGCTGATGGCCCCATCATTGGTCGTGTCAAGCTATTGATGGTAAAATCATATATATTTTGTTTGTTCGTTTGTTTGTTTATCCTATCATCATCATCATCAGCAGCAGCAGCAGCAGCAGCAGCAGCAGAAACAATTTATTAACAGTTCCTAAATTATATTCGCCTGTTTGTTTTAGATTGTTGGCTTTGTGGTTATGCACATCTTCAAGTTCTGCTCTGCATTCCAGTCCGTTGGTCCTCAGGTCAATATTACCGAACCTTCGATTGCTGTTGTGCTGGACCAGCTGCTTGAACAGCACAAGGCATCTTCCCAGGCATCCCTTCCTCTCTTTGTCCAGGTCTTCCCTGCCATGCCGTTCCATGTGGCCACTGTCAACAAGAGCTTTGTGCCTGACGCCATTACTCGTCCTCTCGAGGCCCTCTTTGACACCTACGCAGTCTACATCCAGCACCCTGTCATCAGCAAGTGGCTCACCATTGCCCTCTTTGTTTCTCTCTTCTTGAACACCTACCTGTTCAATGTTGCCAAGCAACCAAAGCAGATTGTCGAACAAGTCAACCAGGATAAGAAAATCACCAATGCAATCGAAAGCACCCAACAACAACATATTGAAGTAACCGAAAAGCAAAAGCCAACAATCCAGTCTCCTGGTCCTGTTGTTTCTTCTGCTGTTGTGATGTCTCCTAATCACAAGCGCTCCCACAACCACCACCATAGTCATAGCCATAGCCACAATCACCACAGCAACCACCACCAGTCCGATATTGTGCGCCCTATTGACGAATGTGTTGCGCTTGTGCGTACACCGGAAATGTTGAACGACGAGGAAGTTATTTCGCTGGTTGAGAATGGAAAGATGGCATCCTATGCTCTCGAAAAGGTCTTGGGTGATCTCCAGCGCGCAGTTGGAATCCGCCGTGCACTGATCTCGCGTGCCTCGATTACCAAGACTCTGGAAGCCAGTGCTTTGCCTCTTGAGAACTACCACTACGACAAGGTGATGGGAGCATGCTGTGAGAACGTGATCGGATACATGCCCATTCCCGTGGGTGTTGCTGGCCCTATGAACATTGACGGAGACCTGATCCACATTCCCATGGCAACGACCGAAGGCTGTCTAGTTGCCTCTACTGCTCGCGGCTGCAAGGCCATCAATGCCGGTGGCGGAGCTTCGACAATTGTGATCGCTGATGGCATGACCCGTGGACCCTGCGTTGAGTTCCCCACAATTCTGCGTGCCGCTGCCTGCAAGCTCTGGATCGAAAACGAGGGCAACGACATTGTTACCAACGCATTCAACTCGACCTCGCGCTTTGCTCGTCTCCGCAAGCTCAAGATTGCCCTGGCTGGTAAGCTTGTGTTCATCCGCTTCTCGACAACCACTGGCGATGCCATGGGCATGAACATGATTTCCAAGGGCTGTGAAAAGGCCTTGAGCATCATCACCGAACACTTCCCTGACATGCAGATCATCTCTCTGTCCGGAAACTACTGTACCGACAAGAAGCCAGCAGCAATCAACTGGATTGAGGGCCGTGGAAAGTCTGTTGTGACCGAGGCTGTCATTCCAGGCGCCATTGTTGAAAAGGTTCTCAAGACAACCGTGGCTGCACTTGTGGAGCTGAACATCAGCAAGAACCTGATCGGATCTGCAATGGCCGGATCCGTTGGTGGTTTTAATGCCCATGCTGCCAATATCCTGACTGCCATCTACCTGGCCACCGGACAGGACCCTGCCCAGAACGTCGAGAGTTCGAACTGTATTACGCTCATGAAGGCTGTCAACGACAACAAGGATCTGCACATCTCATGCACCATGCCCAGTATCGAGGTTGGTACCATTGGCGGTGGCACGATCCTACCACCCCAGCAGTCTATGCTCGACATGCTCGGTGTTCGTGGCCCTCACCCAACCGAACCCGGAAAGAATGCCCAGCGTCTGGCCCGTATCATCTGTGCTGCTGTCATGGCAGGCGAACTCTCACTGTGTGCAGCCCTTGCTGCTGGACACTTGGTAAAGGCTCATATGGCCCATAACCGTGGCACACAGGCTCCCACAATTACTTCTGGACCTGCGCCTTCCACAGGCACAGAACCAGGAACTTGCATCAAATCTTAATATATATATATATATATACACACCCATTTTTTTTTTCTTTTTCTTTTTAAAAAAAGAAAAGACATACACATACACATACTCAATCACACATTCACTTACACACCTACACACTTATCATTCCAAAAAATAATAATATAAAGAAGACTAAGTACCAAAAAAAGAAACTTAAAGAAGTTCTCTTTTTATCTATTGCTATATATCTTTTTCCTCTCTCTCTCTCTGTGTGTGTGTATATATATATATGTATGTATACATATGTGTATGTACCTATCTCCCTCTTAGTGTTCATCCTCCTTTATCTATCTACCTATTTACCTAACTACCTAACTACCTACCTATTTCTCTCTCTCTCTCTCTCTCTCTCTCTCTCTCTCTCTTTACAAAAAATCTTTATTATTCCAATAAATTCAGTAGATTCTTTTTCGTTTACATTTACTTGTTATTTTGTCTTATTTTATTTATATATTTACTCTAATTTATAGACCCAAATATATGTATATATTGGGTTTCTTTTCTTTTTTTTTAAAAAAAGGATACTGCTTATAAATACAGAATAAATTCACCAAAACTTAAAAGAAGTGCACGCTCTTGTGGCGGGGAAATAAAAGATTATAATACTACCAAAAACCAAAAGAAAAAGAAAAAAAAAGGCCCATCCGCCAACCCTCTGTCTCTCCCCCCACCTTCTTTTTTTTTGGATTCCTTCTATTAGCCAATGTGGTACAGGTACAACTCTTGTAAAAGGGAAAAAAAATCTTCTGAGTATTTGCAATACTAATATCTAACCAAGAAACCCTATTTTGCTTTATTTCGTTCTTTATGTCCATATCCTTTTTTTTGATATATTAGATTTGTGTATATACCATATAGTAATGTGTAATATACTATTATATTGTGGTGGTTATAATATAATGATTGGCAAACATGGTGTACCTTCTTATTTGTGCTTCTTCCTCATGTGTGTGCCGCTTATCGTAATTTGAACAACAGGGTACAGACATGTCGGATAAACCAAGAGAGATATATATAAATATATTAGAAATTGTAGCAAATAAATAAATAAAAATAAAAATAAAAACCTAAATTTGACATATGAATATCCATGTACAATTCATTTGAAAATAAATAAAAATAAAATAATAAATGTATTTAGATGTCTGTGTGTCTGTGTTCGTGAAAGATCTGCTATTGAGAATATCATCGGTACACTCTAGTTTTGCCACACCTTGCCCATGATATGCCAATCTTAATTATAGTATTATCATCATTATCCAAGCGCACAACGCTCCCTTTTCTTCTTCTTACTATCTCTTTCCCGCGTCTGCTTGACTACTTGCTTGAATACCTGATTGATCGCTTACTCGATAGTTTACTTGATCACTTAAGCCTTTCCGTTTGTTTGCTAGGAATTTTATATATATATATATGTTTGTATGTTTGTTAAATGATAGGAACAAAAAAAGAAAAAAGAAAAAGCAGAAGCAGAAAGTTGTTACTAGGCAGCTAAATCTCTCTGATAAACTAGTCAATTAATAATTATATTAATAAGAGCAAATTCTCCACGGTAATTGCCTTTTCTTTGTATGTATTAAGCTATGGTTTCACTTTATATTGAGTCTATATATTCTTATAAAGTCAAAAGATAAGAATACTAAAAAGAAAAGCAATTTAATTTTGTATTGTCAGTATAAGCTTCTTTTGGATAAAGAAGTATGATTCAATGTGATTAAAACCAATACAAATGTTTGTAGAGTTTATGTTTATGTTTGTCTTTTCATATTTGCTTGACATATATAAGACCCTTATCTTTATCTTTATCTTTATCTTTATCATTCTAGTTACTCTCTTATACTACTCCTAACAAATATCGTCTTTAAGCTATTGACAAGCAATTTTTTTTTCAGTAAACAAAATTTCAATAATGATAGAGTCAAATATTGCCCGGGGTTGAATAATTGCAATTATTGTCCTATTTCTGTTATATAAAGGAAACTTGACCACCTAGGAGGATCTCTATTTTATTTTTATTTTTACAAGATAGTATCTTATCAAAACCACCCATGTAAATGTTATCTATAGGCTATAAACCTTTTTACTTGCGAAATATAGCCGTACAGGTTATCTAAAGACCAAATAGTAAAAATACTAATAGTAAAATGACGGGTCTATGATAAAATTCCAAGGGGTTTTTTTTTGAATGTCAAGACAAGACAAGACAATAAACAATTTGAACCAACAAATAAAATAAAATAAAATAAAATAAAAAAATGTAGATCAAAATAAGTTCATAAAGAAATAGACTTGATCCTTTTTACTATCATTGTATGTTCTCTTGCTCTCTACTATATTCTACTCTATTGATCTTTGCCATTCACACATCTTCTCTGCAAAGTAAGTCTTTATACATATAAAACAAATGAAATAAAAAGTATTTATTAACGTTATATAAAGTTCTTTAAGAGAGTAGAGTCATGCACGAGGTCAACGCACCTTACAACTCTCAGATCATCCCTCCCACCTCAAACCCACAGTGGGATGCCGATATACTGAACCCAAAAGGAGAACAGACCGAATTCTATAAACAAGAGCCAACAGAGTCCTCATGGCTCAGACGCCACAAAAAACCAGTGGTCGCCACAATTGTGGTCGCGGTTATCTTATCCATCGCAGTTCCGCTTGGAATCATTCTTCCTCAAGAATCAAATGCCCAGAGACAGCAACTGAGAGAACAAGAAAACGAAAGCAACCCATCGAACCCAACCAGCGGCCACGGACACAAGGTCGACGACTACGACTACTTTAATAACTCTGCCCGGCCAAACCTCTTGACACCCCCACTCACCGAGCCATTCGAGTACGGCAAGCAAAAGATCCGAGGTGTCAACATCGGCGGCTGGCTGGTCACGGAGCCCTTTATCACCCCAGACCTGTTTGACCAATTCGCAGCCTCGGACAACATTGTGGACGAGTGGTCACTCTGCAAAAAACTTGGGCCTGAAGAGGCAGAGCGCCAACTGAAAGAACATTATGAAACGTTTATCACCGAAGACGATTTCCGCAAGATCGCAGAGATGGGCCTCAACCACGTCAGAATCCCCACCGGCCACTGGGCAGTACAGGTGACGCCCGACGAGCCATATGTACCCCATCTGTCCTGGACCTACTTACTCAAGGGAGTCCAGTGGGCCCGCAAGTACGGCCTGAGAGTGATGGTCGAACTACACACCGCACCAGGATCCCAGAATGGCTGGAACCATTCGGGCCACAAGGGTAAGATTGGCTGGCTGAACGGCCCCGAAGGAGAGGCCAATGCAGAACGAACCATGAAAATCATCCAGAACATGACCGACTTCTTCAGTGCTCCCGAGTGGGCAAACGTGGCGCCAATATTCGGCGTACTCAATGAGCCTGCGATCTACCGCCTACCCAGCAAGAAGCGTGTCAAGGAATGGTACCAGACCAGTTATGATATGATCCGTAATAGTGCACCGGCTGGCGGTCCTCTCCTGACGTATCACGAAGGGTTCCTGGGTATGCCCGAATGGAACGGGTTTTTTACGGAACACAACAAGCGAGTCATTCTTGGTGAGAGACAAATAGATACATCAACATAGACACTTAGGCACACACACACACACACACACACACACACACACACACACACACACACACACACACACACACATGCACATACACACATACATATATATATATAGACAGGCAGACAGGCAGGCAGACAGACAGACAGGCATAGGCAGAGAGATCAAAAGGAGAGGAGACAGAGAAATCAATTTTTTTGGGGGAGGTTTTTTTGGGGGAGGTTTTGACTTTTTTTTTGGGTTTTTTTTTGGTTTGTTTGTTTGTCTGCCTGTCTGCCTGTCTGCCTGTCTGCCTGTCTGCCTGTCTTTTTGGTTATTTGTGAATGGCACAAAAACAGCCAGAGAGGTGTGGTTTCTTTTGGATCAACTACTAACCTACTTCTTCTTATGTGCCCACACACACACACACACACATATATATATATATATGTATTTAAAATAATCATTGAAATCTTTATTAATTTATATGTTTATTTTAGAGACCCACAACTATCTTATCTTTGACCAGGGCCTTGTGTCAATGAACCGTGAAAGTCAGGCAGCTTTTCCATGTGGAAGTTGGCGTAGTGACCTAGGCCAGGCAATGAAGGATGTCGGACCGACTATGGTTGGCGAGTTTTCGGTAGCCACGAATGACTGTGGCAAGTATCTCAATGGCGTTGGACTGGGAACACGTATGGAGGGCACGTTTGAAGAAGATGGCGTCAAGAAGCCACCGGTCTGTCCGACATGTAACTGTCAAGCAATGGAGGACTGGACTACCTGGGACGATGGCTACAAACGGTTCCTAAAGTCATTTGCCGAGCGTCAGATGGATGCCTTTGAGACCAGCTACGGGTGGTTCTTTTGGACCTATAAGACCCAGAACCACGCGAACCCTCATTGGGACTATCTGCTGGGTTGGGAACAGGGCTGGATCCCTAAAGATGCCAATCACAGAGAATCGTCTTGTACTGATACTGGTTTATAAATTTTTGTATAAATATATATATATATATATATATAATACTCACTCACTCGCAGAAAATGAAGGAAAAAAAGAAGTCTTTATATAGCTATAATAATAGAGTGTACAAGAAAGAACCAAGCTCTTATTGGTATACATGAATAAATAAATAGATAAATACATACATAGTAGATATATAGTATTATGCTATAGAAAAGAACATACTGTTACTTAGCCTAAAGCTAATATGCACATAGGCCATTTACAAATATATATATATTATATTATACTATATGTATATGTATATGTATATATTTATTTATATGTATGTATATAAAAGTATGTGGGTGTGTATAATTTGCGTAGTGATATCAATAGGAGTAACTCTACCATGTGCTTGTAGTAATTTTCTCTCTCTCTCTCTCTTTCTTTCTTTCTTTCTTTTTGTAGCACTACATAATAATGATCTTAATATCAATATTGAACCGCAAGAAAATCAAAAGAAAAGAAAAGAAATAATAATAATAGGAAAGACTACAGAATGTAAATTAACGAAATAAGTGAAGATATAAGAGATCATAGTCATTATCAAGGCTGGCAAGACAACGCAAGTATGTGATTGGGAAAATGTAAGGTAAAATATAAACAATGGCTGTAGTTGATTCTTTGTAGAGAAAAAGAAAGAGAGCAAGAGAGGGATAAAGGAAAGATTGAAAGGAAGAGAAAATGTAGATGTGGATGTGGTTGGTATTGGCGTTGGGGTTGGCGTTGACGTTGGGGTTGGCGCTAGAGTTTGTAATGTAGAGAAAGGAATAGATGAAGTATGAAAGAAAGAGAATAGTGAGAGAGAGAGAGAGAGAGAAAGGTTAATGATAATCAGTCTATGTTCAACGGTCTTCATGTAGCGTGCCATCGACTGTATCTTCACTTTCTTTGATAAGTGGACGGCAGTGATCAGTATCATCATCGTCTAGGTAACCTTCTCGCCAGCCTCGAATGCCTTCGAGATAATTGTCGTGTAAGTTGGCTCGGTATTCATCTAGTTTTTCCATATTTTCCACAGCAAGATCCCGACCAAGGCGCTGTATTTCACGTCCTCTGAGAGACATCTTCTGAGCATGTTGTAATGCTGCATCCAGTAGGTCTCCGGTTGCAGTAAGTAGCTTTCCCATGATAACTCGTAGGACATGGTTATACCAAAAGGAGATGAGTGGGACGGATTGAATGATGCCTGTGACAGTAAAATAAATAAATAAATAAAATAAAAATATTGGTCCGATGTCCGTTGCCATGTGAATATCACTACTATTACTACCAACACATATACCACATATGCTGCTACTAATTCTGGTGATTATTACTACTATTACTTGCTATTGCTATTATCATTAAATTACCTTCTAGTGTCCAACTATCTTCTTGTTTGTATATCTTTAACAGTCCACTGTCCTGCTCAGTCTCTCGGAAATGGAGAGTTGTTATGGCTGGTACTTGGAGTCGAATAAAGGATGGGAATATGGTAGGTGAAAGGTTCTGGATGAGATGAATTACGGCGGTTTGACTAAGTGAATAAGCATGTGATTGAATCAGAAAACATGAGTGAGTGTGAGTGTGAGTGTGAGTGTGTGTATTTGTATGGGTCTTTTTTCTTTCTATTTCTTTCTTTATTATTCTAATATGCTGATAATGATACTGATACTGATGATGGTGATGATGTCCTTGCTACTGTTACTACTCTTATTACTTGTTACTGTATTTGTTGTATTTGTCGTCGTCGTCGTTGTTGTTGTTGTTGTTGCTGTATTATTCTAGATACTGATTATATATATATATATACATGAATGTATATTACCCATCGAATACGATATTTGTAATGGTTGGTTCCTGTCTATTGAGTGCTTGCCACACGGTGTATACACTATAATTTTAATAATAATAATAATAATAATAAAAAGAGTTGAATCAGAAAATGTATTTGAAACGCCTAAAAAGTAAAATTCAAAAAGAAATCGACTAAAATAAAATAAGAAGCTTACTATTGAATATTCAATACACCTTCGGTACTCATAACAGGCGACGTGAGAATTGCATCAGGAAAGAAGTAGTATTCCAAAATGCGTTTTCTTCTGAGAGGACTGTAAGAAAAGAGATCTTGAATAAGACCTACAGAAGCCGTGTGAGTAAATGAGTAAGTAAATAAAATAAGTGAATGAATGAATTAGGAGAGGAGAGGAGAGGAAAGGATCTCTAATTAGTTAAACAATGCCTACACTTGATGATGGAGTTTGATGACGTTTCGAGTTGGGTTTCAGTGTCAATGTCTGACATGATGTTGAAAGCAAAGAGGTTGAGAATAAGGAGAAGAAGAATAAGAGGGAGAAAGAATACGAATAGGAATACGAGTAATAATAATAGTAACAGGAAAGAGTAAGAGGAGTAAGAGGAGTAGGAGGAGGGGTAAAGAAGAAGAGGAAGAAGAAGAAATATACACACAAAAATAAAATATATAAATTAATTATATTTTACTATGCTTATTATTATGATTATTATTATTTTTGGTATTTCTTTTTTGGTTCTTGATTTAAGCCAAATATACCTATTACTTATAATAAATAAATAAAAATGGCCGTGAGTTGTACGAAAAAGGGCAGGCAATAGTCAGCAGTTTTCTTATGACACAATACACAGCATATGTTCTTTACCCCCTCTATCTGTCTTGATATGTATATCACACTTTATTCATTTCTACTCCAACGCATATAAATAATAACAATAACAATAACAATAATTGATCAACATATAAAATACCAAGATATTGAACAGCAGACCCAAATATATATATTTATTGCAATTGATTTATGTAATGGCTACTATACTCCACTCCACTCCACTCCACTCCACTCCACTCCACTCCACACCTATTACCAAAGAAAGAATTTTTGCGCTAAGAAAAATTACAGGCCTATTCTCATTTTATTTTATTTTCCTAGTCTGTGTTTTCACAAATCATTCGCTAATCCACCAATAAAATTATCATCAATATTTAAATACCAAATATTGATTATCAAGCTTATTGACTATATCACTAGTAGGTCCTCCTATTTCTCTTTCTCTCTTACTTTCCTTAAGTCTATAGTCGTAACACAGATAGTACAGTCGTTCCAACGCCAAAGGGCGGTTTTTATTTTCCCTGAAGTTCGATATCTTTAACAATCTTTATTTATTGAGTGTTGATTTTAATATGCTCCTCTTTTAAACACTTATAAAAATAACGTTCACTAAATTCTGTGAAAACGCATGGAGATAATTGAAAGGTAGCTAGGTTCTCTTTTTCCCCACACTTACTACGCTTGACTTTGTTCTTAACTATTACCCAAAACTGCTCGATTGGGTTGAGCTCTGAAGAACAGAGTGGAAGGTAAATAGACTTGCAGCCTCTCTTAGTTATAAGTACATCTATTTCCTTAGCAGTATAAAGAAACGCATTATCCACAACCATATAATGGCTAGTAACAGTACCTTTAATCATAGACGTTTTGCTACCAGATAACGCTTTGGTTTTGCGATTGTAAATTTTTTTATCTTCATGCGTTTGGACTATTCCTCTTGGAGGTTTCGAAGCTCCATGATGGATACAGTAAATTTAGAAGAAATAGCACCCAGAATCGTATGAGATACTGCTCTCGTAGAGGGAGCGGTTAAAATAGCTGGTTCTCCTTTTTCAGCCCAACTGAAGGTCGCATGTTGATATTGAAAGCAGATTCATATACAAAAACGGAGCTTTCAAGATAATTCATATCTGTTGCAGTTTATTTTTTTTTACCCAAGCCAGTCGATTACCAATATTGGTACTATTGGTTTATTGGGATCAATGTATTAAAAAAAGAAATGGGATTGAAATAGTCCAAGTAAAATACCACTCGTCTGAAAAATTGAAAATCATATAATAAGAAAACATAGTGATATATACAAGCTATATATCTTATCTTTGATCACTATTTAATTGACTGATTTTGCAGCCTTTATTTGACAATGCTCTTTGTTATACTTATAATAATAGAGTAGCCCAGTATATTGATTATATAAAGCTTAACCGTGTTTATTCACAACACGTATTACTGCTTAATCATAGACTGTGATCCTCATCCTGTCTATATAAATGTCTTCCATGTAAAAACGTTTGGTACATACCGATCACAGAGTAATGTGGATACCACAGCAAATATAGCGTTTCCTGATACTAGTTTTTCTTCTTTATTGAAACTATACAAGGAAAAAGATACAATTTCACGAGTATTCAGTTTATATATGAAGATGGAATTGGCACTGTTTCCGATGAGTATGGCAGGCCGAAAACCATGTATTATATTGTTGACAAAGGCAGTATGCTCTTCAAAAATATGTTCTAATTTGGAGTTTTAACAAAGCTCCCAGTTTTTTTTTATTCTGTTATTTCAATTATCAAGCTAAGCGAATCGAAGAGATAAGGAATGGTATACTTTTTTTTTGTGCCTGAAACTGTCAATAGTTACATTGGTATTATTAGTGATGAGGTTCATCTAAGTATACGATCTGTTGGCAGTTTTAACGAGCGTAAGCCTGAAGGACGGCTTGTTTGACTGATCGATTTGCCTTAGTGATCGCAGGTGCTAAAAGATTGGCCAGTTTTTGGAGTTTGTGGTTTAAAGATTTGTTACCGATGATTATAATAAAGGTAGTATCATCGGAGAATTGAGTTAAAACCAATTGAAAAATATGGTATACAGCAGTTCCCTCCACCTTCAATTCGTTGCATAACTTCCATTCGTTGCATAACGAGGATATAGTGTATTTTTCTAAACGAGGGTTCCCACATATTACATTGATTGTGATTGTTTGGAAGAGCTTGAATGCAGTACGATAATCCGCATTGTCATTGCCATTATCCCATTCTGCGAGAGTATAGATGGTATATGGTCTAGCCGCCAAATTACCTACTGTCTCGTTGCTTGCTCGACAAAGAAAGTAGGTTGATTGCTGGTGAAAGCGAGTTCGCAGTTGGTATAACTGTTAGATTAAATCATAGAAATCAATGGATGCCACATTGTTATTTCGAGCAATTTCAGCTGCTTCTTTCCAAGCCGATCCCTTGACGAAGATGGTAGTAACTTTTGCTTTGGAACTGTCGCTCAGATTAAAGGACATGGCGCTTGGTCCGACTTCTGAGTTGAAAGGTGCATGTAAACGTAGACTTGAAGTGATTGATGCATTAAACTTTTTTGTTCCAATTACAAGTTTCGTGCCATCTGCATCCGTTATTGTCGTAGGGTATACGTTTTTGTATTTCGTGTCTTCGGGAGGAATTGAGGTACACATTGATCCCCCATTTTTTGTTCGAAATGATTCTCGATGAGCATCCAAAGTTCGTCTTCAACCAACCACCTCGACACAATTCACAAGCAGCGCTTTCCCAATAGATCCATTTAATAAGATCGATCCTTCCAAAGCTCGGCTGCAACTATACCTCATCCTTTTGTGGATTGACCAATCTTGGTTAAAAGCATAGCCATATCGTTTTTCAGTTAAATATAGTTGCAATTCATGATGTATTGTCGCAAATGCGGTGATGCGGTACTGATGGGACTGTAAAGGGATATGGATGCCATCTAGATCGTTTTTGCCCCTTCAAATGCGCTTTGTGAGGTATTCGGGATTGATTTATGGATTAGTATCTCAATAATGGGAAAAGTAGATACTGTGAAAATGTTGTTTATTAAAGAGACCAAATAATATTGCTTATATCTGTTACTATTAAAATCCCTGTAATTCAAATTCCTGTTGTGTAATGGTTGGTTTACACTGTATGAGTGTGTAGTGTACGTGTGCCTGGCGTGTAACAGTTCCGGAGATTGTTAACTTGCCAGATTCATTAGCAAGAAGGAACCAGTGTTTGGTCATAGAGTCTGTTCTTCACTCAATTATGGTGTGTATACCACACTTTGTTTCGGAACTAAGGGGTACACTTTCATTCTGTCATTTTTGAAAACATGTAGAATTTTCTCGCGTGTGAGTGCATTGTATTCGACATCATCTTTGATCAATGCAATAGGTTGTAAATCATACGTGTCCATGATGATTAGCAGACGTTTCTTTTCGCGATTATCCCAATCTGCTGCTTGACAAGTAGTCAGGAACGCGTTATTGTAGTCACGTTTATTCACTATAGTCGAAAACTCAACAGAAAAGTCCAGCACAAGAATATGTAATTTTGGTAGGATGACGTTGTGATTTTCTTCGAGCTCTTCATCCCTGAATATTCCCTCTTCGTTACTGTAAGTGTCGTGCAATAGCTAATGACTTATTAAAAATAAAGGTTGTAAGTAATCATATTGGGATGTTGTTTCTATCGGGACACATAAGCGAGCTGACTAAATGAAATAGTCTTGTAACTTTGCGTTTTTTTTTGTTTCGCACGTGTTTAGAAAACCCACTTAAAGTTAGAGGTGTTATCTCACAGAAAATTCGGGGCTGCTGAAATATACGAAAATTGATGTCTAGCGTCGGAATAAATATCGTAATTTTATTTTATTTACAATTTCTGTGAGAAATAAAATCAAAAGCAGTGAGTTTCTTTCTTAATGCCAATATAAAGACAACCTACACCCAAAATAAAAAATATATATATGCTTTTCATTAACCCTGACCTGATCAAGTATCTTATTACTGGTGATAAAAAAATTGCAGGAAACTAAAGCCAAAAGGAGAAGCCGTGAATGCTTAAATCTTGAAGACCTTTCTGACGCTGAGTGCAAGAAAGAATTCCGTTTTACTTCTTCCAGAGGTAGTTTGTTCTTTACAAGTATATATCTCAATGTGAGCGTATAAAGCCCTTGGTATATAAGTGCTTAAGATATATCTGTTAACTTCTAATAGCCTAACATTAAATACATCTCCTTCTTCCTATTGCCTACTATGTAATTATGTACAACTTTTATATTAGTACATTTTTTTTATTTCACAGTAAATAACACCTAATTATCTGTTTATATTCTGGTTATTTCTGTACTATTGCTCTTTAGTCTCAATATCAGTTTCTGTGTAGCTTAGGTCTTATACCAACATCTTGCTTAAACAAAGATTCTTGGCATCATTTGTTGTCAAAAAAAATAAGGGACAGAAAATTCGTTCGAATTTTCTGTGATTTGGGCACTTTTCTCACAGAAATTTTATGAGTGGTTACTATTTTAGTAAAAAGTGAAACAAATATTTGGAAATTAAAGCGCCGAAAAGTGGTCGTCTTACGGAAAATTGAAATTTCTGTGAGATAACACTAATCAAGTCTCCAGATAATAATAATTGAATAACGATACTTTTATCATTCACGGGTGAATTAAAGCGATAGATACATACATCAGCTCTGTGATATATTTTTGGTTATATGTATTGATTGATCATTTTTATAAACGTATATACATTAGACTTATAGAGCAATCACTAGATAATTTAATATGAAGATATAACATACACTATATATTGCTGTCATTACTGCTCTTACTGATGCTGTACTTTAGGTATTATCCTAATTTAAATAAAAATCAGACCCATATAATAATCATTGCCAAGCAGAATATTTTGTTCTGGTAGTAAGATAATCAATGAGTAATAAGAATAGTATCCTAAAAGAACTACGGATATTATTTCACACACTCACACACAAGACCTTTACGCCTTTACCCATATGTAGCTGTTGAATAAGGATAAAATGCAAAAAGGCTAGATCAAGGCGCTCAAAGGTCGATCATATAAACAAAACAAAAAAGAAGCATATAAAATGTACGTGCTCTTTTGGCACGAAACAGTCACAACAAATGGTGATCAAAGCTATTATATCTCTGTGCATACAAAAGAGAGAGATAGGAGTACCTTATTTACCAAGGAAGGACCTTTCCAAAAGTCTCTCCATCATAGTTTATAGCAGCCAAAAAAATCTTTAGTGTTGGTGTCTTCATTCCCTACAGATTTTGTTGCATTTTTGATAGCAAAGCAAATACAGTGAGAATATACCCTTTTTTTTTATGCTATAAAATTCAGTCCTAGTCCCCTTATAACCAGCCAAACCTGTTCATTTATTGATACTTTTTGGAACTCGCAAGCCAATATTAATCAAGCCAGTGACAGAGACATTATATTACACCTAAAATGAATGTTTATTTTGTTATTTTTGTACTAAAATTTCTACCAGTTCGATTTAAAGCACCAAAATGGCTCTTATCAATGTAAATTTTGAAGTAAATTGTTTGTTGTTTCCTTCATAAGAATAACGCTATTGACCTGATTTGTTTTTCCATTTTTCTTCTTCTTCTTCTTCTTATTGCACTACTGCATATAAATATTAACATGAGTCCTCTAGTCTCCAATTGAATGAATTGTAGGTTTGAAAAGGTATTTTCAATAGGGTTTATTCTGTAGAGATAGGAATATGAGTTCAATAGATACCAAAAATGAAATGGCAAGAGCATTATTGGCTAATTTACTAAACGACATGTAAAAGATAAACAAGGTTCATAAAAATGTTAAACACGACTTTATTATATCTTTTGGATCATGTGACATCATTTTTGAACCCAAAGATTGTTTTTTTGCGACATTATATTCAAAATCCACGACTTTACTTTCTTTCTGGAATGACTGTACTTACACACACACACACACATATATATACACACACACATACACAAACACACATACATACATACACACACATATACACACAGGTAGACTGCCAATAAGGTGTCGCCAACCAGTTTTTATCTTTTGGTAGCAATCTTTCAACCTCCTCCTGCTCAGTCCTGCCATGCCAACGCCTATTGAGACATGGTACACCGATATTCCACCCATCACACGCATCTACATTACAGCAGCTTGCTTCACTAGTCTTGCAGTGGTAAGTTGGCTGGTTGATCAGAAAATTGTTGATTCTTATGACCATCCATGTAGCAACTCGGGTTTGTGCATCCACTTCATCTCTGGCTCAACTATGACAGGATCTTATATGACTTCCAGGTATCCCTTTTTTTTTTTAAATATATATATATATATATACATATATACATGCGTATTGAATTAATGCTTATTGTTATTGTTATTGTTATTGTTATTATTATTACTGTATGTATATAGTGGTGGCGACTAGTAACAAACTTTCTATACTTTGGGCCTATTTCAATCGATTATTTCTTCCACATGTTCTTCTTGTAAATATACACACATAATTTAATTTTTTTTTAAAAAAAAGATAGAATACGAGAAATATCACAACTAAAGCTATAGATCGCTTCTAGAGCGCGTTACAGTCGAATGATGGAAGAAGGTTTCTTTAGAAACAAGCCGGCCGATTATGTCTGGTTACTGGTTTTCTCAGCTGGAGCTCTTATTCTACTCTCGGTAAAGAACAAATATAATATATAGTATATAATTCAGGGCAGAAATTTTCTTTATTACCATAATTTGCTGACAGAATAATTGTCACCTTGTTCATCGCATCACATCACATCGTATCCAATACAATCCAATCCAATCATATTTTTATATACAATTTGGCTATAACCTTATTTTTATTTTGCTTTTCTCCCTCCAGTTCATTATTCCTCATGCTTACATACCTTTCCTTGGGTCCCCCCTAGCCTTCACGATGGTCTACATCTGGGCACGTCGCAACCCCTATGTCCGACTCAATTTCCTGGGTCTGATTGTATTCCGGGCACCTCATCTACCATGGGTTCTGCTCTGTTTTTCGCTTCTATTCGGCGGCCAATTGCCAGTCGGTGACATTCTTGGAATTGCAGTAGGGCACATTTATTACTTCTTTGAAGATATCTGGCCCCGCGACAGTGCGAGTGGTGGAAAGAGGTGGCTAGAGACTCCTAGGATCATGTAAGTCTCTTATTATTATTATTATTATTATTATTATTATTATTATTTTAATAAACAGAATAGGATAATCGTGTCCTTGTTGCTCTTTATTGTTGCAATCATATAATTCAATATCATCTTTATTACCTTTTTTCTTTTTCTTATTTTGGTATCTCGGGTTTTTTTTTCATTTTTATATATATAATATATCGATTATACTCTTCTTGCTTTTCTAATTTTTATTTTATTTTTTAGTTTGTGGACCCTTTCGAGAAATAGACCAAATGATAGTGCAGAACTTGCTGAGAACTTACCGGAAGATGTAGAAGAGAGACCGTCAGACTCAGGCACTCAACAAACACAGACACAGACACAAACACAGACACAACCACAAGCACAACCACAACCACATACACATACACAGCCACAGTCGCAATCACAATCAGAGTCAGAATCAGATCATAACCGTCTTGGACCTAACCATACTTCTAGGCCAGAATCCACGAGTAGGCTTCCTGAGGTAGAAGGGAGCGCAAATTAATAGCGCGTGAAAGAGCCGACTGTGTTGTACAGTAACCTTCAAGCCCGGAGTGATGGAGCCAATAAAGACAAAAAAAAATGCATGCTTCCAATTGTATTTAATGTGCATTTTTTTTTTCATTTGTGTTCCGCTTTCTCTCTCTCTCTCTGTTTGAATTTATTATATAGCTATTACAAGCATTACAATTATTTACAATTATTACACATTACTATTATTACTATTCTTATTTTTTTTTAGTACAATTAGTATTATTAATATTTGGTATATTTTGCTGCCTCTTTTTTCTCTTCATTTTCTACACTACACAAAAAGAGAGAGAGAGAAAGAGTAGAATATAGTGAAGGAAAGGGAAAATTCATCTCTTTATACTATACTATATTAGATTATACTATATTATACTATATTATACTATATTATATTATATTTTCTACCATTCTTATTTTTTTGTTTTTTGTTTTTTTTTTATATATATTTTAATTATTAATTAATTAATTACAACTCTTATTCTTCTTCCTCTCTTTTTATACTTCTTCTTTCTGTACTTCTTTCTATACTTCTTCTTGTTACTGCTATTGATCGCGCTCTTGTTCAGGCATATGCACCACAGTAATAGCAGAATCTAGAAAATTACCACAAATATCAATCACCACAACCACAACCACCGCCACCTCTACTACTTCTGCCTCTGCCTCTCCCACAGTTTCTACATTCAATATATCATCTAGACACCGTCGACAAAATATAGAGTTTACGCTGAATTATTAGATTATATATATATATATATACATTTCTACACGAAACCGCATAGTAGATCCATAAATACATTTTATATATAAACATACAAGCATATTTTTGTATATATATATACATACATACATACATACATACGTCTCTGTGAGCGAGTGTGTGAGGATATAAGAAAGAGAGTGTGCGTTCATTCGTTCGTTCGTTCGTTCGTGCGTGCGTGCGTGCGTGCGTATATTTATTTATTTACCTATTTTCATTTCTCCTGCAATTTGAATGGGAAATATCCTGGGATCAAAAATAAGCTCTTCAAAAGAGCCTCACGATACATGGTCCTTTGGGTTCGGAGGACATAATGTTCCAAAGCACCTACGACCATCACGACAGGTGCGCAAGAATCTAAAGACCACAAAGGCGACCTCGAATTCAAAGCAAGAAGAACCCAATAACAACAATAACAATAACAATCAGACTGGTGAAGACGACGGTGAGCGGGTAGAGCGCCTGGTCCGTGATGCAGATGTATTGAGCGAAAATGATGGCGACGAAGGTGATGCGTTTGTCCAAAATTACACCGTCGATCCCATGTTCAGTACAGGTCCGCAAGGGGCCTTTAGGTGGTTCAAAGGACGCCGGTTTGCATTTAGTAACAAAAGGGTGAGTGATTATCCGCTTCTATATGTAGTACCCAAAACCAAAAAAAAAAAAAAAAAAAAAACCAAAATAATTGCCTGACCTTATCTTTCTTTTATCTCTTATAGGGCGTTTCTAGTGCACTTCCGAGTGATCCAGAAGAACTTGACCGTACTCGAGTATTAAATTATGTCTTGCGTTGGGTATTTGGAGGGTAAGGGCTTGTTTAATTACAATAAAAGAAAGGGAAAGATATCCAGATTTTTAAATTATTGTTATTATTTTATCAGAACCGTACTTGCTCCTGTAGAAGAACAGTTACAAAAAGGGTGCAGGGTCCTTAATGTCGGGTGAGTATCTCCTTATTTCCTTTTATATATTTCTTTTATTTTTCAACAAGGGAGGGAAGATGATTTAGCTGTCTAATTTATTTTTCATTGTTTGATTGTTCTAAATGCTTTATCGATTATGCTAATGTATTTTCTTTGTTTGACTCCTTTAATTTATCTAGTAGCGGACCAGGCATGTGGGTAAGTCGCTATATATTGCTTAGTAGTAATTATCATAATTATCATTTGGCTGCCTGGCTGCCTGGCTGGCTATCAAAAAAATATACATATTAAAGTATAAAAAATTTCCATCTTCAGCTTGGACATCCGATCATGGACATGGCGTTGGATTATACCAACTCAAAATTTACAGCAGTCGATGTTTGTGATCTGATGCCACAAACAGATCTCACCAATCATTTTGACCAAGAATCTTCATCAATAAGTCCTAGTATTGTGATCCATGAAACCAATATGGCAATGACAACGACAACAACAACAGCAGCAGCAGCAGTAACCATTGATTTCACTCCAGTACATCCAATACTTGCCAATGTAGATCCTTCAATATCCCAGATACCCAGTCCAAACAGTCTTCCTGTCCATAGCAATATCAACATAAACAACAGCAGCAGTAGTAACAGCAGTAGTAGTAATGTTTCGCCATCATCAGCATATTCTAGCTCTTCTATTTCATCCTCAACCTTTTCTTCACCACAAGAAACTCAATCGTGCCCTAGACTCCCCGCGCGAGCTCCGAATTTCTGTCCCACAGTCGTGTCATCAACGGGCACAGAACCAACCAAGAAGAAGATATTGGAGAATCTTGATTTTTATATAGTGAAATTACCTGAAGATTCATTACCATTTGAAGACAACACCTTTGACTTTGTACAGCAGCGGATGGCGTCTAGTAACTACAGTCTCCTAGAATGGAAGAAGATCATGACTGAGATGGCTCGTGTCACAAAACCTGGAGGATATGTTCAACTTCTAGAAACCGATTATCTACTTCATTCACTAGGTCCCAAAGGTGTACTCTGGTTAGACGAACGTAAGTAAAAATATATATATATATATATATTTCACACACACACACATATAGATAGATAGATAGATATAATGTACTAATATTAATATTAAAAATAAAAAACAAATTGTGTAGTGACTACTGCATTTAGAGAAAGACGGAAGGGTGAACCTAGAATAGCCTGTTATATCAACGAACTCTTATTGGCAGTTGGATTCCAAGACATCAAGACAACGATGGTTTCTGTTCCAGTTGGTGCCTGGGGACTAGATATCGGACTGCTATGGCAACAGAATGTGGATGCATTTATTCAGGCAAGTATGCCGCTTATGGTCAATGTGCTCCAGATGTCTCCGTCAGAATTCAAGAGACGGTGGAGAGAGACGTGCGATGAAGTGAATGACAGCAAGACATTTACAAACATTCACTGTGGGTGGGCACAGAAACCAGTTGACAAACCAGCCATCACAGATTGGAGTTTGTGTGAACTTTATCGTTAGAAAGGAAACAAGCCATTTGCCACCCACCCAAAAAAAAAAAAAAAAATAGTAATCTAAAATACCTAAAATAATACGTTAAAATTAAGGGCCAAAAAAAAAAAAAAGACGAAAACAGATCGAGGTTACTCTTTTATTTTATTTTTTCTTTTATTTCTTGTACACTGTTGGCAAGTCGGATTCTATTGTTTCTTCTAATCTTTCAACCTTTTTTTTTTTTTTTTTTTTACTCAAATCTCCCCCTCCCCCCTTTATATATAATTTCGAGACTTTGTAGTCTCTTATGTATTTGTGGTGCAACACCACTTATGTAACCCCTGCCCTTTATTTATTTATTTATTTATATACAAACCCAAACACAAGCATTTCTTTTATCTATTTTATTATAAAAATATATATAAATATACATATATTTTATATTTTATATATGTGCACAAGAAAAAAGAAAGTATGATCGAGATTGACAGTAGAGTATTAAGCTCAAGGAGCTTGATTTTTATTATTAATGTGTGAAATTGATCAATAATATTTATATTTATATTTATAATGATATTAATGAAAATGAAAAATGTATATAAATATTTTACAAGTCTCCTTATTTCAACTGGCTTGATGAAAGATGGGGGCTGGTTTGTCTGGCTATAAGGTTGCTCAAAAGCCATATATGGATCAAGTAATACAGCATCATTATTCACTGTTTTTTGTCTTTTATGGTCATAAAGACGTATAAATACTTTTTGGATTATTTTCTCCATTAGATAAAATAAATAAATATTACCCTCTTCTCTTTTCCATCTTCTTTACACTTTTTCTTTTTCTCTTTCTTTTGCTTTAATAATAAAATAAATAAATAAATTTCTTATCATGGCTAACAGAACAGTCCCACCCGACATCGAAACTTGCCCACATGCCATTTCTAGTCAACACCCACACTCTAGTTCGCACTCCAGCCTGCACTCCAACCCACACCACCATAAAGAGAGGGCATTCGATATACGTCGATTGTTCGGAAGGGCCACAAAAGACTCCACAGAGCTATCAAAGACGTCCTCGGTCAGCTCCTTGCCAACCGAACGGTCCTTTAGCCTTCATTCCAACAGCCTCTTGGTTCTCGATGATATCCCGCCTTCTCAATCCAATATTGACATTGTACGCTACAGCTGGGAACGAGTTTCTGAGATTAGGCTGCCAACCGACCACCCAGCTGTCTCACCATCACACGCATTCGGTCTCGCCTTTTACGAAGCTCTTTTTGAACTCAACGGGGACCTCAAACCCCTCTTTGCAAACGTCTTCCAACAGGCCCGTGCATTAACAGGCATGATATCTTACCTAGCCTGGGCTCCCACTGTCACCGGAGCCTGTCCACCTCCCCCAACCTGTCCAATGACAGGAAAGGTCGCCAATCCAGACCGGGTATACACAATTCGTGAGATCAATGCCAGAAAACGTGCACGTGAGGCATCATTGACATCCAGCAGGCAGCCCTCTCTTGACGGTGCAACCCTTGTGGACGCTGGAGAAGAAGACGAAACAACCCCAAGATCAACTACAAATCCAACAACTACACCACCAGCTTCAGCTTCAGTATTAGCAGACGAAGACGAAGACGATGATCCAGAAGGCTTGATCCAGCAAATGCACGAATTAGGCGCCCGTCACTTCTTTTACAAAGTCAATCCACAATACTTTACCTTGGTCGGTCCGGCCTTTGTAAGTGCCCTCAAAGTAAGACTTGGAGATGAATATCGACATGAGATTGGCGAGGCTTGGATACGGGTAAGTCTCTATTAATTTATCTAATTATATATATATATAATTGGAGGGTGGGAAATAATGTGTCCAAAAAGTCATTATAATATAAAGTATATATATATACTACTTCTCCCCCACCTTTATTTACTTTTATTGGTGTACAGGAAATTCTTACCCTTTAACTTTTTTTTTTTTTTTTTTTTAACTTTACTGTTTGGTTGATTTCTATATCAGACAAATTCCTATGCTGCTTATCATATGAGTGCCGGTTTAGAGTCCCAGCTGGCCTGGGAACAGGGGCACCGTAAGCAAGTAGGCAACAAGCCCACGCGCCAGAAATCCGGTTGTAGCATACAGTAACACGTTAGAACAATGGAATGTGTACGACTCCAGCAAAGTCAGGGATCGAAAATGTCGATCTTTGAGCTACAAGTTGAATGTATAATATATATAGAGTATAATATAAAGAGATCCATACATACATATTTATATATATGTATGTATATGTATGTATGCACGTCACTCAAGAGATGAAGAAAAAATAATAACATAAATTACGAATACAAGCACTGATACGCACATGAATGAATAAAGAGAAATCTAATATACACTATACCAACCTATCTTTTACCTATTTATCTATTGGAATACAAATCAACTAACGATAATAATAATAAAGGGTGTATTTCTTTAATAGGAAAAATAGAGGATTTGTCAGAAACTCTGCTTTAAGAAAGAAAGAAGAATAAATGAATGACGATCGACCAGCAATAATGAGCAAGATAACATAATCTTGATTTTATTAGATAATATTGGATTTCAAAATAAAGGGAACCATTGTTTTCACTTGCATAGATCAGATACACCATACCATATCATATCACATCAATCAAGTAACTAAGTAACTAAGTAACTAATTAATTAATTAATCAATCAATCAATTAATCAATTAATTATGAAAATCATATTATTAATATAATTTGCTTTTGAATGGACTGCTCTTACCAATTCAACTCTCTTTCGCACACACATACGCACACACATACGCACATACATAACTCACACACCTTATTTATTTATTTATTTATTTATTTATTTTTTATCTTTATTATTATTTTACTACTTGAATAAACAATGCCTAACACAGGAGCAATTCAAAATACACATACCTCATGGCCAACCTTGTTCAGACCAATTGCACCTAATCCCATTCTTCCACAACCAACCAATAAAAATACCATTGATAAACGCAAATGGAATTCTGGTGAAGGTAATTCAAACTCTCTTTTTCTATCTTTATTTCTTTCTGTTCTCATTTATCTTGTAAGTAAACACGCCTGAATAACTCACATAGTCTATTCAGTTCCTTCTTATTCATTTACTTACTTAAAATTTGTAAAGACTATGGAGAAACAATAGGAAATGGTAAATGTCAATGTCAAGAGCCATTAATTCTTATTCAAATCAAATCAAATCAAATAAAATAAAATAAAATCAAATCAAATCAAATCAAATCAATAAATTCATTTTCTTTCTTATAATGATAATTATAATGATAATGATATTTATATAAAATATAAAACATTTAGATGGCACAATCTCTGACGGAAGCAACAACTCTCAGGTATTATTTCATAAATACAATAAGAATCAACTTTTGGTGTCAAAATTCTTATTATTATCATTCAGTCATCATTAGCAAACGATCAGCGAAAGAGACGAAAAGAACAAAATAGAGCAGCCCAAAGAGCATTTCGAGAGCGCAAAGAAAAATATGTAAAAGAACTGGAAGACAAGATCAGACAAATTCAAGCAGCCCATGAGGTCCATGTTGCTCAACTCCAGAAAGAGAATGAAGAACTAAGGGCAATATTGGGTGATATTAAGCTTAGACTGGACGGTCAAAGTAGCCAGTGCAGTCAATATAACCAATACAACCAAGACATCCAAGGCATTCAATACACCCAAGATAATCAAGTCAATCAAGACAGCCACGTCAGTCAAGGCAACCACGTCAGCCAAGGCAACCACGTCAGCCAAGGCAACCACCTCAACCACCTCAACCACCTCAACCATCTCAACCACCTCAACCACCTCAACCGAATCAACCACGTCAACCAAATCAACCAAATCAATCAAGACAGCCAAGTCAACCACGGCAATCAAGACAACCAAGACAATCAAGTCAACCAAGACAATCAAGTCAACCAAGGCAACCAAGTCAACCAAGTCAACCAAGTCAACCAAGGCAACCAAGACAACCAAGGCAACCAAGACAACCAAGACAACCAAGACAACCAAGACAACCAAGACAACCAAGACAACCAAGACAGCCAAGATAATCAAGATAATCAAGACACGAGTGTTGATTGTCCTAGTCCTGGTCCTAGTCCTAGTCCTAGTCCTAGTCTTAAGCTGAGCCATAATCCTGGCTCCAACACTACAGATCAGAGAACCCGACCGGTACGAAGCCCCGCCTTAAAAGTGGAGTGCATAATAGACAAGAATGGAGTTTCTTTCTGCGAAAGACTCAAGAAAGTCGTCTGTACGTCGGCCTACAACCAGCTGCTTTCCGAACCTCTGTTTGACTCGACTGGAATATTGAATGATGCAGTCACTAAGAACCGGGTTCCTATTGTCACAGAGCCGTTGTCGGCAGGAGAAAGGGAAGAGGACGGAGAGGAGAGCAAGATGGGTGCTGAGAAGAACCATTTCGATAGATTTGCGCAGACGATGTCGGCACGTTTAGAACATACATCTTATCAGGATTTCCAGTCCTCTACAAAGCTTGTCCCATGTTCCACCGCCTGGAAACGAATGTCATCCCACCCAAGATTCGAGGCATTTAATCTCGACGATCTATGTGATCAGTTGAAGAGAAAGGCCAAATGTTCTGAAAATGGGCCAGTCTTTGAAGAAGAAGAGATTGACATTGTGATAAAAATGATGGACAAGAATGAACCTAATTGATACTCTATGAACAATTCCTCCTTTTCTTCTTCGTCTTCTTCTTCTTCATACTACTCCTACTACTCTTCCTCCTCATCTTCTTTAACAAATATAAATATAAACACAATTCATTCTCTTTCTCTCGTGTGTGCGTGTGTGCGTGTTTGGTTATCTTGCAGAATCATTACTGATATAAAAGGTGTAGGGCTCCAATTGTGTGCACCCATCCTAATACATAAGCTTTCGGGTTTATTTTCTCCACTTGAAAATTACAATGGGGTGCCAAGGGTCTTCCTTACACTAACCATTTTCTCACTTTTCTCTCTCTCTCTCTCTCTTTCTTTTTTTTCTCTTTTTTCTATAATTTTTTTTTCTATTTCCTTTTTCTTTTTTTCTCTCGTTTTCAATTTTTCTCCCCCCCCCCCCTTTTTTTTTTCTTTTCTCTTTTGGCTTCTTCTTCAAAAGCTACTTAGTAAAAGTCTTAAGAATGATCCAGTCTCAACGAGTGTCTTACCCAACTTATGAAAATCAATATAGTCCAAAACGCCAAATACCCAATCAACATCATCCTCGGTCACAATCGCCACCACCCAAAAGACGCTCGAACCGAGCCAAACCGCTCTCGAACGATGATATACCTTTAGCATTTCTAGCATACAAGAGCAACCGACCGATGTCCTTGACATTAAGTCCTGCTCCAAGGCCTACTACAATTACTACCAGCACTAGTACTGGATTTAATTCCCCTCCAAGGAATGTTCCCTATAGACCTACCCTAAGTCCTCCTCTTCGACCAGCTGACCGCCCTCGTCTCACACCTTCTGGGCACACTTACAATGAACGACCCTCACGCAGACCAGTTTCATTTGCCTACAATCCAAACCACACTCCGACCAATAGTTTCTCGACTCCACGCCAGGCACCACAACCACCACCACCACCATCATCATCATCACCACCGCAGCCGTCCCAACCAAAACGATCCTTGACCGCACCCAACACACCACTTGTTCCCTCACCCAGTCAATCAACAAACAAGAAAAGGACCTCATTGGAAAAGGCAAAGAGTTGGCTTTCTTCACGCCGACAAGCCATAAAGTTACCCTTTTAAATATCATATATAAACTGTAATTACTATTACCACTACCGCTACTATTACTACTATTACTACTATTACTACTATTACTACTATTACTACTATTACTACTGTTACTACTGTTACTACTGTTACTACTGCTATTATTTGACCCGAGACTTATATATCTATGTATATAAATATTATATATATTTGTTGACTTTTTTTTTACATTCCGTATTCTTCCTACATTTATTTCTTGTTAATCTTTCTTTCTTACATAATAAAATAAAATAAAATTATAGGCTGTGAATATGGTATTAATATATATTATTCACAAGTATAAATTTTATAGATAATGTTTAATTTTTGATTAGAGAAAAGTCTTTATATAAATTACTTGATAAACAAAACAAAACAAAAAAATATAGAACGAGTTTCTGTAATGTCACCTTTATTAAACTATTATTTGCTGTGTACAAAAAATATTCACCATTCTTTTATTTTATTTTTATTTATCTCTTTATTCTAATTCCCTTTTTTTTTAATGGGCCATGTACCTGAACAAGATAGATTTACTTCTTTTCAAGACTTGCATTAATTTAACTAGTCGCTTTGTATATAGCATAACATAAGATCTCAAGGATGTTTTAATTACTCTCTATTCAAGACTTATTCACACGCTCTTTAGTCCGTCTATACATTTGAGTGCCAAGGACAATGCAATACATTTTAAATTATATCTATATCTATATGGCACACGTACTTGTTTTGTATGGCATAGTTCTGGTCTGTGCTACTAAATGGGTATAGCTGTGTATAGATCGTATAAAGATATTCTTGGTGGACAGAGACTTGATTAGACACCTTTATACACCAAAAGGGGACGTTACTCTGTCATGCATATCCACATCATGTAACTACACAGTTATCTGATGTGTACACCAGCTATTTTGTCAATATTGGCTGGGTGGCCCTGATCAGATGGAACTGTCACGGTTTGACAATTTCACGATTGTTTGTACATCTTTACTTTGATGTACACACACCTATATGTGTATATAATGATAGTTTAAATATCTTACATTAATGGCTAAGGTTTTTATCTTATTTTTATTATATGTATCCCCCCCCCCCCCCAAAAAAAAAAACTACTTGTACATGGTGTAATAATTTAGGATTAAGATTCTTTGTTTTTGCTTGAAAAGGACAAAAATGCCATATTTTTATTTTTATTTATTTATTTATTTCTTCATATGATAGATCTGTGGCTCAATAGTGACGGAGAGTGGGTGGGGGTCACTGTTCATTAATCGCAGGGCCCGTGCAGAAATCCCTGCAACATCAATTACCCACCTACACACCCAAATATCTTATATATACACAAACACATAAGATCAAGATTAACCAAAAAGAAAATACCTGGTTTATCTATTGAATTACAGAAACTTTAACCAACTGTTCACGGAAAAACTCACAAGTATCAGATCAGTCGATATAATCCAAAGCCAATGATTGGATTTCATTTAGCCGAATATTTTAAAACTATATATATATATATATACACTTACTTTCAACATGCTTTCTCATTTTTAGTCTAGAATGAATATAAAGACAAAGAGAAAGATGGAGCTATAAAGAGGACGGTAATCTTCAATTTTAGCCCACCAACGCTATTGCCTTTTGGTTTATTAGTATTTGACGTGTCGATTATCAATACATTTTCCCTTTTTTGTACCAAACTTTTGTACGTATAAATATGTATATACATATATACATATTAGGGGGAGGGATGTGTACCAAACAGAAACAATCTTATATAAAAAAACAAGGTTTATTTGTGTATTGGCGAAAAAATAAATGTAAAGTTTAAATCGAGATATAAAAAAAAATGTCATCTGATTTAAAATATCTATATATTTTGTCCCTAGGGAAATTCTTTGCACAGTTTTATATTATCACTGTTACTATCATTCTACTCTTACATATATTGCTTACAAACAAAGCAAAAGCCACAGTTCAAAGTATAAGCCGCAAGTATTTACACAAAGGATAGGCTAATCAATATCTTCTCAAGTCATTTACATACATATAAAAGCACACAGAATGAAATGTATTCCTATAAAGAAATCACCTCGAGCTTATACGATACAATTAGAAAAAGTCCAAAGATAAAAGTCACTCATATGAAAAGTATACCAGAAGAACGTGTTTACTATCACCGAACCCTTCAAGATAAGGCTAGTCATCTTTCGAATTTGAAGAGTCCAAAAAGACGAAATAAAAATATCAAGCACTGCAGTGCAACAGTTGTGTTGTTCATATTTTTATACCACAAACCATAATCTCTATAGACTCCATAAGATCTAAAATACCATCATTTACTAAAGTAGACATAATACTGTCTGCCCATGAAAAATCAAAATGTATGAGTTAGAGTACATACAGTGATGTTTATTTTGACAAGCTGTGTGCTTCTTAATGATAATATTTCATATCAATATACAAAGCTGGACCTACCGCTTTAATTGACATTGACCACGAAAGCAAAAAAAAAGGCTACGATTCGTATTATGTGTTACATATACTCCAGGTTTAATTAAACTTGGACTAATAATGTACAGCCATAGAAAGTAAAGAGAGAGAGAGAGAAAGAAAAAATAACCCTGATTTTATTTCTACAGATTCTGGTTTCAATGCAAGGATTGGCCAAAGAATAGTTCCTACTTGTGCACAAGCTATAAAAGAAAATCTCAGAAACAAGCTTTCTATGGGCTGGGAAGCCGCCGACCATTTTGATCTTTGACGCTCTACACATCTTGCTTTATATAGGGTACCAACTGAGGAAGAGCAAACCAAGATATCAGAAATTCTATTATTTTATATATAGAGAAGCTCAATATAATGAAGTATTGGACGAACAGTATCTGATACTAGTATTTTTTGTGGTTGTGCTCAAGGTTAAGGTCAAGGTCAAGGTCAAGGTCATGGTTGAGTGGGGTTTGATTTTTAGATATTTTTTTTTAAATTCAGAGAAAAAAAAAAAAAGAGTAAATCCAGGGAATTGGGTAAGATTTATTCTGTCAGAAATATTCCTGTACAGACCTCAATTCTTTTTTTTTTTTGAAAGATTCTCTTTTGATTCTTCACAATTAGTCAACTCATAATATAAGGCAAGAAGAACCAAAGTATATATATGTGTATGCATGTAGAATTCCACCGTACTATAGGTAGACCGTCTTTTAAGCGTTATTTATCGATCTCCTGAAACATTGGCTTTGAAAAACAAAAACAAAATCAGGACACACTTGGATTTTGGATATGCAATGCTTGATATATACTTAACTATAAATTGGAGTACTTTTGTACATATTTTCTGTGTGCATGTGCGTGGGGCATTTCTTCTATACTACCACTACCGCTGAGAAAGCATGAACCCCGGAGAAACCACATTTCCATGATGTGACTTCATACCAATTATCTCAGCAGAAAGAAGAGTAAGAACAAGAATATTTATACAGAAAAAAAAAAGTCAGAAAATGGGGTCTATTCGCGCAATGAACTAATCAACATATTCATCGTCAGATCTACCGATAGAAGCTAGAATTCTACTTGGCAGTGACGTACTAAAGGTAATAGATAATAGTCATCACCAAAGAAATTGTATTCCAGTGACTCTGGTTCTTTAGATCAAGAGATAATAAAATTTGCAGATCCAATCTATATTTTTTAGAGCCATCGGGTTACTTGTATAATAGAGTGATAGACGGTCGATAAAAATAATAATAATAATAATAATATGTAGATAGCCTATATCTCTAACCACTAGACTTTAATCTTTGAAAGATATAGTATTTGGTATCTAATGAAGTCTATTTACTTTTTTTTTCTTTGGTACATTCCTTGTTGAACTTACTCTTATTTTAAACCTTAGTATTCACAAGAGCGTACGAGTAAACAGACTCATTACTACAACAGACCAACCCAAAACTAGATCTCTATGCCAAACTTTCTTCTTTTGGGATTGCTTACCACAGTTTCTGTGGCTATTCTAATACAAATCTAAGCAGATTTCTTGCCTGAAAGCAATAGATCACAACAAACACAATTTCATTTAATGTTAAACCCTAATTCATGACACGTGCAATCGATAATTAGCTTGATTTTTCATCAATGGCTGTCTGACCATCAGTAAAGTCTTTTGTTCATATTAAAAAAATAATCCCTTGGTATTATTTCTATATCTAATATACATATAGTCATAGCTATCCATACAGTTTACTATGACTACTGCATATTTTTTGGTTGGTTTGGCTTACTATAGAAGCTTTGACAGAATTCTATAGAAGATGAGCCAATTCTCACACAAAGTCAGATTACTTGAGGCTGGGCCATTGTCATCATTCTCCAGAACATGCCGAAAAAGAAGAAGACGAAAACTAAAAACCTTATTGACAATTGATAACAATACTGTTGTTTCGGCTGCCCACTCCTTGCACTTTTCTTTTTGGTATTTTATTTTTTTTACTCAAGCACATAAAAGCCTTCATAATCAACAGACTGAATAAGCCATATAGCAAGCCTACATATATTCACGGGATAATTTGATTGGTTATGAATAAATAATAGTAATGTCTTTTTTTTTGAAGGTACATTCAAAGAAAACTACCAATAGAAGAGGCCTATTATTTAAATTATATCATACCTCTTGGGAGATTGCTGTACAGATCAATAGTGATAATAGTAATTTATATATTTTGAATATAATAGCTTTTCAGAAGCAATAGAGTATGTGATAGCCTATTATTAGACTAAACAGAATAAAACAAAACGAAACAAAACGAAACAAAATGAAAAGATTATTCTATATTAAGTAAATTACTCCAAAATACTCTTTTAATTAGACAAAAACAAAAACAAAAATAAAAATAAAAATGGATTTGAGCCATTTGAGTCTTTGAGGCGACAATTTCTATTCTCTCGTTTTGTTTTCTACTTGTAGAAAGACCACTGGGCTTAGGGAGGGGGAGTTGATCGGTGAGCCTCGTCTCTATGGGAACATATTTCAACGTAATTTTTCTAATTCTGTAGACTAAAACTCTCTTTTTTTTTTCAACTTCAAAAATAAAAATAAAAACCATTGCTAGGATTTAAGATCCAGTCAAAGAAATTCACCATTTAACCCAGGATTTGTGTCTCAAATGTAACATATTAGTTTTGCATTTCTTTAATCAATTGTCAATGGCCTGAGACTTATTCTCTGAGTTAATTCTTTGGGCAAGAGGGGTATGGTAAGTAAAGAAGTATGTGCTTTCTATTTATAAAAGACAGAAAGATCTACATAACAAGCTAATAATACATATCACAGTAGTTTTTTTTTTTTTTTGTAAGTGATGAATTCCCCGTAAGAAAGACTATTTCTAGGACTAGATACTTTTATTTCTCATCAAATTTTCGTTTTCAAAATAAGATGTGAGCTCCCAAAATAGCAGCCTGGAATTTATACATAGCAAATCGTAGGACAGGCTTTAAATTACGCGGGATGCAGCTTGAGATTATGTACTTTTTTTTTTCTTTTTTTTGAAACCGCCAAGACAGTAAGCCTCATGGTGGCCAAGGTCGGGCTACTAAAGTTGTGACACCACTAATCTCCATTTTAACGATCGGGCTTCAATAAATCCCACTGCAGATCCACTCATAAAACAGGACTAACTTTGTCTATACATAGGAAGGAATATAAATATAAAACTATATATAAATAAAAAATATATAAATATACATATAGATACATATAAAAAAAAAATTTGGAAGAGTATAAATATATAGCCAAATTTAGTCTTTATTTCTTTCACCTCTCCTCTCCTCAACTCACTTCTTTATTTTCATTTTTCTCTTCCCTTTATCCCCCATCCTATAACTTCCCCTTTACCGCCCTCTTACTCGATGCATCTTTCGTCCTCCATCAAACTAGCTGTTGCTGGCATTGCTGCCGGTGCTTCTCTCCTTATTCCCGGTGTCTATGCTCAAGAGACATCACAGACCACAACTACTGATCCATTTACTGTGGTTGTTAACAGCGAGCAAGACTTCTGTTTCTTCTTGCCCCCTCAACCTGGACTCGTCGTAGCAGTTAACGAGGACAACGGTATCGCCTTCTGCACCAACACATCTGAAGTTGCAAACTCTTTACCTTTCCCCGAAGGTAATACATCAATTTATTTATTTTAATTTCTTTTTATACAAAAAAAAAGAATATATAAATAAAATACGTACCAATCCCAAAATAAACGATCATTAATTAACACCCAATTACTATGACTTAGGCTTCATCACAACCGCTCATTATACCTCCAACGATACTTATGTACAGGTCACTGGTTTCTTTGACCGTACCAAGTATGATCTCTTGGAAACAGATGGTGGTGGACAGTATGATGCTCATGGTAATATACATATAAATACATATAATATGCGTACAAGTCATTTATCTAATTTAATAATCGTCTTTTTTTTGTTGCTAGGCAACCACAAGCCCGTAGGTGCTATGTGCAAAGGTTACCCCCACTTTGTCAACTTGGTTGAACCCAGTGACAACCGTTTCTGTATTAGATGCTGTGAGAATGAGGTATGTAGAAAAAAAATTATTATTTATGAATGTTTATATATATTAATTTCAAATCTCTCTCCCTCTCCCTTAACAACAAAAACATAAAGGATGATTGTAACACTGGTCGATCGGAATACGGCTGTTTACGCGTAGTTCCCGGTGACTATACACTCGGATCCTATAACCAGACAACCGCAGATGCCTCTACTAGCGTTACAACCGATGACTCGACCGATACATCTTCAGATGACACAACCGATTCTTCATCGGATGATACTACTGACAGCACTGACACCACCGACAGCACTGATAGTACTGATAGCAGTGACAGTACTGACTCAACCGACGACGGAGAGTACCAGGAAAGTGCAACCGGAAACACTTCTTTTGATAACGTCCTGTCAGATATTGACAGCGTAGATAACACAACCTCTACAACCGCCCCTAGCACTAGCAGTGCCGCTGATACTACTGATACTACTGACACAACCAATCCTACTACTTCCACTTCCGCCAATTCCACTTCTACTATTCTTGACGAATTCCCCGCTGAGATCGATTACATTGATGCTCAGCTGGCAAACAACCAGACATACGATCTTAATGACATTGAAGCTCATTGGGCTGCATTCACCGATAAACTTTCAGCAGAATACCCTGAGTCTGTCGCACAGCTTTCTGGCCTCAAGAAAATCACTGAGAGTTACACCACTGCCGACGAATGGAAGCTCTTCACATCTGCCATTAGAGAGAAGATCGACAGCTTGAACGGAACTCAGGAGGACTCTACTGACTCTACTGACTCTACTGACTCTGCCGATTCTACTGACTCTGCCGATTCTACTGACTCTGCCGATTCTACTGACTCTGCCGATTCTACTGACTCTGCCGATTCTACTGACTCTGCCGATTCTACTGACTCTGCCGATTCTACCGACTCTGCCGATTCTACCGACTCTGCCGATTCTACCGACTCTGCTGACTCCACTGACTCTGCTGACTCCACTGACTTTGCTGACTCCACTGACTCTGCTGACTCCACTGACTCTGCTGACTCCACTGACTCTACCAGCTCTACTGATGATTCCACTGAGCTTCCTAGCCAAGTATCTGAAGATCTCCCCCAATCTGAAACTAGTTCTTCTCCCGAGTACATGGCTAGTTGGTAGTTTGTTTTTAATTAAAACAAATTGTAAAATATAAAGCACTTTAATGACTTTGCACCACCTGTATAAGTAAATAAATAATAAACACTGTCTTTTTTTTAATATCAGTAATCTTATTCACATTGTATTGTATTGTTTTTTTTAAGCACAATACGTATATGTATACCTATGACTAGGAGCAGATATATGTGCATGTATACGTGTGCTGAGAAAGATGATAAAAATTATCTTGGGAAAATAAGGGTCTAAGAGAGAGAGAGATTATAAAGGGAATTGGGCCGCATGTTATATTGATACACATTAATGATCGGATTATGGTTGGATTTAGCGTGGTAAGTATTACCCTAATTGTATATTGTTTTGCTATACAAAGACATAATGTATTTGAATTACGAGAGCCCGGAAAGCAGCATTTAGGCTAGCTAACAATTTTGTGTTAAAGACTGATAGAACATTCATAATGTTACTTAATACTAACTCTAAATTATCACGCCGAATGGATTAGATCATAGATCTATTCCATCTTCTTGTTTAAAAAAGATATAAACACCATGACCTCAACTCTTATACGATACCCAGCTTATAACAAAGCCATAATTATTTTAAAATATCTACTGTTTTATTACTCATAAATTAGATAAGGTATGTAAATTAATTTCCAAAGAAACCATACGTTCGTTTGCAACTCTTTCGTGAGTCCACAAACACATGCAGAAGGCTAATACTAATAGACTTGGTTACTCTTTCTTTAACAAGCGAGGGAGAAAGGCTCAGCTTGCAGTGAGCTCAGAAAGCACTGGTTATCTGAACTAGTAAGTCGCATGATTTGAAGGCACCAAAAGGTAGATATATCATTCAATGATTGTGGAAACTTTGTCTTGCCAAGCTCAGTCATTGTGTATATGATGGGATAGTCCAATCGAGTCATATAGAAAGTGATAGAAAAGCCTGTAGAAGGTCAACATAGGAAATTATTTATAGGAGCCATAACAAAACCTGCATACCATGAATACGAAAGCTAATTGAGGCCTCCAAATGGGGATTGTCTATGGATCCTTTTGTCAAATGGGCCAGACGCAAGAAATCCCCACATAGGGTTGCTTTATCGCATTTTGGCTTGGAATTTTTCACTTCACCAAATCCGGGATTGGCACCAAAATTCAGTTGGTCAATCAGCGTTATTGATGTTTCAAGTTGGATAAGATTGACTTTGGCATGTTTATTTAACCATCGTAAAAGTGTGCTTCTTTCATTGTCAGAGAAATTGGCGGGCAAGAAAGAGTCAAAATACGTGTCCCAAAGTTTTGACTCGGAGATGTCAGCACTATCTGCGATAGGATTCCTTGGTAGCTTGTCAATCCTTCAGAAAGAAAATCAACATTAGCATCAATCAATATATAAGAGCTATCAATAGTACTTATAGCATAAAATGTCTATTATAACTCTGTGCTTTTCATACGTCAGAGAGCTGGATAGCAGCATGAGATCCGTGGGTACTTTATATATACTTTGACTGTTATTTGCCAGCTGCTTTAATACTAGGTTCAGCCGCATCAACTCGCCACGAGTAAACTCTAGAGACAAGTCGGTTGACCTTTGTATTTGTTCATCGAGGACATGCTCGATATGATCGTTAGTGAATATTATTCTCATCATTTGGTTGGGTTGTAAAGGCTTCAGAACATGTATGTTATTTAAGGTAACTAACTCTTGTGTATGGCTCTCAAGTGAAATCCAACTTTCACATTTAATAATATGCTTGATACTTTGACGATGTTGAGCGAACAGGGTTGTTAGGTTAATACAATTTTCAATAACCCAAGGCACTACCGTTGTATCTTCTTCAGCTTCTTTCGTCTCCGGCTTTGTTTTGATACTCCTCTTCGTGATTATCAGCTGGCTCACCAGTCATTTCTTGGCTTAGATTTTTATTATGACGGTTCTCTATAGCTCTTATCTCGTTAACCTCTGATCTGATTACATCCTGGACCTATTCGGCACCTTCAATGTGGAAGGTTGATAAAGTCTCCTTTTCGATCTTATGTAGCCAATATCTAGTATTCCCCTTTGACTTAATCCACTGGCTGTACTCTTTTCTAATATTTGTAATGTTTTTAACACCCTTCAGTTCATTATCAATGATACTCTTGTATCTTCTGGAGATTTTTTGCATTGAATTATAGTTGTGGCCAAATTCACCGTAAAATCTTTTGGTTGTGAAGCTTGATGTATTTGAAAGGTACTATTGAGTGTCTTCTGGAAGAAACTTGTCATTGTTTTCGAGCTTTAAGCCCTTAGAGCTTCTTGGTCTTGCCATAACTAGCAAAATTGAGACAAATGGGGCTATTATTCAATTCTTGCGGTTGAAGTAAGACTTTATTATAAAGAACATAAAAACCACCTTGAGCGGGGTAAACAGGAGTTCGGTATAAATTTGACAAAACTTACCAAAAACTTAATTGGTGATTATCAGAGTTAAATTAACAGTAATTTTAGGTGGGCGACGTTTCCTGGTGGTATATGACATTTTGATTCTACCAGACCACAAATCGTATTTTTTTGCCGGCATGGAATAGCTCTATCTGGCCCCTAAGGATCAACTATTATTATAAGAATTAATACCCATTAGGATACAAAATAATCATAGAAATCTTCTTTTGTGCTTTGGAAAAATTAAAATTAAAGCGTGAGCAGGGATCGCTTACTAGTCGGTGCTTTCACACTGGGTTTGGATTTTTACTTTAATGTCAAACCTTGGGAAATTTTCAGGTAGTATAGGTACAATAGGTGAAAGGAAAAGAAAGAAATCTTATCCGTAAGAAGGCTAATAAGTAGTAAAATCTCCAACAAGATTGCGTCACGCTTTAACGGCAATAGCTCCTTATAATATACTGCATAACTGCCTCTTGATATAGTACATCTGTGACTCATTATTCTTTCCTTATTGTCAAGTCTAAATTTAGGGCGCAAACGGTTATTAATTGAATATGCCGGGTTTGTTTTTTACATGAGACAATGTTTCATTATTAAATTTCCCAAAACCAGGTGATACACTCTAAAAAAAAGAGGTAGGCTGGAGAGAGATTGATGAACACGCAAAGTGTGGGGACAAAGTAGAAAGCTAATGAGTACAATGAATATATTTGGTGTGGACAGACTAAAAAAGTTCAAAAAAAGGACAAAATGTTTTAAACGGCTCTGATTGGTTAGTCTTCTTCCATTACCACTTGGATTGCAAATTAGAGCATGTTTTTGAGTGAAAATAGATATCATAGAAAGCAAGGTCTAGAAAAACTATCAATAAAAGGTTCCCCCTTAATGACAGGGAAGGCATTATAAGCACAGTTTTGCCTTACAGGGGGTTTCAACAGTTTTGAGGGTTTGACTGTTGGATGTGACGGTAGTCTAATTCGAAAAATGATTGGCTGTAATGAATCTCCAAAAAATGAAAATTGAGGATCCAAGCATCGAAAAAAAAAAGGTTAGATATTCCAATGCCGTGACTTGGCCAAAATTTACAAAATTTTGCTTTTATATGAACTTTGCCATCAATAATACATAAAGTACAAAGTCCAGAACAAGACATAATCAATCTATGTAAGAGTTTCTATCTTAATACAAAATTATAAAAGTCCAGCTTACTTGTGGGGAATTTGGGCATGGGCACTATAGTTATGAGTATTCTAATCAAGCGTATTGTACATATGAATTTTGACGTATATGAGAGAAAACATATCAACCAAGAGACATTAATGGTATTCAAAAGTTTTTTTTTTCGATATCGCTTGTTATTGAATAGTTCTTAAACTACCACTAAATTCAACAGTCAAGCATCTAAAGCTGGTGAAAACCCCTATAAGGTAAGGTTCTTTGGATTGAGAATCTAACATATTATCAGATAATGCTATAATAGTACATATTTTATGAGAGAAGCATAGTTTTACAATCTGGGCATATTTCATCTTATTTCTGAATCATTATTATTTACATTTGAAAAGGTGATACAGGCAGTATTGAGTTATATGGTGAAATGGTCCAAACGGTTAAAAGAAAAAAGAGAATAGATATCGATCTCCTCTATCATATCCTTGGCCCAAATCTTGGCATCTAGCAGCTTGTTCTCTCGAGAAAGATAAAAAAGAAAAAAAAAGTGCTGTGTAAGGATGGTCTTTATTGATTTAATCTTTCGATGTTTATGTGGATATTTTGATAATTAGTAGGACATTGCTAAGCTATTACCAAGCTGTTGGGATAAACTATGCTTCTTTGGATAATTAATGATGAATAAGAGAGAGAAATAGAAATAGATGAATATTGTAGGGGCTGATTGTTACAATCTTTGTGTTTTTCAATTGGTTTCTTTACTAGCTATAAGAAATATATTCTTCTTGCGGCCACGACTTGAGCAATCTGTTTACGTAATTGATACAAAAAAATATTTAGAAAGATATGATATGTTTGGGTCAGCTGGAAGTTCGAAGACACACGGAATTAATTAATGCACTAATGAAGATTCTTCTATTTATGTGAGCTCTCAATGAAGATAGAGACAGCGAATCTATTTGCTAAGAAGATAATGATCCCTGTCAAAAGTTTAATGTTGGATAAGAGTGAAAGAAATGATATAATTTTATAGTAATAGTAAGGCTGCCAAGTAGTCCAGATTCTAGCTTTATGGAGATATCATAAGAATATTCCATCAGAAGAGTGAAAAAGAAAAAAGAGGTTAATCTTCAAAAACTTTTAACGAGGTGGCGGTTATTACCTATATGGAATAAAACAATACTCGGACTGGTGTTTATAATATTAAGTGCATGTTAATGCCTAATTGCTTGTCAATGCCTAATTGCGTGGCAATGCCTAATTGAATGTCAATGCTTAATTGCATACATGAGATGAGAAAGGTTAATGAAAGGTCATAAAACTATTGATTTTCTTTAAAGAAAAACTATACCTTTGTATTTATATGTTTTCAGGCATGAGTTGTCAAGTGAAAGAAGATCGGCTAAACCAAGAATGCTAAAGAAGTTGTATTATTGATTTATTAGAACTTAATAAGTATGATGCCCATTGTTGATACGTGTCTATACATATACATACCTTGCTTGTAAAAGAAAATTCGACCTGATTTTAATACTGAATATCGTATTAAAATATTAATTTATATACTTTTAAAGTATATCCGATAAATCCCAAAAGTAAAAATAAAGATTTTTTTGTCAAGACCTGCGCTTGAAGGCCGATCCACTCAAGTTTACACCCAAGCTTCTCAACAACCTTCATTCCTGCCTACTCGGCATGGCATCAAATTTACCATGACGGCAAAGTATCGGTGAAATGCTTTAATGCCAAACTGCTCGGGACAGGTGTCTGAGACACCCAAGTGAACAGCATAGCATTTACTTAGGCACCTTAACTTTGCTTCGGGTTCGTCCCTCATGTCCAGTTCTGTTTACCAGAGCGTGGGTTACAAGTATCAAAGTCTAAGCAATGAGGGACTTGAAAAGCACAGGGATCATTTCAACAGGAAGCAGTAAAATACAGGCGATTGTACTGGGTAATCTGTCGATTCTGCTGGGAATCTACCTGTATTACCTCACGTCCAGGTGCTCAACGAATTTAAAAAACTCTACGCATCCAGGTGATACACCCTTATACTTGCACCTTTCTGTGACAATCTTGACATGCCCCAAAGGACAAAATCTGGAGAGCCAATATCCAACGTCCTAAGAAAATAGCATAAAGCTACCTCTGCGTTCCTCAGTCTTCTCCATGTTATGTGCCGCACAACACAGAAAAAACTGACGTGGATTTCATCCGGCTTTCGCCTTCATATGAGTGGCTCAGGAAGGTCTTTAACGTCCAGTATGCTCTACACTAAGAGCTACTTTCCCTTACGGTACTTGTGTTCAGTTGGTTTTTTATAAGTATATTTAGCCTTCGATGAAACTTTTCACCAGGATTAGGGAGTTTGTAAAACAACCCGACTCATCGGAAGCTACTTAACACAAAGACAAGAACTCAAGACAAGGTGAGGGGATTGCACCCTCCAGTAACCTTTTCCAGGGAGTGAAGGCTACTGACTTGTTGGTATGTCTGGAAAAGCAGTTCACTAGTTCACAATCCAGAGCAGTCAAAAGACTACTCCGGTTCAAACATTGGAGCTTCTCCATCTCAAACAATAAAGTCCAAGACGGAATCCCTTTTGGTTTCTTTTCCACTGCAGTAAATGCAGGTAGAATCGCTCAAAGTACGGACCAATTTTAGGCCATGGTACCTTGAGCGAACTCAATGACTAGACGCCAAAGAGTGCAGTGCGTTCAATAAAAAAACCAGCATCTCATATTAAGACAAGCCTTATAAATAAGGCGTCTACAATGAGCGAGTTGGAAAAGAGCCCGGAGACTCACTGTTAAAGACCATGATATACACATTTTGCATGAAAATGTTTACGTATATTCCTTTTGATATATCGTGACCGATAGAATACGAGGTACTCAGTGACCACTCCAAGAGTAGAGATATAAATAAAAATCGAGTATAAGGTTAATATACTTATTGTGTCAAAGTGTGTGCGCGTGTGCGCGTTTACTTACCTAGCTGTTAACTGCGAAGGGTGTAAAATACTGAGCTGGTTCTCGGTACACCTCTCCATAAGCATACTTTGAACACTATCAAGAGAATAAAGTAATATAAAAGTATAAAGTGAGTATGTTAATTGAGTCAAAGTATGTATATATTGACTTACCACTCAGTGGACCATACATGGTATGAAGGCACCATCAAAAGAATGGTGGTTAACAGCTAAACAGAACTAGAAACTGCAATAGAAAAAAAGAAAACATCAAATCATAGTTAGCGTGTTGATCGTGTCAAAGTATGTGTGTATGTACGCGTTTACTTACCTAGTAAACAGCAGCGGAGGGCTTGAAAAGTACTTGTGCTAAAAAGCAAGACGGGACGGGACACTGGACACTGTGATAAAATAAAAGAAATGTCGAATCATAGTTAGTGTATTGATCGTGTCAGAGCGTGTGTGTGTTTGCTTACCTAGCAGATAACTGCGTAGGGTTTAAAAAAGTACTTGTGCTTAAAAGCAAAACGGCACTGGACACTGGACACTGTGATGAAAGAAAGAAAACATCAAATCATAGTTAGTGTGGTGATCGTGTCAAAGCATCTGTGTGTGTGTATTTACTTACCTGGTACATGAACTTGACGTGAAGGACCTCTCCGTGGCTACAGTGGAATGGAAGCTGGGCATAGAAGACAAAAAAAACATACGCAAGAAAACACTGTACTGTAGTTAGTATATTGACCGTGTCAAAATTTGTATGTGTCTGTATAATACTTTACCTGCTATTAGACTGGACATCATTTTTGGAACTTAGCTAGAAACCGTGTCTGGGGTGCGTTTTCATAATAAATATCAGTATGCACCTTATACGGATAGAAGGATATAGGCATTTAAAGACAATTTTCTTACCGTGTCGGAAACCAAGGACCACCGAAAGGAAACCAGGAGGAAGAGGAGGGATAACAGGAAATTGAGAATTGTATCGATTCTTGTATGAAAAAAAATGGGGATGGCGCAGCACGGAAGGCGTAAAATGCCTATTTTGAATAAATCAAAACAAATTCATATGAAAATTAAATAGTTTCATGTTTTCAGTAAAAGCTCCATGTTTTTTATCGCATATTTTTATTGCGTATTTTTTATCGCATATTTCTATCAAGGACCTATTGGTATTATCTAATAGATACATTGAATAGTACCAACACTGAATACATTTGAGTATTATCTTGTTTTAGATAACATTTATATTTCTTTGGGGAATATATTTCTATATCTTTATGTTCACACTACTGATAATTATTATTATTATTATTATTATTATTTTAAAAAAAAATACCAAGTAAATAAAGAAATTCTCCTTAACATTATAATCACACTTTGTTTTCTTTCGCTTCACAAAGTATCCTGAAAGTCATATAAGTAGATAAGAACTACTATTAAGAAAATAATAGCATGTATTTATTAAGCTATTTTTTTTCTATTTAGGCTATTCAGTTTTACATACATATGCAATATCTCTTGTGAACTACAAACATAATACTCTTTCTTACTCTTGATCAATAAAAACATTGTTATTATAATGTATATTCACATATCCTCGCTAGCATGACTTATTCTTTACATAATTATGTCTAGAGCCAAAATTTTAATTATATAAATGTATTAGTAAAGTTATAGATAAATAATAAAGCTGTTAAACCTTTCTTTCGGACACTGTAGTATGTATATACTGTTACAGTTTATATTGCTTTGAAATC